GAAACTACTATTCAAGCTCTTTTTGAAAGAGAAATTGAAAAGATGAATTAGCCTCCCTTTTTTTCTAATCTCAATCTTATTAAAAATATATAGAATTGAATAAAAGAATAGATATAGAATCATTATTCTATTAATAAAATAAATTATAATATATTTAAAAAGATTATAAAAGAAGTTTGGGAAACAATATTAGAAAATTATTTGATAAAATTATTTAAAATTATAAAAAAATATTGTGAAATAATAATTATAATAAATAAAATATATACAAGATTTTAATATAATTTAATATATTTAGATATTTCTTTACAATACTTCAATATATTAGAGTTTGTTATATTAATTTTTAAAGAATATAATATTTTGATTGATTAAAGTCTTTATATAGAGAGAAAAGTACGGCCGCTTTTTGGTGTGTTTTACAATACTTACCCTTACAACCATTGTAAATTGAGATGAAAGTGGGTTACTCAATGATATAAGCTATTTGATATTAAACTACGTTATTCATTATAAATAAATCCCTACTATGAATATTATATTATATCGACAATTCCCTATGTGAAAGAGAGAAAAAAAGAACAGGGTTGGAATCTAGAAGTGTCGTTTGATATACGATGGTTGAATGAATAAGTATTATAAAACACACCAAAAAGCGGCCGTGCTTTTCCTTATATATAAAAGCTCTAATAAATAAAAACATTATACTCTTTTAAAATTAATATAGTGAACTTTAGTATACTAAAGTATTGTAAAGAAATATCTGAGTACATTCAGTTATATTAAATCTTATATATATTCCATTTATTACAATTATTGTTTTATAATATTCTCTTATAGATCTTAATAATTCCTTTAAATAGTTTTCTAGAATTGTCTTCTATACTTCTTTTATAGCCTTTCTTAATATTTTATAACTCAATTTATCTATAGAATAGTAATTCCAAATCCATTTTTTTATTTAATTTCATATATTTTCAATAGGGTTGAGATTAGAAGAAAAGAGAGGTTAATATTATATTTTTTTAGTATATTCATTTTGAAGAAAATATAAAAAACGAGCTTTCTTATAATAATTCCTAAAGGTACTTTTTAGAACTAATTCGAAACAGGTTTTTAAAAGCAATATCAAAACAGACTAAATCAACCAATTAAATCTATTTATTTTGATATCCCAGCTATATATGAGGTCAATTAGCGTTTTACACGACTTACTCATTCAACCATCGTACATACTCTATATTTAGAGAATTCTCCCTCTACTAATTATATTATATAACTATATTGTATTACTTTATATGTATATATATATATATATACATATATGTATGCGTATCGTAAGTAGTAATGAATAGAGAAATTCCTCTGTATTTTATTCATTTTTTCTTCTCTTCTTTTTGGGGAGGGAGGGAGAGGTTTAATACAACTGCTTTGCTTTCTTTCTTGTAAGGGATTGAATGAATTAATAAGGTTTTTAATCTTTTTGTTTTTTGAGGGTTTGATGCGACTTTGGTTTTGATAGGTTTCTTTTTTGTATAACGTGGTTTATTAGTGAGCAGGTTATATTAGTAAACGAGTCATTTCGAAAATTATTTAAATCAAGCTTTTTAAAATATTAGTATTTTAATAATCAATCATTATTTTTTTAAATAAAAGATCTTAAAAAATAATTAAAATCTAGATTTTCTATTAATTTAATTTTTATAAAATAATTTATTATTTTTTTTTTAAAAAAAAGAAAATTATTATGATTTTTATTATAAAAAAACTATTTTTATAATAACAACTTTATAAATTCGAATTTCTTAAAACTAATTAGATTTTTAAATTTTCTATATATTTAATATTTTATATCAAATTTTCAGAAAATTATGTTTATAAATAAAGAGAACATATAATTATATATAAATGAATTTTTTATATAAAATAAGTGATCTATTTATTGATATAATTTACTTATTGATAAACCACGTTAGTTATATAGTTGTATGGGTTGTTTATCTATGGTTTTATGATTATCTGTACGATATAGTTGTCGCTTTTATTTTTTATTTTTTGAGGGAGACTAGGCTTTGACTACTGGTTGGTTGGATTGAATAGAGTAGATTGAATTGGTGAAGTTGATTCATCTTGGGCTCACTTGGGGTTACATTGAGTATATATTATATGTACAAGTATAAGTATAAGTATACTAATGCTCATATAAAATGCTATTTTTGGAGTGTTCGTGTTTGTCTTGGTGTGGTGTGGGTGTTCGTGTTCTAGGTGCTTGCTAGATGTGTGGTGTGTGATTTTCTGTATGTATGTATGGTGGGTGGGTGGTGTGCATGAGATGGAGTTTCATGACTGACTGATTGTACTGAAGTATGGCATGTGTCATGTACTTACAATGGGGGTTTGAGGTTATTATGGATCGGATTGGTGAGTGAGTGACTGACTAACCTCGTGTAAGTACTTATTCGGGTATATCAAATCGAATCACATCAGATTGATAAATTGATTGGTTGTTCATCCATCAGCTTTCTCTCTCCAGTGTCCTTGAGACTAGGTAGGTACTACGTACCTTACCTATACGGATACGATATGATGTGAAGATGGGATGTGATGAGAATTGGATACGAGGATTTTGATTTGAGAGTGGGTGTGTATGAGATTCGTATACTGTATATTGTATGAAATTAGTTTGTTATATATTTGCGAAATGGAATAATGATTGTGAGAATAAAGATAAAGATGAATAATCATTTCGACCAGTACATCGCATCACATCTCATTATATTGTAGTCCAATATATATTTTATTATAAACCTCGTAGTTTGTTTGTGTTTCTCTATCCTGCTGTTTGCTCTGTATTCTTGGTATTCTCAGGATTGTGAAACCTGAAATATGAAGACTAAGTACTCTGGAGTTTATATACTCTATGTGTTATATGCTATACTCGATTTGCTTTTATATTTTGTATCTTGTATGCTCTCTATATATGTCCTTTGATCTATCTATTCTATTCTGCTCTGCTCTGTATACTCTCGGTGCTTTTAGTGTTTTGAGTGTTCCTAGGATTCTCAAAATTATAAAATATGAAGGATGGAGTATGGAGAACGTATACTCTGTATACTCTATCTACTGCCTGCTCTACTCTACTCTGTTTTACTAAATCAATCTTATGTTTAATAAAGCCATCCAGCTAAAGATCATGATAATCGGTAAGTCAGTCTGTAGGATGGTGTTTTCTTCTTGCTTGCTTGTTTGTGTGGTGGGAAGAGATGATGATGTACTATGGAAGTGTGAAGTGATGAGTATGTCTCAACATATCTAGTTTGAATGGGGGGAGGAAGGGGTCTATAGGGAAGAGAGAGTAGAGTGGGTAAAATGAGAAGAGTGTGCTATTTATCTCTCTTTCTTATAGTTCAGAGTGAAAGAGTTACATTTGGACGTGTGGAGATGTTGAGAGGGAGAGGAAGAGGAAGGACTGATAGGGCTGGTACTATCATCGGTATTTGGTGTTAGTAATAGTGAGACCTGAGAATTCTAACAGGAATTGAATCGTGATAGCGATGATGATATCTGTTGATATATATAGCTATAATATTGATGTTTGGGACCTACAATAGTAAGTACTACACCATCTGTATCTTTCTCAGATTGATAGGAGTTGTATGGAGGTTAATGGTGATAGTATCAGTTGCGATTCTGAGAAGGAACTGCTATATCGAGTATACGGATTGATATCGCAACAGGAGAGGATAAAATTAAGGAATATAAAAGACTGTAGCTGTTTGAGAATACATCTGTTGAAAGGAGATGGTGATGATGGATAAGTATCTTTTATTTCGAAAGAGCGCGGTATTTAGATAATTAACTCGGTATTCTCTGTCTTGTTCGTGGTCTTCATTCGCTCATTTTTGTTATTTCTATACAAGAGAGTTCTTCGCATAAATCCTATTAGAATGTATCAAACAGGAAAGCAAGGAGTCCTCAAGAAGAAGAAAAAGGATTATAACCCCTATTCGCTTCGAATAAGCTATTTCGCCTCCGCACCCGAGACTTGAAGAAATGAACTTGTCATCAAACCATATATATATATACTAAACACTCTTCCAACTTTTTGAAAATTTAATTCTAGTGCCTTTGTTTCATAGTCTAGCTATATACGAGGCCCCGAGTTTAAAAGATATCGATGGAATGGCGTAACTAGAGTTTTTCAGACTGAATCATATCGAGATACTAGTCCGACTTGTTAGAATAGAAGATGGAGTTTTTCGGGCAGAAATATGTTGTTGGAAATGAACGGTTGTTGATGGATCCTTTTTATTTGCTAAAGGAGCGGGACTAAAGGAGGAGAGGTGAAGGGGGTTGTCGTCAAGTATTTGAATGTGGAGAGATGGTTTGGGGTTGCAGGAGAGGCAGCCACTATTGCTTGAGGATGAATGGATTTAGAATCTTTGGTCTGTGGAGTGGGCAATGATATATGGCCTCCGTATCTAAGGATAGGGATTCAGTCTGTGGATGATGTTATCTTCATAAAGCGATGAGATAGATGGCTTTTGCAGTGTCAAGATATGTGGATCTATCGCGAGTGAATCTTTTGCTGGTATGTCCTATATCAGTTGTATATGTTACAATCATCTCTCGAATAGCATTGAATATTTGGTCATTAGAGCTCTTTTGAAATATCTTCTTTCGTGAACTCATAACTCTTTAAGTCTCCGAGTGGAGCAGGCAATTAGCAATTTTGATTGAAAATATGTCGATGAATCGATTCTTCTATCATATGCATAACTTGTACTTATTGTTTTCAAAGAAGCATATGGTGCGTGCATTACCGAAACTCATAACCTTTTGAAACTTAATTGTATTGTTTAAAGTCAAGAAAGCCGAATCCATAAACTATTTATTCCCCCTCGAAGAAGTAAACCATGATATCTAAAAAATTTCGACCTCTAACTCTAGAGAGACGCTCTATTCAACTTGCTAATCATCACCCAGCTACACACTAACCCTTAATACTTTCCCGCAACCTCCAAAATAATCTTCACCAACTCATCCGTCATCGTCAACGTGGGCGAGTGTCCCGTCTCCAACTCCCAAACCCTGACTTCCTTTCCCTCTTTCTTAACTGCCTCCAGCATACTCACTTGAAAATCCAAAAACACAGTCATATCCATTTTTGTAATCACATAACTCGTCTCAATAACTCTCCACGCCGCTCTATCTTTCAAAGGCTGATACATCGCATTTCCATTCCATCGACTCAAATTCGAGATATATTCTTCGATTTCTGCTTCTGTGACTTTATCATCTGGATTTGATCCAATGAGAAGAGTGCGAGGGTCACTATGCACGTGGGTTCCATCTTCTGCGATGGTGAAGACGACGGGGATGAGTTCTTCGTGTCCGAATAAGCGAACTTTATCCATCATAGACTCGCCTTCTAACATCATGAATGCGCTGATGTAGAGGAGATGGACAACGCCGCCAGATAAACCTTGGGATTTTCGAGTGGAAACGGCAAATTCGGTAAGGGCGTTGGTGCCGACTTGGCCGCCGTAGGAATGCATCAGTACAATGATGTGTTTTCCTTGAGAAACGAGATCGGAGATGTAGGAACGGACGAAGTCTGTGTCGGTGTAGAGGTCGGCGGTGGGTGGTTGGGCGCCGTTCATGCTGGGGAGGGAGGGGATGAGGAGGTCGTAGGAGTAGGTGGAGAGTGCTGAAACGAGTTTTAGGTAGTTTTGGGGGTTGTGCCAACTTCCTGAGAGGAGGATGAGGGTGGGTTTAGTTTCAGAGGTAGACATTTTGGTTGTTGGATGTGTGTTGTGGTGTTCTTGACTATGAGAATGATCAGGAGAGTAGAGATTGGAAATTGGTACTCGAATTATCAAGACTTGACAATCGTAGAACTTTCTTTCTTCCCGGGGAGGTCAAGGAAGTGTTAATGTCAGGTATGAAGGACACTTCAATTAGATCTTATCTTAATAGAGTACTTGTGGAGACAACGAAGCAGCGATCTTGGATCCAACATTTGGAAATATCAATACTCATAAGAAACTGTTGCGATCTTACTAGCCAAGAAGCATGATCTTACATGTGATCGTTTGCATTTGGAGATGTCCCGAGATATATTTACGATTCAATGGAAGCTCTATTTAAAAAAGGAGAATGTCGAGGTATTTACGCAGTGAATAGGAAATTCGGTGGGAGATGGGATATCGAAGGGCTCTGATTATTGATTGCTTACTGTACTACAGTCTCTCCCGTGATTACTTTACATCTAAACCAATTTTCATGTAGATGCAAAGCCTTCTTTCTCAATTCAGAATATCTGGTTCTAGCTATCTTTGTATCTACTGCTATATAAGTCGCTTCCATAATTCAGAACGACGATCTCTTTTTGGCTTATAAGATTAAGAGTTGTATGACCTTCTTCTCCTTAAAATCTAGAAATGTCACAATCTTCTTTAGAAATCCAAGCTTGGAAAAGTAAGCGGGGGGCTCGGCGGGATGAATTTACCCCGCCGTTAGTAACGCGACTAACCACTGGCGGACACCCCTCAACAATTCAATCGTTTCCCACCACTTCATATTAATAAATCGTTTCTTGAATACTGATCTGAGCAAAGACAGACTGAGATTTGCATTCGTAAGTTTAAGTCGAATTGTTCTATTTGTGGTGAATTATTGCAATAACTATTGAAGTAGTCAAATCTGGTTTGAAAGGCCTATCAAGTACCTATCAACATTCCTAAAAGTATCCAATAAATACACCTGTAGACTTTGGGCAATAGAATCTATAGATTAGATGTCAGATTATCGATTGAAATGAATTTCTCCGTACGATGAGATATTCAGGAATTAATCACAAGGCAGAATTGCTGTCAACCTGTTAAATGCAGGATGTTCCTTCCACACGATACTGCGTAAATGTTCTAAGCCACTGGATCATTCGCTTCGCCACATTCTGAGAGGGATTTGATTATTGGGGGGCTCGGGGGTATATATGTAAGTACTTGAGAATGAATAAAATCCTAATTACATGTTTGATTTTTGCTACGCTACGCGCTTTGGAATTTTTGATATCGATATTCGGTTCTAGTGGCGTTTGGAGTTTATATATTTTTACTTCTCGTTCACTTGACGCTCCAAAGAAAAAGGAGAAAAATGACTTTTTCAATTTTCAAAAGGAGAGAAAGTCACGATCATGATCACGATCACGAACAATCGGCAAAACCAGACCCAAACCCAAGCACATCTTCACTCCCTCGTTACTCGACCAATAATTCGCTTTCTCAACCTCCTCCCCCGTATTCCCCCACTCCACACACAACCATACCATCCGAAACCCATTCATCTCCCGCCCATCTCTCCGAATTGACCATCGACTACATCCCTGGAACACTCTTCAATGCATTCAAAAACACTCTCCTGATTTACGATTCTCCTCGCTATCCAAATACCAAACCATTACCTATTTTCAAAATGACGATTGAAGGCATGAAGAGAATTACGAGCATGTATATATACAGCGGAAGTATCAAGAACGAGGATAGTAAAGAGGAAGTGATGTTAGGAGGTGCACAGTTTGATAAACTTAATCGTAAGATAGAGGTACAGCAACTGGGGATAGAAGGGGTGCAGAGAGAGTCGGAATCGGGGGTAGAGCATTTTGGGGGAGGGAGGGGGAGGGAAAATGAGGGGAGGTATGAGTGGAGGTTTCATGAAGGTCATGATGAGGGGAAGGGAAATGGAAAGGAAGAGGGCAAAGAGAGGGTTCTGGTTTGGCAACAAAAAATACCATCGGCGACGCAAAAACTCTCATTCTCGAATCCGAATGCGGAGTTGAGGGACAAGAAGTCGGGGGATTTGTATGCAGTGATGATGTATGATGTTTTTGCGGGGAAAGATATGATGGGAATACAGTACAGGGGGGGTATTAGTGGTGGGGAAAAGGAGAAACGGGGGTTTCAAATGGGAGTTCTAATCACGGGGTGTGTGGTTGTGGAGAGGGAAAGACAGAGGATTGGAAGAAGGGGAACGATTGGGATGGGTTTGGGAATTGGAATAGCTTCGGGGTGATGAGAAGAGGGTTACTCTAGGTCGTGTGTTGTTCAAGAAGCTTTAGAGATGGTCCATCTATTAATATATGTAAAGAGATGACGTTTTTGATAAATTTTTATAAGTCAACTACCCCACTTTCCGACCACCCCCTGTTTCCGATCACCTAAAAAAATCATATTATCTACACTTAAAACTTTAATAACTCAATAATTATTAAACTTCAATAAAATCGCTTGTAGAATCACTTTCTATAGTACTAGAGTTATTATCTCCCTTAATTTCATAATCTCCTGTTTCAATTTGTGTATATCTTATAGCTCTAATCCTTGTGAACTTCGAATTTGAAGATATTATAATCTTTCACTTTTTTCTAGATAATATTTTATTTAATTAATATTTTAGCTTTTTAATTTTATTCTTTATTTCTAAAAGTTTATAATCCTTAATATTAAATTCTTTTATAATCTTATAAAATAATAATCTTTGTATTAATAAATCAATTTTCTTTTCTTAAATTATTATATCTCTATATTTTTTAATATTAGCTTTTTTTTAAAGGGTTTTTTATTAAATAAATAATAAATATATATTTTATTGAAAAATAGGATTATTATTAGATTCAAAATTAAATAATAAAATCTTTTTATTACTATTTTCAAGCAAAAGTTAATTTATAAGAGATTTAGCTATATTTTTGGGCTAAAGATTACTAGTTTGCTATTTAGATTTAATATTTTGAATAATTAAATCTTCTATTTTAGTTTTTTAATAATAAAAAAGGAAATTATACTTTTCAATTAATAAGAAATTGGATAATAAACTTAATTTATTAAGTTTAATTCGATATATACTTTTTAGAAATAAGAATATAAATAAATCGAATAATTATAATATATATAATATATATAATAAAAGAAATAAAAGATATATATTATTATTAAAATATTCTAATATAAATATTATAATTTTTAATTTCTATATCTATTTAAAATAAGAAGTTTTGAATTTTCTAATTAAATAAAAATAATTTGAAGAATATAGATCTTTTTTAATTATTTTAAAACTATAATATTTATAATTCATTTTTTCTATAATAATAAAATTCCAATCCTTAAATAAAATCAAATTAATTAGAAATTATTATTAAACTAATTTTCTCTTATATATTACAAAAGGAATAATACTTTTTTTATTAATTAAAATATATCTATAAAAAAGATCCAAATTCGAGATCCAGATTGTTTTTTTTGAATAAATCTTTAATCAATGTTTCTTATTATTAGTCTATTAAAACCCTAATTCTCCATTATATCTACTTTATTTATATTCTATTTATTGATTAATTTAATAGTCTTGATTTCAGGGATTATAAGATTCCAGAATTATTTTTAATAATATTAGATATATACCTGAAACTTATATAGAATTGATTTAATATTACTTTTTAATTTCCAATATTAAAATATTTTCAAAAAAAACTATATATTCATTTCTTTTCAAATAAGGGATTCTCTTTTTATATAATAAGAAAATACTCTACTATCTCTTAATTTAATAATATATAAAACTAATATAAAAGCTTTCTATACTAATATTTATTCTATTAATCAATTCTTCTGAATTGAAAATAATTTTTAAAGTATTTAGATATTTTTTTGATATAAATTTACTATATATTTGATTATAAAATATGATATATAAAATACTATAATCCAAATTAAAACTTTTTATATATTATTTTATTTATAATTACTTTAAAAACCTTTATAATATCTTTTTAATATATTTATTCTTTATATTATAATTATAATAATATCAAATTTCAAATTAATTGATTAAAGTATTATTGAGTTATTCAAAATATAAATTTTATAATTACTCAAAGTAATATGATTTTGAGGTGGTTGAAAAGAGGGGGTGGTTGGAAAGTGGGGTAGTTGACTTATCAGTAGGTCAATCCTAAGTCCAAAATCTACTACCTCAATAGCTTAATGCCACAATTTTAACATGATGATAGACTCATTCAGCGACAGCAATTATCTTTTGCTTCTTGCAATACGGCATTCCATTCATGTGAATCGTGCCCTTAGCATCCAAAACCATATATTGTCGCTGGGTCGATTCTCAAATCAACACCATCCATACACATAAGACTCAAGATCAAGTAAATTCAAGACACCACAAAGTCAAAAGTCAAGCTCCAACTACAAAGTTATGATAAGAATGGTCTAATTCGACACCTGTTCTCGCTTCCTTCAGGGAGAGCCAGCAATCTTCAAATTTTTGTCGAATATATGAGCGTGACCATGCTTGGGAAGCTTGAAAATAAAAGCTTTAGGGATCGACTGTAAATGAAAGAAAACACACTGGCGGCAGAAGTCAACACTGAGAAAATGATGATCAATCAGAATTGCATGCTTTCGCCCGGCCTAGATTCTTTTGAACTCAGTTCAAAGCATGGTGTCCTCGCCTAATTTTCAATCTTCAGTCTTTGCTCTATCAAATTGTTTTCATTGGTAGTTTTCAAAACAAGTATTCTCCGGTATTGGATAATATAATTAATTCTCTAATCTATATAGTAAATGTGTGTCAACGGGTGAAAAGAAAAGAAAAGAAAAGACACAAGTTTATCTACTACTGTCCTCCTGCCATCTCAATTAGCAACGTGAAAGACGTATCACATCGTAATTGACTGAGAGATTTCTTTCTCTCGAAAGAAGTCGGTTCAAATTAAAATATCGTTATAATATCGAGGTCTATCCAAAGGGGGATTTTAGCTCCGGCCCATTCTATGATTGGGCGCAGCTGCTCATCATCTTTGTAGAAACATGTAGGCGTGAAACTCAGAACACTCACTCGCTCAAATTCCATGCTACCCGTAAAAATAGATCTTAGTATGAGGCACTCAACATACCTCCCCAAAACTTTCGATGCAATCGGAATTAAACATAATCTTGAATCCTCAGATTCCTGTATTTTGATATCAAGGAACGAGACAACGCCGATATTAGTGGTTCTGCCTGGGTAAAAGAGACCTCCATAATAATCATAATCTTTAGAACGCCATTCATAGATATCTTTGGATCCGACAGGATAGATTTTACCCTTTAACCGAATATGGCCAGCGAAGTATTCAGTGTGAGCGCGACCTGGTGGGCTGGAGACCTTGGCCTCAAGAACTTCCACAAGCGCTCAAACGTCGGTTTGCGGAAATTGAATCTCAGCAGAATAACAGAGGTCCAGTGACGCCCATGACCAAGTGGGGCCTGAAGATTGGTTAGAGTAACCGATTAGAACAGGTTCAGGCATGTAATGCACAACTCACAGCGATAAGTATTTGGTCTTGAACAAAATTGAGAGCTCCTATGTATCTTCCAAAGCAAATTCAGAGGTAGCTCTTTCTTCCATAGTCCCGCAAAATAGACATCATCTAGCTCTTTCCCGTATTCTCGGGCTATGGCACCAAGAGCTACCAGTTGATCGGATAGATATGTGAGAGAGGATTTCAGATATCGATATAGAGTATCTTCCCAAAAATTGTATCCATCTTCTTGTAAACTCGATTTCCAATCTTTCGAAAAATCAGCATCGCGGTAGCCATTCCGGCTTATTAAGGATAGACCCATAGGAAAGGATTCGGAGGCCCTTTTCTCTCTGCATTCCCAGATCAACTGTTTAGAAAAGTGTATTTTTCGAGGACTCAAAAGACGTTCTTGGAGAACCCAAGCTCTCCCATAGATTGCATATTCAGAATCATCGATAATGTGATTAGATTTGAGAGATATCCCATAGAGCCCTTGGTACTCCTTGTCCGTACTAAACTTATACATAACTGACATAGCGAATATATCATCTGGAGTGCGAGTGTAGAAGAGTCCTGTATTGAGACTACTCTCATTAGAAGCATAAGATGCAGCAATGTTACAGAGAGACTGGGCATATACTTTGTACATAAGTGCTGCCTCGGTTCTCCAATCTTCTGGAGAATCCTGCATAATACACAAGGAATCTATCCAAATGTATGAGATTTTCATTTCCTTAGTATATTGAATAGCGTCTTGAAAAGTGGCAGGCATTTGATCTATTGGGATACTTTTCATCCACGCTAGTTTGTTGGTGCTTGAGAGTCGACTTGAATGATCGGGGGTAGCGGCCCATCTATGACTCAACGCAAAATATGGTGCATACTGGTTTTTTGAGAGTTCCTTTGTCTCCATAAGTCTTGTTCCGCCACCATCAAGCCCAACGTTAACGAGCCGCGTTGGTAGCCATGAGCTCTTATCAATGCGGCATTTCTTGTGATTTTGCATGCAGTTACTGATCCATTGTGAGGCGAGTGTGCGACCTGAAGCGGATGAGGTCTTTTCAGACATATTGTGACGTGAGGCTTTTACATCTGTATCTCTTTATACATCAAAGGAGCTCTCCTGAAGTCGTAAAATTGGCTAGGGGCGAAGACATACCAGAGATATTCAATATTATGAAGGTAGAAGAATGTAGCTTTGCTGAAGGATCTTGAGGCCACACAGAAAAATCCAATTTACCAGCAAATTTTGAAACTGACTTGGAATCGCATCGCACTTTTGGGGTAATAAAATACTTATATTCCATCCCAAGTTGCCATAATGAAGATTCGTTCATTTCGCGAAATGGGCTTCGACGTGTCATCTCCCACCAAAGTCCTGCGCACCAGTCACAGTGACCTTGAGCCGATGCCTAAAGCTCACTACCTTGTAAATTGGCCCTGTTCATCATAATGTCATAACGACGCCAAAAATTGATTTTCCTACATGTGAGAAAAGGCTCAACATGAGAAGTTGTATCAGCAGGTGAATATTTCAACAGCAAGCTGCCAGGTTCGTCGATATTTCGTTGAGGCATCATAGATCAAGAACTTCTGCAAGAATATCTCGGATTTGATCCATTTGTGTGTTCTACAAGAGAATCAACTTATATGGAGATCGACGACATATGAGATGAGGGGTACCGAGGTAATGTAAGTTGTGGCTGAGTAAAATGACAAGGAGTTCCAAGCAACAGCCTTAGCTGGCTTATCTCCACGAATGACTTCCTTTTGCCAAATTGTATTATAACACACCACTCATCATGGAGAATGAGAGCGTGCAATGCGCAACCCCATCCAATACTATGTTCCCCGAATTCTTTAGAAAATCATTCAGCCAGGTGTTCAGGCTGCGTTGAGAAGCGACAAAGAAGTCCCTTGTATCGAGATCCGAGTTTTGGCATCGGTATATACCTCTTTGACTGTGGCATTATTGTTGAAATCTATTCCCAGAGCCTCAATATTTGTCGAAATACCAAACAGGGGATAGATATTGTCTCTTGGATCTATTGCGTTAAAGTCCAAGCCTTGAAACAAAGCAGACTCTAGAGTAACAGAACTACCCTTCTCTAAGTTCTCCTATTTGGTAAAGGATTGTAGATGTACCCAAGCGATCTGGAAATGATTCATCTTGAATAAGCAAAAGCAGTCTATCTAGGTCCATCCCTATTATCATACTTGCCACAAATCCAAGGGCTCACCGCAAACCTCGGTGAAGATCTATATATCAAAAAGACAATACCTATAATACAAACTAACCTATATAAAGCTTTACAATTCGACTTTGTAAAGAGACGAGGAAACCTCAAAGTGCTATATCTCAGTCGATCTTGTCCTTTCATCAACCACTTGCAATTTGCCGCCTTTCAAAAGATGATTGTGCGAAAACTTATCCGTATTTCACCATATATTCCAATACTCCTTTCTGCCAAGACAAGGCATACTCTCTTCCTAACATTACACATGTTTATCACGTGATCTTCTGAGCAAGGAGCACCACTCGACGCTTTCCCTCAATAATATTACATCCAAATACAGGGTCTTTGAAACACTATTTCCATTGTTTATTATCTGACAGAACTTCAGAGGTACCTTGCTCCTAGTATGAAATTGACCATTCAGAGTACTAAATTTCTGCATTCAAACTTCACACTCCAAAACATCCATCATTTAAATCTCAGTCTCTAAGATATCAACTCATCACCATTCCACCTGTTCGATCTCAAGACTTACTATCTCCAATTCTCTCCATCAACGGTCACCATGATCGTCGCACAAACATACCCTGACTCCTTAGAAACTCAAGATGTCAATTGTCTCGGGTATACTAATTCCTCACCTGAAACTCACTCGAGCCTTATCAAATATCAGTATTTGTAAAGTTTTAAGAGAGCAGTTGAAGAAACTACTACCGAAAAAATTGGAATCCATGTGCTAAGATTGAATCAATATTTTCGAAAATTATTAGATATACTAGTCTGTCTATGCACCACCACGAATGATTTTTTCCGGTTCCCTCGTAACACCCAGGTGAAACCAATCACCATAAATTTTCCGCATCCAGTTCAGTCAGCAGCGGAAATACGACAATCAAGCGTGAACACTCCTGCCCCGTCCCTCCTCAACCCCCAACCCCCAGAAATCTAAAAATCCTCCTCCTCCTCCGGCTGCCCCATCAAACTCCACTGCTCCACCGCATGAATCTCCGCCGGCCACCGATTCACCAACCTCCTCGCATTTTTTTCCTCCCTCGAAATGCAATGTTCATAAATACCCGTGACATCCTCACGATCCAGATTCGTTCTCTTCTTAATACACTTCTTGGAGCCCTTGAACTTTTTCATCCCCAACACCAGGATCTCCACCGCGGGGGGTTCCCACACCTCGTCATGCGCGGCGCGGTACTCCTGTAGGGATTTCTCTAGCATATCTTTCATTTCCGAGGGTTTGTGATTGAGCAGCTGCGAAACCGGTACGTCGAGCGGTTCGTGGTAGACGATGGAGGTATTGCGCAAACCGAGCCACTGATCAAACGGTTCGATGAGCAGCGTAACGGATTCTAGCGCGGGGAATTTATACAGCCAATCGAGAAGCCAGCGCTCGGGGAGAGGCTCGAGATAGAGACCTTGCGCCAGCCAGATGTTGAGGGGTAGAGCGATATGCTGCACGACGGGCACAATCCCGTCGTTGCGATACGAAGCAGGAACTTTTTCTTTGAAGAGATATTTTTCCATGGTGCCGCTGGTCCAGGATGCAGAGGGGGGAAAGTAGATAGTATCGGTGTTGGGATTCCAGTAGAAATCGGATTCTTCAGTGTTGGGACCGAGACCATTGCGAAGGATACTTAGAGCCACGCATCGAGATTCAGAATTGACATGACAGATGGAGGGAATAGCCGAGAAATTTCCCTGCAGGGAAGCTCGCGTATCGTCGTAGGCGTCGACTTTTACCTTGAGCGTTCGGCCGCTTGGAAGTGCATGTCTCCAGATGTGTAGACGGAGCTCTGGTGGAAGATTGCGAAATTGTGGGAAGAGCGGTCCCTCATCTGATTCCACAAACTTGGAGTGGTGGTCAAGTGACATAATTGCAAGTAAGTATCCCTTCGGAGAATTTTTAGAAATAATGTTGGGGTATCTCGGCAACGCAACAAAATGTAACTCTAAAATACGGTCCGAAAGTCACTTAATGCTAATTTAATATCAAACACGGCTTAATTATTAATCCACGATTCAATGGAAATACAGAGATTTATCAAGGATATGAATAGTGGCGGTGTAATAATCTACGCGCGCGATAGGATCTCGGTCTGTTGGAAGCGGTCGACAATCCCTCGACATCTGGACCAGCCGCGGTCACATGAACTTTGGACAGTTCAACTACAACGATAATATATGGAGAAAATAAGCGCACGCGCTTTGATAAACTTTCCGGGTCGTCTGGCCGGGTGGGAAGTTGACCACGGTAGAGAAACATTGAATTTTGAAGATTGTTGGTTGATGTTTCAGAATCGAAACCACAATTTTGGGAATTGAGCCACGGTCATGAGAAACTGGCCATGCAACCATGCTTTTGAAGTAGAAATAAATAGACCTTTTGATGGCCCAGAGGCAAAGAGAGATACTCTGTTGACCGACATGTTCTTTAGCTGTAGGCTTCAAACTCTGGCGCCTGTAAAAGAATGATCTGGACGATGGTGTACAGTATAAATGCTACGTATACTGGTTATTACCTTACGCCACCATTATTGTAATATTAAACAGATAATGCTGATTAAAATTGACGAGAGGATATGAATGGTGTCGTGATAGCTTGAGGCAACAGCAGGTTATTGACGGATTCATGCTTCCAAAAAGAGAAATCGCTGAACCACAAGTCCGCAATGTATCATGCAGTGAGGCACATATTAATCTTCTTGAATCATAAAAAACAGGACACTTGCCCGATTCCCAATTCCAATATGAACCTGAAAGCTCAACAAGGATGTGCAACAACCAACTTTGATAATAGAAATCTAATATACATTACTACATCTCTGTCAATTTCTAAATGAGACGCAGCTAAATGCCATTAAAACGTGAAATCTTCAATTCTTTCTCCCATGTCTCGCTGAAACTTCTCTTTCGACCATATAGTCTATATGTATATACATCCACCCAACCGTAATTCTTTATCCACATATCCCCATAGTCACTTCAATCATGTTCCCTTTCAAGTCCCCATCTACCACTTTTCCCAATCATCATCTTTCTTTGCCCCAACGCTACTTCCATTTCCACCTCCACCATTCCTCTTGACGGCCGCAGTTCCAATTGATGCACTTGGTGCATGTTGTCTCTTGGTTCCAGCATCAGCAAAACTATCCCAGAAATCCTTCTTGCTCTCATCAATGGGTACATTCCTAGAAGGACCACCTCCACTGCCTTCAACAAAACGGTTGAATCCATCTGCGGCGCTTTTGGCTCCAGTTTGCGCATTTCGGGCAACTTGAGCGGCGGTAATTTGTGCTTGTTTCGCTACCTCGGACTCGGCGATCTGAAAAGAACAGTTGTCAGTTGATGTTCATTATGCGGACATGAGAAAGCCACAATTGATATGTGGTGTCAGGGAAGCAAGATTACCTTCGCAGCAGTAGGTTGTATATATCCTTCATTAACAGTCTTTGCCGTCCTTCCCACAGTAGTTGTGAACCATCCAAAGCCCTTGGTAAGTGCCGCGACAGGATCTCTCTGTAAATCTTCGAGGCCTGGCAGTTTTGCGTTATTATCTTCTCTCTCAATTGGTTGACTTCCAAAACCTCCGTATTTGCCACCTTGTGAAGGTGGTAAATCCTCGGATCGATTTGCGTTCGCAGCTCCAAGTCCAGCAAAATATCTATCGTCAACCTTCACTTTGCCATTAGAAGGACTGGCGTTTCTTGTTCCAAGAGGAGTTTGTGATTGGGAGTTGCTAGAACTATGGTTGGAGAAAGATGTGGCAGCAGTTGTAGATTTTGAAGCCGAGGCTTTTGGTACAGGGACGTATTCGCGTTTCTCGACTTTGGCAGTGAGTCGTTCTTTGTATTCCTCTCCAACTTCGCCAGAGTATCGCTCAGCAATAGTTGCATCATCCCAACTGCGAATGTGTCAGTTATGTGTCACTGCCCACCGCCCTCCGCCCAGCGCAATAATTGTGTCGCAAATATAGTCCACTTACGTGATACCACTCATGACGTTTCTATCATCCTGATCGAAGAATTCCCTCCAAGTCTTATTTCCTCCTTCTCTCATTCGTTCGATTTCTTGCGCCTTGAAAGCATCCATTGTGATGCTTCTTACAAAACTAATGTGGACTCCTAATCCGCGGTGAACTCCAGCGCAAGATAGACAGATGAAAACGCCGAATTTTGGTGAAGCCCATTGGGGAGAAGGTGCGCCGCAGTCGATACATCGGTCATTTCCATTGGTTTTGGAAATATCAAGGAGCTGAGTTCAAGATGTGTTTAGTATGAGTTCTGTAGAAACGAGACAATGGATATCTGCGCTCATGGATGGGCGCCCCGTAAAGAGGAGATTACCTTTGACCTTGTCTCTGGATCAACCTCCCACATAGCCTTTGAAGTCATTTCTACTATTGGCGTTGGATCAATTGCTGACTGTGTGTTTTCTGTCCCTCTAATCTCTCCAGGTCCCGTTGTCGATAAAATTGCCTACTCAGGCTTCTTTGCGCTCCAAGTTTCAATTGCTCAGTGACGTATTCTCAGATGTTAAGTGTCTTGCGCGAGCGTCGAGAATTTAGTGAGAGTAATTGAATTATTGATTGGTATGTACGGGTATGAATGGCTATAGATGTTTATCGTCGTATGTACGAGTAGATCGCTTCTAGTATTGATGTGGTGGGGCTTTACAAAGGGGAATTGAGGTTCTAAATTTGGGAGTGTTCGCGCAATGGAGGTCAAACCACGCTAAATGAGATCTAGACCAATTAATATCCAAGGTTAAATTAAATGCCTACCTAGGTATCGTGATTGTAAGGATTTGGTTTGGGTCTTGAGAAAAAAGGGGCAACCGATTTAAGGGTAGGTGCTCAACGATTGAAATGGGGAAGCAGGTTTTATTAAGAAATTGAGAGACAGTGGGTTATCAAAGTTTTAGCTAGAAGCACATCTGGTCACGTCATCAATTTTCATGTCACTTGAGAAAAATATCATTCTGCTGGTAAAATCGTTCACGTTATTATCATTGATCTGATAATGATAGGGTTGTCATCAATCATTAATCAATAATTTTTCCATGCCCACCCATCCCATATGGAAGCACGTCAGAAAAAAATCTAGTGTACACCCACAGAATGCCAGCAAAATTGTAATAAGACATAGTTTTTGAAAAAGAGTCATGAAGAACTATGAATCCATACTCGGGAATGAAAAAGTCAAGTCTGTCGGAAAGAAAGAGCGTAGAAGCCCAAATATCTATTTAGACGCCATTAACAAATCCACCGAGTTAGTATTCATATGTCCACCTAAAAGAAAATCGTGAAAAAGATGATCGATCCATTGAATAAATCAAAGGAGCAAATCCATCCTTTCCTATGAGAGCTTCCACAACGCGTTGACAATGGTCCAAAAGCAACGCATAGCAATGCATTAGTCTATCATCTGCAGGTTTGTAGAAGACTCCTCTCATTCACATCATACAACGTTTCCTGCTTAAGCAGAAACGGTTTCAGCACCGGCTGGTGGGGCAGCGGCAGTCTCGGCGCTGGCATCAGCAGAGCCAGCGTTGACATCATCATCGGTCTTGTCTGGGCTGTCGATGGCGACCTTGACGGCGATCTCACGTCCTTCGATTTCCTTTCCGTTCATCTCAGCAACGGCCTTTTGTTGTTGTTCCTCGCTAGATAAAGTAACGAAGCCGAAGCCACGACCCTTGCGGGGTTCACCTCGGGCTTGGAGCTTCTTAACCATGAAACGGGGAATTGGGCGAAGGGCGATCTTGGCAGAAGTTGGCTCGTAGACGGCAAAAAGTTCCTTGAGCTACAATTTTGTTAGTATATCATACGAAAGAGGCTGTTTTGGAACATACCTTATCCTCGTGGAGATCATATGGAAGGTTAGCAACCATGACCTTGTTCTTGGATGGAATTCCATCAGCTGGTGGGCCACGCTCGCGACGCTCACGGGGTGGGCGAGTAGTTTGTGGCTTAGCCTCCTTGGACTCAGTAGTAGCTTGGTTGGTAGTTTCGGTCAAAGGAAGAACCTCAGTGGTAGCAGGTGTCTCGGTAGCACCCTCCTCAGTACGGGTCTGTAGTCATATCAGTAAATTGTTCTCCTGGGAAATGTAACCTTCAAAAAACTTACAGCGTTGTTGCGGCGTCCTCCACGTCCACGGGCACGTCCACGTCCACGGCCAGATTGTCTGCGGCGTCCACCTTCACCGCCAGATTGACCCTCTCCTCCGCTTGCAGCAGTCTCAGTCTTGTCGTTTGTCTCTGGCTTGCGAGCAAGTTGAACAGAGACCTTGCGATCCAAGATCTCCTTTCCAGAGAGCTCAGAAATAGCACGCTCGGCCTCAGTTGGGGTAGAGAGGTCGACGAAAGCATATCCGACTGGACGCTCAGTACGTGGGTTCTTTGGGATAGAGGTGGATTCACTGTATCAAAGTATTAGCTCGTGTAGTAAAAATGGTACAAATCAAACATATTCGGAAAGTGCAGAGATACTCGCAACTTCCCAAAATCTGCTGATTTTAGGTAGCATACGAATTTTGATAGAAAATTGAAGACGACGTTGAAGATGACGTGTGAAAGTGAGTAGAGGTAATCCTTACATTAAGTATCCCTTGAAAAAGGCTTGCAACTCCCCCTCGGTGGTCGCATATGCGAGGTTACCGATGTAAAGTCTTCTTCCCTCTGCAGCACTGGCCAAAACAGCTTCCTTGTCGGTAGTAGTGTTGGCAGCCTTCTCACCAGTGGTGGTCTCGGCGGGCTTGTCAGAGATGGATGTGTTGCTAAGAGCGGCAGTAACGTCGGTGACGGCGTCAGAAACTTTCTCCACGATGCTAGACATGATGATAATTGATTTGATGGTGTGTGGTAGTTAAGACTGAGTAGAAGCTTGAATTGAATTGAAAATTGATCGACGTTTGCTGGGAGTGTGTTTTAATACTCTCTGAACAAATTGGGGGAGTTGGAAAAGGGTAGCTAGGTGCCCTAGTGGTCTGGTTTTGGGGAAGTTGGTTGAGGTTTTGTTGTGATTGACACTTGATGGAATTCTTGAAGTTGAGGTGTTCAAAAGGAAAGGGAGAAAGAAGTCGGGATTGCGCAGTGGGCAGAATATATCAAATTCCAATGGAATCGCTGGGGCAGCCGCATCTTAGCGAGTGGCACTTACCGTAATTGGATTAAAGCCAGTGGCTGAACAGGGCTGGGAATGGGGATTCTATTCGATTAGAGAATTTTTAGATTAGACAGAAGGTTCGACGCAACGCAGAAATCCACTGTGAGAAGGAAGACGGTCGTGATTAATTGGCCAGCGAAGGGCAGAATCATTGATAAGGTGGCAGGCTATTGGCAGTTGGCAGGTGGCACAGGTGGTACGGTGAGAAGGAGGTTTGATATTGAATGAACATGGGGAAATGGATGATAAGATAGGAGGTAGAGAGGAATGAATGGATTTAGTCTATCTGTAGTTACTAGAATATATATGATCTATGTTCTGTATTCTGTATTCTGTATTCTTCATGCTACTCATCGTTGAGCCTATGGATGTAGCGAGACAGGAGATACCCAGGTAAGGAGGAATCATGGCGTAAAACGATTAGATATTGAAATGTATGGTATTATCTGCTGGCTAGGTATTCAACACCAAAGATACAACCCCCAGGGTAAGTGAATCTGCAGTAGGGTTATCCAGTTGAGAAAAGCCACCATACGGTGTGAGATTCGATGCTGTTCTCGAATGCCACATAACATGGGGAAATGGCGAAAGAGGCAAGGTCAGGTAAGGAGTCATATCATAAAAGGGGGAGGATGAATGACTTGGCGATTGGGCGATTGTTTACTTGCCTACCTAGATATGGTCAAGAGCATTATTTGTGAAAGACGTACCTTGTACCTACCTGGTACCTACTTCTACTTGCCTATGTATGGATCAATAGAATTTCCCGTCAATGAATGCTGTCACCGAATGCTTGATATGGTATCATGTGATATAAATACAGGACAATATATATCAATTGATGAAATGATACTGTACACAGTCTCGAGACAGTGCAAGAATATCAAGAAAATGTCAAGAAATTATTAGGGCATTTTTTGATAGATTTGATAGCTAGATGATTCACACCTAAATATGTCATTGTTTTTTTATGACATCAAATTAGGTTCTAGGACCACTTAAATACTCGAGTAATAAAGTATGTAGATCGATCCATTACTACGGAGTACAAGTATCAATATCTACTCTATGTGTCTATCAAAAATCAAGATGCATCACCAATATTCCCCAATATATAATCAAATATAAAATACCCCAATCAATTTTGATAATTCTGATTAATAAAACATCTTTTAGTATCATCTTATTTATATAGTCCTATATAGTCCTATATAGTCCTACCTATGTTATCTAGATATCTCAATCATATCTAACATCCACTCATTTGTACCAAAATCCTCATCCCCCATCTTCCCAACACTAAATTTCCATGTTCCCACTCTTTGTATGTGGTGTTGTCATTATGTACTTACTCATAATCATAAGTATGCCTGCATTGCAGCTTGCTTATTAGTTGGAAACAAACGTTTTCCTTCTATCGCTTTCTGTTGCTAACCGTTCTTTGTCTTGTCTTGTTCTGTATGCATGAAGCACAATACAATACAAAGACTTTGTATCCTTCTCGAAACTACAAGACAGGTTGTACGATAATCACATGATACACACACAACCACAAACCACAATACCGCACTCCATGGATTTACCTTGAAACTTACCTAGTCCTCTTGTTAATAATTGCTCATGCTGTAAGCAGTATTGGTGAATGAAATGGGAATTTGAACAGTCAACAAACCAATATCTCGTGACTTGCATGCAGCTCTTCTTTGATAATGGTGACCAGAAATTATTTTTCTTATCAACTGGGCGACTGTGAATTTAGTATTATCGAGTCATACATTGATAATTGCCATTGCCACAAACAATCATCAATCAGTTAATTGTCCCAAATGTCTGATATACTCAATGGCCAACGGCATGATAGGAGCGCACTTATCCTTTATGGAACGGAAACTGGTAACTCTCAAGATGTGGCCGAAGAATTGGGACGCATTACAGAAAGACTTCATTTCATGACAAGGGTGTGTGAGATGGATGAGGTTGACATTGTATGTAATTTCTTCCCCAAATTTAACCAGATTATACTTATTTGTATACAACAGGGAGAATTATCAACGTACACCTTTGTTATATTTACATTGTCAACTACAGGTCAAGGAGAATTTCCAAAGAATGCAAGGAAATTTTGGAATAGTCTTTTGAGAAAGCGTTTGCCTCCCAATTGCTTGAGTCACGTGAACTTTACCACTTTTGGTCTTGGTGATAGTTCCTATGCAAAGTAGGTACAAACTGGGATAAAAGTCAAGTAGAGTGCAAGGGGGGAAAGAAAGGTACTTGCCAAATAGAATGATATACTAACAACTTTTCAGATTCAATTTTGCCTCTCGTAAACTACATAAAAGACTGGAACAGCTTGGTGGGAATGAAATATATCCCAGAGGTGAAGCAGATGAACAACATGATGAAGGGTAAGTGAAATTTCTATCTCTCTGGGAAGCGTTTTTTTATTTATATTAGAGAGTGTTTGCGTATATAATCTATGGTAGAAGTTGCTCTATGTCTTTCATCCAATCTTTGTACCTGCCTGACTTACTAACATAAATAGTATTGATGGGACTTTCCTCTCTTGGTATATTGACCTTAGGAAGAAACTCCTCGAATCATATCCATTGTCAGATGGCTTAGGTCCAATTCCTGATGATGTCCTTCTACCCCCAAAATACTGGCTAGAGTTGGCAAACGATTCTTCTACAGGTATTGGGAAATCAAGTTTATCGCTCGAAAATCCAGATGACAATGGTCAAACTAAATTTGATACATTAAATAGCAAGCTTGCTCTTGCCAAAGATTTGGAAGCTTCCAGCTTATCTGAAGACTCTACTGATCCAGATACACTTGGAGACTCCGATATTCAAGCTCATCAATCTTCCGTCCCAAACACAGCGATAATGGCAGATAAATTTGGCTTGGAATCTGGGATAAGATTTGATAATGGTTTTGACGCACCAGGACCACCATCGAATCGATTGACCGATTTCGACAAAGAGCAACCAGAAGATGACAATGTATTACCCCCACCGGCGCTTTTGAAAGGGATTAAAAAGAATCGTTCACCACTTATTGTCACTATGGAAGCCAACAAGCGCGTCACTCCTTCAGGCCACTGGCAGGATGTTCGCGAGATCACATTCAAGCTTAGAGGCAAAGATTTCATGTTGAATCCTGGGGATACCATATCAATATATCCCAAAAACTTTCCTGAAGATGTCCAAACCCTCATTGATCTGATGGGATGGAACGATGTTGCGGATCTGAAGTTGCACTTTAAACCAAAATCACCGGATTGGTTTGGCGCGAAAAATTTGATAATGGCCCCAGATGGTCTCAATAAGATTGGAGACGAACAAACACTCAGAGAGTTACTGATTCATAGTCTTGATTTTCACGCCATTCCCAAACGCCATTTCTTCGAGCTTATGGCCGGTTATACAAATGATCCAACACACAAAGAACGCCTCCTTGAGTTTCGAGATCCTCTCTATACCGACGAACTTTACGATTACACCACTCGTCCTCGTCGCAGCATTCTTGAATGTCTTCAGGATTTCCCAAGCGTCAAGCTTCCTTGGAAACATGCCATCACCATTTTCCCTGTGATCAGAGGTCGTGAATTTAGTGTCTGTTCCGGCGGCGACTTTCACAAACCCAGCGTAGTCCCAGACGAATACTCCCAAAAGTCTAAAGAATTGAACAATTACGGAAACTTCGATGATGCTAGGCCCTTCCAAGATTATCAATTTCAAATTCTAGTCGCCATTGTCAAATACCGCACCGTTCTTCGAAAGGTTCGCAATGGTCTCTGTTCCCGTTACCTAGCCACTCTTCCCAAGGGAACAAATCTCACGATCCAGTACAATGCGAACCCTTCTTTCTATAAAGTACCCCCGCTTGTGCCAAAACTTCCCCTCATCTTAGTCGGTGCAGGTACGGGAATCGCACCTCTACGATCATTGATCTTACAACGCTTGAAAGAAATTAAACAATCAAGGGAGGGCATGATACAGTTCGGAAAAGTCCATCTTATATATGGTGGACGTAATCGCAACGCTGATTACTTCTTTGCTAATGAGTGGGAATCGACTCAAGTAAAAGATCATGTACATACAAGTCCGGTTTTCTCGCGAGATCAGAAACAGAAAATTTACGTACAAGATGAAATTAGAGCACAAGGAAAGGAACTTGCAGATTTTCTTACGAATCAAACAGCAATGATTTATGTTTGTGGTAGCTCGGGCGGTATGCCCAAGGCTGTGAGATGTGCTTTCTTGAGCGTCTTGCAAATTCATGCGGGCATGAGTATGGAGGAAGCGGAGGATTTCATCGCGAACCTGGAGAGGTTAAAGAGATATATACAAGAGACGTGGTAGAGTATCTTGTAGGTGGCAGATGGAGAGGGATTGGAGTTTCATTAATTGATGTGGGGTAATCATTGTGGAATACATCAAATTGCGTGGAGATTCTATCCCCACACTAGATGGATAAACTGACGGCTGCTAGAATGGCTTGGGCTTATGAGAAAACATGTATAAATTCTCCGGTTCTTTCATCGCAATTGTACTCGCAATTTTACTGGCGACGCTAAAAACTGTATCATACAATTGAACACATCACTACCCTGATACATGGAGCTTTATCATAAACCTCCTAGATTGCCGGATACTTAATAACCATCCATAATTTTATCCCTCCTCTTCTTCATCTAGATACATGTGCCAATGTCGTATCACCACCCAGTCCTTAAAGCCGTAAATCCCCACCCCACAAACACGAAAAGTCTACTGTACAGCAGTACTTCACACCAGAATCCCAATATCAACTACTACCCCCTCATCATCTCCATCCCCCTCCCCTTCATCGTCAAAGACGCCCATATCCCCACACTCCCCCCTCTCTTTCGCCCTCGTACTCCCAGAACTAGAACTAGAACTAGGACTGGAACGCATATTCAATATAGAAGGTAAATCAATCGAAACCATGTATCCGCGCGCGTGAGGTAGATAATCGACTTTTGTATGGTGGGGAAGGAGATGGGTGAGTGGGAGGTGGGAGATGGAGAGGGTGGAGAGTTTGGGGGAGGGGGTGGGGGAGGAGGGGGAAGATATGTATAGAGCGAGGATTCCGGTGCCTTTTAGGTGGATGTGGAGATTGAGGGTAGGGGCGGGGTCGGGGGTTTGGATGGGGGGTGTGGAGGAGATTGAGGAGGAGGGTGAGGAGGATGATGGGTCTGAGGCTGAAGTTGAAGCAGGGATAGATGAAGTAGATGTAGAAAATGAATATGAATATGAAAATGAATGCTTGAGAATTGCAGCCGCGCCGACGAATTTGTGGAGGAGACCGAGGATGGCGAGGGTGATTGGCGGGGTGGTGGTGGTGGGTTGGGGGGTTTGCTGTGCGGGATTGGAAAGAGAAGTTGGTGGAAGAGGGAGAGGAATAGTATATACCGGACACGCGGTGAGGATTTCCCATCCGGATTCGGTTAAGGTGATTAAGCATTTACTCGCGTTTGTTCCCCGGGCTGTGAGTGAAATAGGTGGAGAGAGAATACTGTTCGAGGAGCTGTGTAGGATGTATTGGTTTTTGTTTTCTTGGGCTCTTTGATTTTCTTCGGTGGTATCTTTTTTATTTTTGTGGAAAGATGAAGAATGCGAGAGGGGGAAAAATTCCTCAAGTCCGATGGTCTCGGTGATGGACCCGGAAGAAAGAGTGTTGAATAATCCGAGGACTTTTACGTTGGTTTTGAGGGTTGAGGTGTGCAGTTTTAGTATGCGGTGGGAGTGCGAGCTGGGGTATACGGATGTGGATTTTGCGGGGTGGGTGCGGAGAATGAGAGGGGGGGATGGAGTTGAAGAGGGAGATGCAGATGGAGATGATTGGAAGGGGGTGCAGGAAAGTCGGGAAAGGAGAGAAGGATCGTGGTGAGAGGGCGTATCGGTTATGGATAGGAGACCGCCAGAGAGAGCGCGCGCGGCGGCGTGGTAGGATGAGTAGCGGGGGACTTGGGAGGAGGTTTGAAACATGTCCCAATCTGGGATGATGTTTTCGAGATGCGTGGTTAGGTGTGCGGTGTGTGAGTTGGTGTGGATGTGCCTATAGTTCCGAGTTAGTAATTGTTTGAGATGATGAATACAAAGTATAATAAGGAGATGGAAATTTACCAAGCATGAGTAACAGGATCGTTGGGCCAAAAATCGTCGGAATTGCGCATGGCGATTTTACTTGTGGGATGGGTTGACGAAGAGAGTAATATTTGAGGAGAGAAAATATTAGCGGGATATTGGGACATGCATGATATTACTCTGTCTTCGAAATGAGAAAGTAGTGATGCGTGGATTGCGTTTTGATAAGCTGGTATTAATTCTCTTCTGTCTTTGGCGTTTTTCAGATCGTCTAATAATCCTTGAGTGTCCAGTTTGACCGCATCTATACCACAGCTGACGAGAAATCTGTGGAAGCGTTAGCAAGTTGGTAAGATGAAGAATGATATGTAGCTGGGGAAAATACATACGAATAAAAGTCGTCATAGAATCTTCTCACATCGCAAGCATCGACAACCCACATTCCACTGCGTCGCGAATTATTGATCTCTACCCGTCGCAACTTGTACTTCATCCCAATATCACTCTCAGGTTCAATACCTCCCCAATAGCCAAAAATACCGTGCCAAACCCCAATATTCTTGATCCATGGGTAAGATTTTCTAATCTGTAGCGAGAGATTGGTAAGACCCTCTGGGAAGGATGTTGATGAAGCTTCGAATCTTGACCAACGATTTTGATTTGGGAAAGTTTCGGAGCCGAAAGGAGTTATGAATTGCCATCCATCGTCTATTATTATCGTAGATGGGTAGATTGAGGATGCGTCCAGATCGTCAAGCGCGGCGAAAAGAGTAGTAGATGTTAAGGTGGGCCCGAGCGAATTCCATGTACAATATACCAGCTCGTCGTGGAAACTTTTCCTGACTTTAAGATCTAGAGATTTTTCGACCCTTCCACTCGTAATGGGCTCTTTGTTTAAGCTTGCCTGAACAACTCTTTTTGTATGGCCCATTGCAGCCGCGATACCCTCCTCTACAGTTCTGCCCACGGCACAGATAACAATCCCGTCTCTTGCCTCTTCATTCTCATTCTTTCCTATAGAGGCAATACTCCCATTCTTACCAGATGTCAGCGTCGTTACAACACCATTCATACTCAACGCAAGCATCACAAGATTCATCCCATCACTTCTTAGGAAGGATATCAGAATTGCTTTTGGCTCCGCATCCTCTGTATAGAATTGACAATCATCTTCACCCAAGTCAAATTTAGATCCGCCATGACGTGGCACTAGCCAGAAATTCATCCGTTTGACAAGTGCAAAATATTGAACTACATCTTTTGGGAATCCAATGGTAGTTCGTTGAACACTTGGCTCAGTGACGGAAGTGACAGAAGCAGGTATCGAACACGTCAAAGTCCATACGGGCGAATCGGATTCTTCATGCTGTCCATGATACGTGACGCGAAAATCACCTGACAAGTTGGAAATATATTTCTCAATTGAAGACAACTGTAAGGTAGTTGGTGATTTCTGGAAAATAATCTCTGCATCACCAACGGAATTGGGATCATCATTCACCCATTTCCAGGTTGAGTCTCCGCTTCTTCGATATTTGACGGTATAATAAATTTGTTGTCCGTTCAATGATTGCCGTTGCAGGGTGTTTGAAAACCCCAAAACTGAGGTTTCAGGGTCTGCAGAAAGCTTTGCCTTTTGTCAGTTGCATTCAAAATCACGAGGGTAGAGAATCAGATATCCTTACAATTGGTATATCATCATCACTCCGGGTGAGATCAAGCTGTTTCCAGCTTATATCCTTCGAGCCGTACCATACTGCTACTTCCCAGTTTGTTTGACCATCGTCATGCGGTAACAATGCAACTGTGACGTTAACCTACGCATATGTCAGTTGAATAATTTGCCTTTGACACAGGAACTACGTCATGTGATCTTACCTGGCTCTCAGCAATCACTGTGGTCTGACCCAGAAGCGGATTGCAAATAACTTGAGCAGTCATTTTGCTTGATGATATTACTATGGCAGTTACTTTCCGAACCCGAGTTTTGTGGAAGACCTGGGGAATTGGTGGTGTTCAACATTAAGTTACGCGCCACAGCAGCATAACCCCACAACCGTGCGCCCCCTGACAATCTATAAATTAGCGATGTGGGCCTTACCTCCTTATGTTTAACAGGGTTGCGGCGGACATCATCACCGTTTCAGGAGTGTAACCGCTCTGTTGCCTTTGAAGGAATCAGTTTCCAAGAAAAGTAAGGATCAATTCATTACCAGCCGGTGTGAAGATTGGGTTTGAAAATCTCTCCAATACCTCTGGCTCTAGGATTGCAAGTGTGAATGCCTTCGGAAGCACACTTCTAATTTTAAGGTTAATTTATTCGAGAATGAGGAATCCTTCTTGAGTCTGGGGAGGAAGATTGCGATATGGCTATAGCCATGTATGGGACAGATGAAGGACTGAGCAGTTCCACTCAATATCTCAATCTTTATCGATATTTAAAAGGTCACTCCAAAGGCCTCTTGATTTTTCCCTGAGCAGTATCTTCAGAAATCGCTTTCAACAATCACTATGGGTACCAATTCACTGAAAATATTAGTGGCTCTTTTGCTCACAGCAGCATCCATGGAATCAGCTCATGCTATACCAGCTGTAGATCCCAATGTTGATACGCCCACCAAAGCTCACGAGCTTGTCTCCCGTGCCGCTCCCTCAGAGCCCATTCTAACAAACACCGCTGTTGCTACCAGTGCTGAAGCTTACACGAATTGCTGTCAGTGGGATGAAATTGAAGATGGCCGTCTAAGGTTCACTTTGAATCTCGCCGGTGTAAGTACATGCATACATTCGTTCCCCTTCTCAATATTATATTTGCGCCAAAGATATCGAATAATATATGCGACCAACTTTACATATCTTAAAACTTACATTCGAATAGTGGGGAAACAAAAATCATCAAAAGAATCACACAATTTCCGACGACAAGAACTGCGCTCTTGAACTGTTTGATGAAATATCCTCCTTCAGTAAGAATCTTTCCCCATTTCTTCTCGTGACTGCCTTGCTGAATCAGCGGGTCATCTAGCCGACTATGTTCAAAAAATAGAGGATTGGATGTGTGTTCCCTCTTACGGTGCTCTCAGAGACACCTTTGTGACTTTCAATCTCAACATTTTGACACCTAGTCCTGTGCTTTGGGCTTTAAACACAGTAGATCCAATCCCTGAAGAATGGAAATGCATTATGCCGGTGAAGAAGGAAGAACATACCTGGTATTGTAAACCGCAACAGTTGAATATTTGATTATCTATTTTGATCAAGAGATCGGATGTCGCTACTACTTTGGTTGCGTTACGGAGCTAGATCTGAAGAAAAGGGCGTGTCGGAGAAGACGAGGATGTGTAAACTCAACGAGAACGCTTCAACTATCATTCTTTGGGGGCAGAAATAGGAGGGGACCATGTATTTCTGATCACTTTATATTCTAGTATTGTTGTAATTTAGGCGGGAAATAAAGATGACTTTGGTTTTTGTTATAATTTTGATATCGTTTCGGAATAGAGATTGTTAAATTTTGACATTTGTATTATGCAAATGGATAACTACACTGTCTGGATGGCCAAGTACTTTTCTGAACCAAAGCCTTTCTCCTATGAGTGGTCATCATATAAAGCATTTTACTCTAGATTAGGCAGTCTCTTTTTGTGGTCGTCAACCTTCCCTAGCACGACTCCTTCTTCCTATCTTTACAAGCCCATCATTTCCCTCCATTCAGAGAAGAAATCAAATAATTCCTGTTCGAGCCAATCTTCACAGCCTTTCCAAACAGTGTGGTCTCTCCAGTATAATGCCCATCCCCTCTGCTGCGCGTGATTGTATCTGTCCCTTAAGATTGTCTCTTTTGATTCAAGGAACCAAGCTCGAGGTTCCATTTGGCGAGGATTTGGCAGAGCAAGCCTTGTTAAACGTAGAGATTCTCGGTACGACCTTGTATGTAAATCATAGGAATCGCCATGCAGAGGTACATGGAGAAAGTGGTCTCTATATCTATGTTGAAGAGCCAGCTTTGCCTTACAATTCCCATTACTGGGATTGTAGGCAGATATCAAAAGATACCTTGGAAGAAAGAATGTATGAGGGCATCTCCCGATATCCAAGAAAGTCTTCCGATAATGACGGAGTCCCTGCCAGCTTTCGATCAAGTCGGCCAAGTGCTTTCCATGACCAGGATACCACTCCTTACAGATGGTTTGAATGGTTGATTCTCGATACCGATCTCTAACTTTGCTATACATGGGAGTGAAAGTGGCTTTGTCGGAAAACTGACGACAGGCCAATGAATAGCAAAAGTCTACGGATGGATCTTGATTGTAATTTTGATCAACATATGAAGCTAAGCTGAAGGGCTTCGGGTGATAAATCTTGCAAGAAGCATAGAAGCGGCGACAAGTAAGCCCTAAACAGACAACCATACATGAATTAAGTTCGTCGAATATGTTCATGAGAATATCGTGTGAAAGATCGTTGATGGTAACTTGGCGAGTCTTTGTCTCGATAGCGTCGCTTACACAATAGTCGGAGTTAGACACATCATGCTGGCGCTCAACTATGATTTGTATACCGAGAGTTTGAATGTCTGACTTTAGGATTTGTTCGCTGCCGTTAACTTGGTCTGAGTTTTCAGCTGACTCCATGATCTCGGAATTCAAATTTAGCTTTCGGTAACGAATCTTTCGCTTCGTTCAGTTTCGGTCGTCGTCAGTACTTCTCGGCCCTTTGGAGGCTGATATTTCATGTGGTGCAGGCTATGATGATTTTTAGTTTGTGCTTTTCGGGGTTCGATAGACTTTTAGAACTCCTCGTGTGATATATATAATGTTATCACCGATGAGGTAGATTGTTCTCTTACGTAACTAAGATCTGTACGGTACTGGTATCTAATCATCGGGAGCGTAGCAAGATGCTTTTTGGATTCGCGTTAGTTTGATTGGATTCAATCACTCAGCTTTCCAAGGTTCTTCGCGAGATACCTAGTACGGCTATTCCATTCACTTCGAAAGTTGTTTTATATTCACTAGAGTATGGATGGAAAGAATCGTAGACTTAAGACGGTCATACGGCAGTGATTAATCTGGTACTGGCGCGTCAGTTTACTGTACAGTACCAAAGTCAATATTCTGGTGTGGGGTTGTGGATTATATATCAACTTCGTCTCCTGGACTCTCTCACATACACAAACTCTCAATAAGTTATTTCGGCCAAATCGTCATCTTCCGAGAACAAATTCCAGTTATACTATCTTCGACAACATATTTTTTGATAAATCACGTCAAAACACCTCCTACATCGCCAACATGAACAGCTCTGACAAATACACTGTAAATTATCTGCAATATAAACTAGTCGATGAGGAGGATGAAACTCAAATCCTTGATATGGATTTCGATCTCAAAGAAAGGTCTTCTGAGCAGATAGCTAGTAAGTTTACTGTATCCTTATTTTTGATTGTACTTATCAGTTCTTCTAGGTCCTGCATCCATGCGAGATCAGGACGAACCATGCCTCATCAACAAGATGCCTGCGGAGATAATTGCAGCTATCGTGAGTGAACTCACACCCTGCAGGCGCACCTGTCTCGGAGTCACTTGTAAGGATATTTATCAGTACTTCAAATACTTAAGCCCAAAGCTAATCGATTTATCTGAAAGGGCAGGCTCGAAATTCCAAAATAAACCTCTCCATATGCTTCTCAAGACTTGGATCGGCCCCCAGTATCGCCGTGGAGTCTTGATACCCCACCATTATCTGCTTAAATCCATGTATGGAGAATCTCAAGGATTACCAGATAGTGGGAAGAAACTTGAATTGGCGCATAGATACATCGATTATCGTCGATCTAGTAAGCCTAGGGTCATGGAAGATAGAAAGATGCGCATCCATCCATTTTTACTGTCAAATCCATGCAACAAAGGGGACAGCTGGAACGAGGAAGCTCTTGAAGTTATGAGGGAAGACCTTAAATCACGCCTCGATGATCATACGCAATGGTTTCATTACTGGAATTTCTTTCATGTGTTTGGATTGGATGAATATCGGCATTATAAATATCTTCTTCTCCGGCGAAAGCAGCGGATGTCAGATATCGCTTGGTGCATTATGCTGAGTGGAGGGATGCAATAGGATTTTGATCATTCTTCTACTTCATAAGATGTGTTTGATAGTATGGTTTTGTATCTGTGATATCCAAGATGGAATTTTAGTACCACAATAAACCGGCTTTTCCATCCAGCAGATACAGGGAAAACCACTCACAAACTTGGAAATGCACCGAAGAGTGAGCATTAAATTTCAGAGGTCAAGATAATTTAGGAATCAATTCATAGCGGCTTGCTTTGATAGGAGGTCAATATAATACACCAGAAATCTGACAATTGTTGCTGTGAGTTGAGTGACTTGACTTGACTCGAATTGCACTATGCTTGATGGCAGTCACTAGGTGGCTTGTATAGACTTGTTGATGAAAAAGACACTCTACTTGCCGGTTGTTAGAAAAGTTCTGCTGGCCACCATAGGCGGTCATTAGCATCAACTCTGACTTGGTTGGCCATATCATGAATAGTTGATAAGTAGGACGTGATGTGTGCTTTGCACCAAATGGATATTGAAAAATCTAATAAAGTAGGCCATAAATTTTTGGAGGAAACTACACTCCGTGGCACAAGTTAACCGCCCAACCAGGGCACGTCTTGTTATGCAAAACTATTCATTCTGAACCTTTATGTAAGCGAATATTAAATCTTGACCCTCGTGCCAGTTACAAAGTGTTGCTCAAAGTTTCAGGCCACAACCTTCTTGAGTTCTGCGGTAGCATCATCCAAAAGACCGTTCAAGTACCCCTATCTTGATCTCCGAGCACGATTATCGAATCGGCCTGTACATTTAAATCATTGACCTGTGCTACATGAAGGAGATAATATACAGTCCATCGGCTGATGCATATATCGTTCATCATGCCTTGAACTTTGAAGGCATGTGTAAGGTCCGCTGGTCATATGTCACAGAAACTTCAAGTTTAGGCTTTGTATATGAGCTTAGTTAAGTATGAGGACTTCGACAGAGAATAGTTACTGAGGCGCTCCTTGTACTCCATATTGCAGTTCTAATGAATTCTTCCAGTACTTATCAAGTACGTCTTTTGATAATTTAGCTTCCTGAGACACCATTCATGCCGCAATGATTGGTGTCTGGCTTACTTGTGCAGCTTATCTCCTTCACTATTAAGTTTATGTGAACACAATGTGGACGAGCGGAGCTAGATTCTGGAGACCTGTTGAGATAGGCGATGAAGGAAGTGCTGTGAGTTGTGTAAGAGACACCTTTTGCCAGGAGAATGAAATTAATTTTAATCAAGATCCAGTACAGATGATCAAGTAAGGTTGATCATCTAAAGCGATTACAGTAAAAGACTCACATTGAGATGCACACACTGCAAGAATGAAGCCAATCAAGAAGCCAGCTTAGTTTTCATTTAATATTAATACTGCCTGGTATCTATGAACTCAGGGAATGCATGCGTTCAACATCGGGTAGGATCAGAATATTAAATCCAAAGATGTTGTACCGGTATGCAAAATGCCAAGCTCAAATTCAATAACCTCTCTTATTAAACTCCCATTCCAGTTTCCATGCCCTGATTCGAAGATCCCATACATAAACCATCATATAATTATCTCATCGTGAACTCAATTAAATGTTGCAATGCAACTAGAAGAAACCAAAGACAACAGCCATTCCACCAAGCATAAGACTTCCAAGACTCCAAGATGCTCCATTCATCGACAAAGCACCCGCAGCGGAGCCCGATGCAGAGGCGCTCGCGCTCGAACTTGCACTTGTCGCAGCTCCACTCTTGCTGGAACTTTTGGTGGCTCCAGGTACCTCAGTGACAGCGGTAGCGGTAGATGTGCCGGCACTGGAGACAGAGGCAGTTGCGGTAGAAATAATTGTGGAGTTAGAATAGACGCCTGGCTTTCCGGAGACAATGGAACTGGAAACGGAACCGGATGAGTATACTGATCCAGATAGTTTGTGGGAGGAGATGAAGTTTATGGAGTAGGAAGTGAAGGAGGATTCATACGCTGACAAAGTACTGCTTTCCGGAACGGAGGTAACAGAGGTTATTGGGACCAGGGCAGACAATGATGTGCTGGTAGCATCCACACTGGCAGTGGTCGAGCTGATGCTGATATCTTCGCTGTCTCCGGTTTGGAGAATGGTAGGAGAAGCATAGGTGATTGTAGCTGCAGAACCACCAGCAGCTAGAACTGATGCGGAGTTGGCCAGAGCCAAGGTAACGGCGAAAGCGACAGTTGAGGAACGCATAATGAAATTGAGATTATTTTTTAATAGGAAATCTAAACGCTGGAAAGATTGTATGTTTGAAGAATGAAGAATGAGGAGGGAACGACTGGTAATGGCATGATGGACTTATAAGTAACACTTTCTCACGGTAACCAACACACAGCCGCAATTTAATACCTAGCCACTTTTCGTGTTACATGTACGAATCCTATAACCAACGACTAACATTTAACCCCAGCCCTACTACGCCCACCCATGGTAGTGGCTAGCTTAAGGCTGTCAATATTCACTAGATTATTACTCCATATGTGGCATGATTGATCGAAAACGATTGTGATTGGGGAGATCAGTACGAAAGGAACTTTCCTCATTATTCGTATCATAGGAAGCAAAAATTTCAGTTGATGCAAGAAATCACGGGATGCTCTTTCTTGTTTGTTTGGGGATATCTATGGGCCTAGATGGAATCTCAACCCTGTAAGTCGTCATTTAGTGGAGTTCGTCCCCAGTCAGTGTAGGTTTTCACGGCCCCCTGAGCTTACGACCCTGAGAATAACTTGACAGGGGGGCTTGGCATCCGATCTATTTTAGCAAACAGAAGGCTTCGTATAACTGGTACGTACAAGTTGAACTCGTATTGTGAAAATTCTTTAAGTCTCAGAATCTCAGTGAATCCAATAATTCGTAGCTGAAGCGGGCCAACGATGATCTCAAGGATTCGACCGACTGGACAGTTACACAACATGTGGAGATTTACAAGTACCTCGTACAGCCCGCGCCCCCCTTTGATGATCTCTGCCTTCTAGACTGCTTCGACTACTCCATCCGCCCTGGAAGCGTTGTCTTATGGCATTCATCAACATTGTATTTCTATTTGTCTTGAACAAAAATAGGCTTAACTAGCCTCCCTCGTAAGATCATCATGAATAAGCAAACTCCTGAAAATTCTTATTAATCGAAAAGTTGTTTGGTTGGTGGGCTATGTGTAGGTACTTGGTAACTACACGAACTGATAGGTTATGTTACGGTCACCGTGTAAATTCATTCATGCAACTTTAGACCAATTTCCCGTTTGTTTTCTGCTCACCGACAAGAAGGTAGAGTAGAACTGAGATTACAGTCTTCATCTCCGACCTTGAATGTCAACACGGAACCCCTTGCATGACGGGAAGGTTAATTGATGCTTCACTTGTGTGCTATTACTTCAGTTCCGTTGTGTAGTTTTTCTTATTCTTATGGCAAATAAACACGCTCCAGAACAACAGGTAAGAAGATCTATCCCAAATTTCGAGTTGATATCTTCGATCAATTGCAAAGAAAAGTAATAATTGAATCCCGTTATACTAATTCAATCTGATTATTGGAAGTTCAATGAACTATACTGGATTGGTGATTGAAAGTTCGATATACTAATCAACATTCATAATTGAGATCGCTCGGAAAACAATTGTTCTGTGGAGTTGTCAGGACTCTCCCCAGGCTAGCTCGGTTAGATTAATATCATGATTTGGTGACACGACTTTTCAAATTCACTATGGCCAGAAAGGTTTGTTACAGCTCCCGAGTCAAATCTTCCTAATTCTCGTAGACAGCGATTTTCAAACTTGTGAGGATCACAGTCACAGTATAGCCAGCCAAGCTATTGACGGCGATAGCATACGTACCTCATTCATCCATTTGCACTGCTCCGTAATGAAATATGTACGTCGCATATTCCATATTCCTATTTTTCTTTGTTTGTGACTCAGTACCTTTCATACTCGCTCAAGCTGTATCGCAAATTAGCCCATCATTATCACCAGATTCTACTGCACCCGTGCTGGATCCTGCAGAAAGTACCACTACATTATCATTTGCGGAGATTACATCTCGAACTGGCGTTGCATCTTCTCCTTTTATTTTTGCTATCCCCACAGAGCTATCGGAACACATCAATATAACGGGAACGCCTGATCCAGGATTAAGTTCCTCAGATGTGTCTCAGGCTCTGCCCTCTGAGTCAAATCCCCGCGCTACCAGTACCACGATCGAATGGATTACCGCTTTACTACCACCTAGCACTACCACTACCACCATTACATTCCCTTTGAGCGGGTCTGAAAGTACTCTATCTGGATCTGGTTCTGGAACCTCGGCTTTTGCTTCTGCTCCATCATCCACCAACACGGTTACTTCTGAAGTCTTTCTGAGTACTTCACAATCCACTTCTTTGGTCTCTCCATCAATCTTGATTAATACTAGCACTTCTGTGCTCCCAGTTGCTCTATCCACATCTAACTCTACAGTACTGACTCCTTCTGAGACTGGAATATCTGTTATAACGACGGAATCGCCATCGTCTTCTGCTGAACTAAGTGGTGTTACACCTTCCGCCACTTCCAGTATTGTATCTAGTGGCATTGAGTCTTTAGTTTCTTCCACTCCTATCTTGACAACAGAATCTAGCATCATAACTATACTCATATCTGAAAGTTTTACGGGGAGTTCTATTACAACACCTTTACCTGGATCAGAAACCTTCTCCACAATTGTACCAACTCTGTCTACCGTTCCAACCAACCCCTCAATTTCAAGCTCATCTGTCGTTTCGTCAGTTCCTCCACCTGATCCAAGCAGTTTTGAGCCAATTACAACTGTTCCTTCACCTGCCTCTTCAGGAACTAGTGGAAGTGGTTCATTGCCAAGCGCTTCAGGATCAAACGGTTCATCCCCAAGTGCCTCGGGATCAGGAAATGGTTCACCTTCATCAGACTCTATAGCAACTATTACACTGCAGAGCTCTACAACAGATTCTAATACTACAACTTTATATCAATCTGAGACCCCGATAGCAGCTACTGATACTGTGCCATCCGCAAAATCGAGTGATGTGCCCAGTATTATCGAAACTGCGGCATCATCCACTGTTATCTCTCTTAGCACAAGCCTCAGTGGCATTGAACCCGCCAGCAGTGTAGAATTTTCAGTCGCATCCACTACCATTGAGAGTTCAAAGACTCTGTCTGGATATGACATCTTTACAACAAACTCTAGTACAGCTCAGGTTAACACAGAACCAAATCCCGGAGTGAGCCACACCTCCTGCTCGTCAACAATTGAGATACTTAATTCAACGTTGGAGATTTCTACCACTACAGCTTCCTCTTTGACTGATTTAGTATCCTCATCATCCCCACCAGATAAGATATTCAGCAGTGACATTCAATCGCCTGTCAGTACATCCAGTTTATCGAATTCCGGATTCTTCATCGAATTAGTCCCTACGGTAACTACACTGATCGTTTCTACGTACCCAATATCTATGAGTCCAGCTCCAGCATCTACACCTAGTGTCGAATCGAGCGTCCAGTCTTTCTCCGTATCTTCTGTTCTGATTACTGTCAGCTTTCTTCCAGGGGATATGGCAGAATCAAAAACAACAACATATCTGAGTTCGATTTATACGCTTATTCAGGTTTATACCAGATCTCCTACATCCAGTGTGGTAGAGGCAAGTAGCAGTCCCATCCTTCCGAATTAGTTGGACTGCACCTTGTTACTCGGGCCAGAAACTAGAACATCCAAATATTCCGTTAGCCCCCCGCATCAAATAGTAGGGGAATATTTAACTACTGATTTGCCACTAGTCAGCCTATGGACTGGAAGTATTCGCGTCACTGTTTCAAACCTCAGGGGACCAACAAGTGATCTTGAACCCGCAACCGGATTGATCGTCGAGAAACAATAAAATCTAGGACCCTCCTCCAAGATGAGAGCCGTAATCCTCTCCAGGTCCACAAACATGCAACTTTTGGAAACGACGATGATGGGAGAAAGGAGATGTTATCTGTAGGTTGATCGGGTAAAGAAGATCCAGACTGATTATAACTAGTGATAGAGAAGAAAGTTCGCATACTGGGCTGTGAACTTGGGCTGTGGTCTTCGACTTTGAACATGTTTTCTTTGCGTTCACCTTGCTTCCAAGGTGTATAAATGATTAGCTGAGACAATGATTTTCAAAAAGACATAAGTCTAGGAGGGGCGTTGAACTTTTGATTGGCTAGGAATTACATTGCGAAGCTTTTATCAGCTCTGTCTCCAGGGGACTGCTCAATTCCTCTGTCAATCTGCGATGCTTTCTACCTCACTTGCCCTGTACCCAAGCCCCATCCTTTTACCTCGTAATTATTTCCGCTTTTCTGTCATACAACTGATGAACTTTCGCTCACAATACACGAAGCTCTTTGCATTAGTTTTTCTCCTTCTTTTCATCCTCGGTTTCTTTCTTGCTATCCGCAAGGCTTTCCACCGGATCCATATAATTGCTTTCCCCATCTCCAAGTTCTTCGATCCTGTGATCATTTGATTTCTGTAAGTCTTTCGGCTGTTTTCCACCTTCAGCATCAATATCAACAGCTCTGTCCATCCTCTCCCCAAGTTCTTTTCTCTCTCTGTATCTTCTATTCATCTTCTGAAGTCTGTTGATTTGGTGCTCATAAAACTTGTTCATGATTTCGAGTTCTTCTAAACTTTCAGCACCGTCAGTCTCCATGATTTGATTCATCCTCTCCTCGAGTCCTTGATCTTCGTCCCGGATCCTTTGCAATTCAGCAGCATTCTCTTCGACTTCTTTCATTCTATCCGAGAGTTTTTTTTGTTTATGATCATCATTCTCTTTCAAAGTAGCCACATCCATACTTTTGTTGATTTCTTTCGAAGCCCTTTTTCTTTCATCTTTCAGTTCGCTGTCTTCACTAGCGGTAACTCGAACGTATTTCTTTATTTTAGCCTCACGTCTCTCTTTTGCATCTCCAAGCCCTTTACTTTCAGTTATGATGCTTTGCGCAAGTGCACTGATTGCGTCTATAGTTTCTCTCTTCTCATCCTCACGCTTGTGTTCAAACTCGCGTTTCTTCTCGTCGTCCAGTCTGGCCCACAAAATTTCAATCGCTCTAACTTCACTTCTTCTCTGTCCAGATTGTTGTCCGTCAACTGAGGCGATGGACCTTTCTGCAGTGTCGTTCATTCTGTGGGGAATGCGTCCTGATCCCTGCACATATCATATCAGCAGCAACAATACTATCCTTTATTTTCGTGCATCTCACAAGACATAAAGGACAATCGTAGGATTTATCTACATTATTTTCGTAAGCAACGATGGTAGAACGATGTTCCTCACTGCTTTCCGCATGAGTTTTTGAGGCCATCTTGATTTGGAGGTAATCAAATTTTCTGCGATGGAATTCGTAGTTGCTCGTTAACGTTTGATATGTTAAAGAGTACGATGCAATTGCTTGATGTTCACGAAAATTTATTCACGAATGAACGGTAATGTATTTGCATCTTTGCCTACATTCTAAATATTTTCAATAAATTTCAATGGAAGGGAGGAAGGTGCCATGAGAAGCCGCAGAACTAGACGATGTGGTCAATCGCAAGTGCCTAAACAGGACTTTTATATATGGTTCAATCCTCATCTTCATCGCTAAACTTATTAATAGGTACGATGAGAATTCGATTGGCAACCGGTATACACCAGTGGTTTCGAGTAGGTGTTTTCCACAACATCTTGGACAGATTGAAGAGGGCTTGTGGAAGAGATCTACAAATTTTTGCAGAAATCATCAGGATGGAAATACAGCTTGTCAACCATTGACATGGAGTTTCCACGGAGCATGCAGCTTCTGTATTTCTCGAGTATAAAGCCAACTTTGATCATCCATAGAAAACGCCTCTCGAAGTCTGAGATGTCATCTTCAAAAGGGTTCAAAAGCAAAAACTCATACAGAAGTCCTCGGCAAATGGACGTTGGTGTTGACCTTGGCATCATGTACGCCAAGGTATCGTGGTCAGCAACGAATCGGTGCCTCCGAAAGACTTTGTCCTAGATATTTGCAAAAAAGAATGGATCAAACACACCTTTTCAGCTATTTTGATTTCAATTACCAGCTAGGTAAATATACTAGAGATACCAGATTTACCCGACACATATCCCAATGCTGAAATACATTCTCACTCGAAGCATCCTTCATATCCTCATTCCCCCTGAACTTCTCTCGGAACTCGAACTATCTGTAAGTGGAGAAAACAAACCACTCGGTGATCAATCGATCTGGATAAAGGAATCTCAAATAAAATCTGATGACAAAGAATTCTGATCGACAAAGGTTACACAACGCACAGAAATGGAGAAAAGTCAGCGGCGACTCAGCCTTGTGGATATTATGCTGTCAGCAGAATAGAGTAAGAATTGAATGACTTTAGGCCACTAATTCCAGTGATTGGTCAATATGAGATAGTTCTTTCATTCAAACCAATTTCCAATTCATTTGGTAGCCATGCAACTCGGCTTTTGGGATATGTTGTAGTAAGATTCCCTAGAAAGATGTCTCAGCAAGAGATGTTTGGCGTAGCTGAGTTGACGATTCCTGATACAACATCTGATGTCCAAGGAGAAAAGGAAAAACTAAAGAGTAAGATATCGTACCTTATTTTATACCTACCAGATACGAAACGAACTAATTCTTGATTACATAGAGGCTTGTGTAAAGCCAAGCTTCAACAGTGGCAGAATCTTTGGAGAATATCCATCAACACGCTCCTACGCGGTGCGTATAGCATATTCAGATGCTATGATGTGTAGAGGAAATAATCTCTTGCAAGTATACTCACTACTTCGTAATTTCCTGAGGTCGCCGTCTTTCGGGCTTGCATTTGCTATTGTACAGATTGTATGGACGGAAGTATGTGCATGCTTTGGAGTTACCATCCTTCCATGTTCCTGGCTGTAAGATCCAAAGTCTGAGCAGCGTTCCATCGCATTTTTGAGCAACTGAGGACACCTATTTGGTTCTGATGCGGGTGGTATATAATGAGAGAGCTCCATTGCTTTTTTGTTCATCCACACAAGTTTCTTCGGCTTCAACTCTTTACACCTCAATCACTTTAGCCTATCTTTAAATTTCACTTATTAGCATCATATATCTTGCTGCCATAATGTATCTCTCAGGATTTGCAACATTTCTCCTAGCCGTCGCATCACTAATACTGGGCAGCCCACTTCTGCCACGAGAAGACGAACGCCTAGACGAAGCAGTCTTTCTCACAACCTGCTTCAAATACGTGAAAAGCAACGACGCCACGCCGAACGGTCGAGACGACAAACTCTGGTACTTCAAGAGCTACGGCGATTCTATCAAAGGCGATCAATTCGACGAAGCCTATGCCTCCAACCCCGGCGACCAAAACCATCCCGTAGACTGGACTTCGGGTACCGAAGGAAAACCCATAACCGGCACCCTCGACAAAAAGCCGTTTAAAGTTTGGGGACTCACGGAAAGGGGAGATGACAAGACGTTCGTTACTGGATATGCCGATTTGGGAGGCGCGACCATGCGCTGCTACAACAACTCTGCCTCGTTCTGGAAACAGGATTATGGAGAAAGGATGTATGTCAAATGTGGTGCGAAGTACTACTGCACGAGAAATTCGCGACAGATTCGTCGCACGATTGTAACAACTTCAAGTACGATGCAGAGTATTCCGTTTCTGGGGAAGCAGAATTACGATATCAAGAATGATCATGCAGTGCAGGAACAGGTTAAGAATGCTTTCTTGTGGTTGAAAGATCATTATAGGAGTAATGCTGCTGATGGGGAAGGATATAAAATTGGAAGCAAAGATTACAAGATGACATATGCGGTTCATCGGATGGAGAAAGAGGGAGATCCGTATTATGAAGCTGATCGGATCAATCAAGTTGCGGATTTGGTGGCGGAGAAAATGCTTCCTGAGTTATGGGCCAAGGATAAAATCAGTGGTAACTATGCCCTTGCAAGACTTTGATGGCGCGGAAAAAGAATAAAAGAATTAACAAATGGTTTAGATGAAAAAGCATGGCCGTCCGGAAACAAAATCCTCGCAGAAGCGACACATACGCTTCCCTTCCCCAAACAAATCAAAGTCCAAGTGCAAGTTACGCAACAGGCGATGCTAGATTGGGAAGATAGAGATACCGTTGTTATTACCGTGGAAAAGGGGAATGAATGTAAAGTGGACAGCGTGCTCACTCTCGCGATCAAAGGCGCGTTTAAAGCTGTTTCGGCTGCAACGACAGGTGGTGTGAGTGCAGTTGCTAATGGATTGGGATTTGTGGTTGGGGAATTGGCTGCGGGTGCTTGTTAGATGTTTGGTGAATTGTTGGGAGAGATTACGGTTTGATGAGATAGCTTTCTCTTCTGCTTAGATTTTGGGTTTTGAGTGTATTTTTATATTGTGTTTGTTCATCAAGGGCTTGCTTCTTATATTTTATAGAAAATACATGTATACTATTCAGTATCGTGTCTTGATTTTATTTGAGGGATCTTGTTCCAATGAATTTATCATATCTAGAGATTTCGTCGTTAACATGTGAGCTTCCCATGAATTGGCGGGAATATATATTAATAAAACTCGCCTTTCTTCATCAATAATAACATCCCTCGTGGCGCAATTGGCTAGCGCGTTCGACTGTTATTCATGACTAGTCTCTGATCACGTGATCGAGAGGTTGGTGGTTCGAGCCCACCCGAGGGAGAAACAAGTTGTCAGTTTCTTTTTTGAATTTTTCTGTTTCCGGTTCATGAAGGTGGTGGTTGTTGGTTGTAGAACACCGAAATGGTTTCTTTTTGAGGTTTAAAGGAAGGAGGAGGCTCTAGTGTGGGGTTTATTATTCGTAAGTTCAGTGGGTGGGTGGGCTCGAACCACCAAGCTGGCGCTCCGAAATCACCACAAATCGGCTTATCTTCCAACTTCTTCCTCTTGTTTATACCCTCCTTCTTCCATTCAACTATGTGGTGCTTTCGGATTTGGTTTTTTAAGCTCTCATAACTAGGTATTGACATGTATTTTGATGTATCGGCTAAGGATGGGGTCCCGTCGGCTTCACGCGTGCCGAAGACATTACATACATGAATTCAAAATAAGATAGCTAACTGGTAGCATTATTGATATTGAGAAGGGAACATCAATTTTTCATCTAATATTCCAGCTTCAACAGATTTGCTTGGCTTGTCTTGACAATATGTAATATTGATAGGATGCGTTGTAAATTTACGAGCTTGCCTACTACCTCTGGGCTAAGCTACATCAGTACAGGTCTTTATTCGAATGATGTCTATATATTGATTCGAGTAATAGAGCTTGATTGTGCACATTCAACTAACACAATGACGACTCAATGCTTCAAATCATCTGCACTCCTTGGTTGTCCTATATTATTTGTATCCATAGCGGATCTATTTATCGGAAGCAATTTGATCAGATAAAGAAAATACCAAGCTAATCCAAGAGCTGGTACGCTAACGGTACATAAAGGTACAAATCTACCGTTTCGTCCGACGTCAAATTCTCGAACTTTGGCAGGCCGAATGGGGAAGAGGTTTCTTCGAGTATAGAATTTTTAATTTTCCGTGCATCTTGCGGTTTCTGTGCTAAGCCAGCAGTTCCGATGAAGTTTAATTTATTTTTCGTTCTCCTTACGACTGCGGCCTTTTTAATCCCATCAATCTCACACAAGTAGTCGCCAACACAAGCTGATGACGGTCCAAGTCCCATGTTTGCAAGCGCATCATTCGCTATCAGAAAGTTTTCGACATACTTGTCCAAAAGGAATAAACGTGCTCCCTTTACTGGAGACGGGGGAAGAGGTTCAGACCTTTCTGGCGATGAGTGAAAAGAGGAGTTGCGCAACATAGACTCATCTCCTATGTCTTGATTAGTGGGTCTATCGATCGGACAGAAATTTCTTCCTGGGAAACGTTCACAAAGCCAGGAAACATCAGAAACACATGTCGACACGATTTTGAGGCCAGCCTCATCCAAATCTTCTAGGAGTTCTAAGAAGATATCACTTTCTTCCTGAACGCTGGGCTGAAGTCTTTCTGGCAAATAATTCTGGATGTTTAATCTCCAATCTGCAGTTTTCGAAAGTTCAGTCATGATTTGTACATACGAAGGTCCCAAATGTACAATTCGTCCCACTAAACGAGCTGGAACTTTCAACACTGTAGGGTTGCTAACTCCAAGATGTCGTTCAATGCTTGATTTTTGAGGTATTCTCAAAAAGACGTCATCCGCAATTTCCTTCATTGTCGTTATATTGGGACCACCAAGAGAGTCCCGAACTAATTTACCAAACCTCAAAATATCACTCTGGTCAACTCGAGTATCGGAATTTCTAAAAATCACTGTATCCTTCCAGACTTCGTAGAGGGTTTTTCGATAATCCATAGGGAATCCAGCATAGCAATCTGTAGCCAAGCCAATCAACCCATATACTTTATCTCTTGGCTCTTTACACAAGGCTTGTCGATGGTTTGTCATAAGGTTTTGCAGCTTATGAGCACCATCATATTTGCTTCGTAGTTGATAATAAAGGCTCCATGGAACTGTTTGAGATAATGCGTTTTCTTCCATTGTTTCCTGCGTGATCCATGCAGGGTATGGCCAGTCAAGAGTGACGGTTTCCACAAGTCGTTGCCAGTCTATCAGTTCGTGTCCAAAGAAGATGGTGAGTTTTCTGGCTTTTCCAATCTCTTGGATAATCCAAAGTCGCTTCCAATATTCATTTGAGCATACGGTCATCAAGTAGTTGAACAATGATCGTTGATCTTTATACTGCTGAGTATGCCCTGATATTTCAAACGGCGATATCTTCTCAGGGTCTGGCCAAGCTGGTGGAGGCGATGTAGCCCCATCGCTCCTTAACCAAATTATCACAAGTTTTGCACGCTCATAGATATAAGGCATGATAGTCAATTGACGATTTCGCTCCGCAACATCGTCTTGATTTATGCAAATAGCGTCCACCCAGAGAACGTATTCTTTAGCACTTTGGTGCTGCAAGCAGACAAGTGCCTTGTATAAATTGTCTGTTACAAGGAAATGCCGGTCATCAATGACAATAGGTCTTTGATCAGCTTCATTACCCCATGTATACGAAACAGCGATGTACTTTGGACGTTCCCCGAACTTTACATGCTTAAGAGAGCAACGAGGTTGCTGGGTAGAATCACCAGGTGATAAATGTAGAAGCTATGAACTACTTATTAGCAACCGTAATTCCCAAGGTATTGGTCAACCACTTACTCGAATTCCGTCTACAAGCGGGTCAAGAGGATTGTAACAAAATCGCTTCATCGTAAAGAAAAGCAGAGTAACGAAATACAAAGGATGCCGACGGAAGAAACGTAATGTAAAAGCAGTCGTCTGCCGTTCAAAAGAAGGCTGACACTTGTGTTGCGCAAATTAGGCACCGGGATCGATTCCGCCAAGCATGAGTGCATGAGAATATTGACCAATAAGTGATGCAGGCATGAATTTTAAATTGACCTTCCATAAAGTATCACCAGCAATCCAAAGTATTTTGACCATTTGGGATATCGTAATGGTTCGCCATGAACGCCATATTTCCTGTTTTTGCTTCCATTACTCTTCATCCCCTTCTTCGCCCTCTTCTCCCTCCTCCTCAACAGGGGCCCTTTTCCTTTGCGAGGAAGCACCACTTCTCCGCTTCTCTCTCAAATTATCTTCCGTTGATGTGACCGCTTTCTCTCCAACGTAATGCTTTCCATCCCACTCAGTTTCGCATTTTGGACAATTCTGATTAGGGCGTGATCTAAAATACGCAGGTTGACAGATCTTATGTAGTCGCACATTGCAATCCCTCCTCGAACACCTCATGCCAACCGTAACGATTCCTTTACATGCTTCACAATTTTTTATGCGCTGCCACTCATCCGGATCGTCCGAGTCGTTATATGTATCGACAAGCCAGCTTCGAAGCTCTAGAATTGCGCGGGGTGACAAAGAATAATACCCTCGTTCGCTCCGTTCGAACCACCCCTGCGCTACCAGACCTTCCAATACCTTCTCGGCTTCTACTTTCCTTACACCGTTATCTATTGTCTGCATGTCGGCATCACCTATGCTCTGTCGACCGGAGCCTCCAATGACTGATGAATGTATAGCCTGTGTACTGGTTATAGCCATGACCTCTTTTCCCTTGGTATTGTATGATTCAAACATAGCATCCAACAAACGCTTAATATAGAACATCTCCTCTGTTGTAAAAGTGGTCGCAATCTGTGTGAGGGGATCGCTGGTACTGTTGACAAGAGCCCAGATTTGTTCATTTGTTCGCTGATGTCTCATGCTTCTAATCTCGTAATCGAACGGCGAGAGGGCTTCAGCTGCTTTGGATATGTAGGAGTTTAAGTCATCCTTTGTGACATCATCTGCTGAAGTAACTCGCCCATCTATATGATGAATGTCAGTTTGAAAGGAGGAAAGATTAAAGAGGAGTTTCTAATCACCATCTTGAACCGTGAAAATATGGGCGAGCAAGTCTTTGCCTTCTTCTAGATTCAAAGTGCCACGCGCTAATAAAGCTTGAAGAAATGCGCGGTTAGTATCATCATACTGTTCCGGAGCGTTCTCCATGACTGTTCCTCCTTGTAGATTTGCTTGCAATATTTATGTCGTGGTATCAATTGTGATGTGATAGGGATAAAGATACCCTGTGCGGGGTGACGCGTTTGTGGTCGCGGAATAATTTTAGCGTGTTCAGCGTATTTTTCTTCGGGGTTTCGGGGCCCAAGCTCCTAACATACAATTGTGTTTGAATTCTGGTATCAACCACTCAATACTCCTCACCTACGTCTAATCCTCGTTCACTCAGTTCATTGCGCAGTGTTTTTCATGCAAATTTTAGGCTCATTCTCTACAAAACATCTGCCACATTGCCAATGAAAATAGTTCGGGTCTCAAGGATGCTTTTCTCCTGTACAATCATGGCCAATACATCTCCAACGCACGAGAAGGTTAAAGTATATCTCAAATGGCTTGTTCCTTCACTTCCAAGATCCCTATGAATTGGTCGTGCAATGTCACAATCCAGCATATCTAGTCTAGAGCTTGGTAGTATGGCTGATACCGGGCTGTCATTTGGTTCAGGAGTTCATACTCGATCTTCCAAGTTTGAGGTAGAGGTCCCTCAAGCCACACATGCTACCAAGAGGGCAAGTAGCCTTTTTGCGATCCTTGATAGAGTTATTGGGATGCCGTTGTGATCTGTTAAATACTGAGAGGCAAACTACGAATCCCGTTCCATGCCTTCTGACTGTGAAAATACGTTTCACGTGTGGATTTGCATTACATGAGACGAGCCAAAAAGCTTATTAAAACCTGTTCTAGACCGTCTTACACTGCTACCCGGTGTACTTATTGTTCGATCCCTGGCAAGAGATTCCTCCGTGAAGCCCCACCCCTTCAACAAGTTCTTGATGCTCAGATTCAGACCCAGGTCTCCTAATTCTCCTCCGCCTTCACATCAACCAAGTTCTTATCTGTTGCTTGTTAGTCGTGCAAATCCCATCTTCATACTCACAGAAGCCCTTACAGAAAGCAACATAATCTTTGATGTTCTGAGCCTTGTCGAACGGAGTTGGATAATACCAAGCTGCATTCTTCAATTCCGTTTCTGTACTTTGTCAATCCTTTTCTTGCTCATAAACACATAAGTTAGGTAGCTTACTGTCAAACGTGATGGTATAGTAGGATGCATCACCCTTCCAAGGACAATGTGTACTATGGTCTGTCTTAGAGAGCATAGCTTGTTTCACCGAGCTGAATTATCAGTATTCATTGTTTAGACTGGGTACAATGCCCAACTTACGATGGTGGAAACTGTATGGTTAGCGATGTGTCAAATCTTCAAAAGCTGGGTACGTACATAAACATTTCCTTCTACAACCTCCCAGTTATCTGTCTCGGCAATGGTACGGCCGTTGATTGTTGCGGTAGCTTTTCCTGATGGCATTGTTAATATTCCTGTGCAGTGATGTTCGCAAAAGTTTATGATGATATTTTGATTGATGTTGAGTCTATGATGATGGGATACCAGACAGTTATAAGTGAGCTGCAATTTGGTTTGTAATAATGAGGGGTAGCTTGAATGGGTATTCCCCGCGTTTTGGATTAAGTAATCAACCGAATGCGGGGTTTATGCTTCTCCGATCCGACTACATTCTTAGTTGTTTAAAGCTTAGTGCTTGAATGTTCAATCTGGCTCTGAATACTGAAGTGCCATTCGCCTAATAGGTTTGAGACGAGTGTCATAATATGCAGTTCAATTCCGAGCAACAGGGGCTTCTCGGCTCGATTCGCAAGATGAGAGCCCTTCATTGTGCAAGTTTCAGTCCCACATTAACATGCATACAGCTTCGCAGCCGGCCTTGTGAATTGCATTCACTTATTCGAGTCATTTTGTCGCGTCATGTGATGAGAAAATGACTGGCCCCGAAAATATGTTTTTTCAGTCATTATGAAGAAATCATTCTCGTTCCAGTCATTCTACGGCCATTCCACAGTCATTACAGATATTACTAGTCATTATGCGCCGCCGTACTCGCACTCGAGTCATTTCAGGACTACAGCTCTTGATACATCCCATTCTGCAGTCATTCCGGGACTATTCAGTCATCCTGGAGTCATTGTGGTTCTTTTGTACAGTTATTTGGCGTCCAGATAACCTATCAAAATGTGGTTAAATAGCTCGAATATCCCTCTTTGCTTCATGTTCTCTTTTCGAGCACAACACTTCTCAAGCACAGCACAAATCTACCAGATATCAAATAAAGGCAACGATTCTAGCATCAGAGTCCCGTTTAACCCTCTCCTTGCCTCAAATCTGCACAAATCAGTGTCTCTAAACCTCGTCATGTCTCAATATAACCTCCCAAAAAGCAACACAATTCCATACGTCAACAACCAAAACGTCCTTCCTCGACCAATCAACCCTAACTCGGCAAAAGCAAAGCGCCTGAGACAAGTCGAAAGAGATCGCAGAGATATCTACAGCATAGTTCCTCAATGTAGCCCGCCTCGAGAGTTTCTTTCTAAGGATGCATTCAGAATATTCCCTAAAGGATGGTGGAAATGTACATATGCCGGATGTCCCGTTGGGGCCCATGATCTCGGCGAAAGATTATGTCCAATCTTCGCCAGCGAGGGCAAATATTTGCCGGATGGGCGGAAAGAGGCAGAACGAGATCCAATAGAACTCCAGGATGGTTGGTGGTGTTGTCCCAATGGCAAATGCAAAATGAGATCCAGGCGTCCGTTGTATGAAAAGAGACGCATATGCGAATGTGAGGACAACTATGGAAGGGATGCATTGATTAAGAAACGTGAGGCACTGCGTCCTACATCCTCGTCAGCGGATAATGTCGCGAAATGGATTGCACAGTTGCCTGCACTGCCAACGGAGGAGGAAATTGACGTCATGGAGGGAGGGCTAGAACCGGGTTTGGAGTATGCGTATGAGGTTCAAGAATCGACGAGTTCCAGACCAGAGAAATTACTCACATTGAGGCTTCCTAGGACACTTGGCGGATGGGAATTGTTGCTAAGAGATAAGCCTTCTGGCTCTAAGTAAGAATGATTGGGTGTAGGGCGTAAGGATTTTTATTTTTTTTGACATATTTGGGTTTTGGGATCAATTTAGAGGGATTTAATTGGACACTTGTGCGAGATTTTGAGATAATAGATCTACCTTGAATTTTTAGATCACATCATGATATTTTCGAATATTTGGAAAATTTCAGGCGAGTAAAATGTTCAAGATCTGTTCAAACATTGGGATCTCTGCAGGTGTGAATGTAGCGTTTCATTTTGAACAATAGATTCTGCAAACTGCTCAATGTTTAGTTATTATAGTTGGGATAATCATGTAGACTTGAAATGTGATGTCTGATCGAGATTTGGACATTTTGTAACAATTGCTCGACTTGAATTCATACACGTTTGAATCCCAAGGCAGTTTTATGAAATGACAACCAAAGTTGTCTGCATTGTAGTTGGATACTGGAACTCCAATATCCAGTTTAATTTCGTGCAATGAGCCTTTAAACATTCATTCAGCTTGAGACATTGAAACTTCAATCAACAACTTGACTTGATACACTAGAATAATTTGCTTCACTTTTGATTAACTGAGATAGATTGCTATAGTTGTACAAATTGAAATCCGCCTCTCTCGAGTAACCCAGAAACAGTCAGATATATTAGACGGGAAAAGGAAAAGTGCATCCAGAATCGTACTCAACTGAACCTGAAAAATCAAGCGGAGTTATATTCCCCAAGCCTAGACGGACTAAAGTATATCCTCCTGGACTAAGAATCGGCCAGCCAAGTTTGCTCAGGCCCCTATGAGTATCTTTTGAAAAAGTCGCTCAAGACCTCATCATGTACCGGCCTAAATCAACCTCCCGGACCGTTTGTTTCGGAATCACTACTCCGCGAGGCGTGTTGCCGAATAAAGGATATATCTCCACTCCATGATAAGCGCCCGAGTTGATATTTTCTCGTAACAGCATGTCTGGAAAATCGCCAAGATATCTGTATCTCCAAATAGGTAGATGGCTGTATACAGAAACATTTGTACGAAAAGCTTAGTCAAGGAACTCACAGAGTCGACATATTAAAGTCGGAACATATGAAATTTGTTCCATTTATGGAATTATTGCATAGATATCTTTGAGGAGCTGTGAATCTGAGCTCTCCAATTGGAGGTTGTGCATAAGGAATGCCGAGATATTCAGTTACGAAGGTGTTCGAAGCTGCATATCTATGTACGAAGCCGCTACTTGTTTGGACTCTATTGCCTACTTCCCATGACCATACTTGCGGCATTATGGATGCAATTAAAAGGAAATTCAGGGGAGTAGAGGTCTTGATGTTTGACATAGACAGATGCAAAAGAACAGGTGAAGACGATGGGTTGAGAAGTTAACAAAGCACAAAGATATGAAGAAGGTGACAATAATGATACATCCAGAATGAGGTCTTATCACATTATATACCCCCTCAGACACTTTGCTCAAAACGGTGCTTAGATATAGATGGTCTATCTGGTTGGAGCAAGGCGCCCAAGAATGATCCAAGCCTCGCCCTTAGACAGCACTAGCACTCCCATTGTGGGATTTCGTAAGGTTGATAATGAAATCCAGCGAAGCAGACATTGATCACTCATCTCCGATCGAGTGTGGAGAGATGACGCAGCTGTATTAACAATTCTATATAGATTTGAATGTAATGAGTTTACGTTTTGCGAGGCCCCTGTGACGCTAGTTCCCGAGCGTATAGGACTAAATACGATTGGTTAAATGGAAGCAAAATTGGGATCGTAATCCTTTGAGGGCCACGGCAAGGTACAAACAATTTCCCTTTGAATATGTGTGAGATTCTCCACTTGAGAAAGCCGACGGCCGAGAAGGATTATTTCTGATCAATTCGATACAGCGAAAGGTGTGAGTTGCCTTCACACTGGAACTTTTTCGGCGTTCCTGCTCTGCATTTCGAAGCCTTTAAATCTCTCCTAGGTTGCTTCGTGAGCTTCTACGGAAACCAAAAGAATTATGAGCATCAATTGATCTTGATCGATAACCTTGGCAATCTCCAAGTGTCTACCCCGAGTAATTCTGAGTCTTGAATCATTAGAAGACCACCTTCATTCGGACGTTTAACTGTCATGTTTCGGTTCACGCGTAGAAACCGGTATTGTAGCTGGTGTGATTATTTTGAGTCACACTGTCCCTTTTTGTTTGATTTGGAAATGCCAACAGCGTCATATTCCGTCATCTAATAATACATCTTTATCAGCACCCCTGCATTCAGAGATAGGTATCGGGTCGGGTCCCCGGGTATCTCCAAAGTTGATCGGTTATGCGCTCCGGGTAGAATGCATACCCGGAAATGCAAAAAACGCCGGGTAGGGTTCGGTTGCCCCTCCCTATTTGCATTGCTACATGGTGAAAAGCCTTCTTTCAAGCAAGTCCTAAATTGTTTTGATTGCCAAGATGCATCTTCGGCGTTTTTACTGAGTTTGACATGAACAGATTCTCGATCTGTCCTTTGCAGATAGATATACCGTCCGACATGCTAGATGCCAATGGTAAACCCCTAAATATCCGGGTTTCTCAGAGACGAAGATATCAAAACATGCGTATATCCGGAGCGTAGATCCCTTGTTCCTTTACTTCCCTTCTATCATTCTATCTAGATCTTCCGAGGGGTAAAAGCTAGCTGCATTTATCAACAGCGTAACCTTTCATTCTCTTGAATACATAGACAGAGATCAATCATTGTCGTAAGTAAACTTTCGCGAATTATGACCAATTGATGACCAATTTGATGTTATTGGATTGAAATCATTTATATATATATGTAATTGATTTTGTGTAGTGTTTGATAAGTATTCAAGTGGTGAAATACAGTCGTGCTAGTTTCTCCGTCCATAGTGAGCCGAGCCCGGTTGAGAAATGCGGGGCAAATTCCGCTGCCCGGCTACCTGCAAAGTGGGTGGGATATTCTCCCACAGTTGCTTTTATGCGTTTTGACATGTCAAGACAAGGTCTGCTACGCCTTTTAAAGACATCGTGGCGACAGTATTATATTGAATAGAGAAAGATTTTTCCTTGGTGAATAAAAAAGTTTCGAAATTCTGCACTCTATATAAACGGTGGCATTTTTCCATTCTTCTCGTTCCACATACATACATACATACTTGCTATCAATAAAAATGGATTCGAAGCAATTTAAAGAGGCGGCGACGTCGGCCATCGATGAGAGTAGGTTGTTGCTTTCCCACCTGAAGTATCATATACTGACCAACGTAGTCATTCAATACTATGATAATATTCATGAGCGAAGAGTAGTTTCAAATGTTGAACCTGGGTACCTCAAGAAAATTCTTCCAGATGGTCCACCACAAGAGGGTGAATCATGGGCAGAGATCCAGAAAGACATTGAAACTAAAATCATGCCTGGCCTGACACATTGGTGAGTCTGATGTCTATATTTGAGCCTCAAGATGGACACTGATATATGAAGGCAATCACCTAATTTCATGGCTTTCTTCCCTGCATCATCCACATATCCTGGAATGCTCGGAGAGTTATACTCAGCAGCTTTTACTGCTCCTGCTTTCAACTGGATCTGTTCCCCTGCTGTGACGGAATTGGAGACTGTTGTAATGGACTGGCTGGCCAAGCTTCTCAATCTCCCAGACTGTTATCTATCCACAACTCACGGTGGTGGTGTTATCCAAGGATCAGCCTCGGAAGCTATTGTTACCGTTATGGTCGCTGCTCGCGATAAATACCTTCGCGAAACCACTGCAGGTTTATCGGGTGTTGAACTCGAGGATGCGATCGCATACAAGAGGAGTAAGCTAGTTGCACTAGGAAGCACACAGGCACACAGCTCCACGCAGAAAGCGGCGCAAATAGCTGGTGTTAGATTTCGGTCAATCCCAGTACTCGCATCCAACGATTTCGCCATGACGGGTGATGATCTAGAGAAAGTGTTGAAAGAATGCAAATCTCAAGGATTGGAACCCTTCTATCTAACTTCGACTTTGGGTACAACATCTACATGCGCAGTTGACGACTTCGCATCTATCGCGTCAGTACTTTCAAAATACGCACCTCCGGATGTTGCAGGCGAGATCTGGGTTCACGTTGATGCTGCTTATGCAGGCGCGGCTTTGGTTTGCCCTGAATACCATCATTTAACGTCGTCCTTCCAACATTTCCATTCGTTCGATATGAACATGCACAAATGGCTTCTGACAAATTTCGACGCATCATGTCTCTACGTCAAGAAACGCAAAGATTTGATCGACGCACTCTCCATAACACCAAGTTATCTCCGCAACGAATTTTCAGAGAGCGGACTCGTAACTGACTATCGGGACTGGCAAATTCCCCTTGGAAGACGCTTCCGAAGCTTGAAGATTTGGTTTGTCCTAAGAACCTACGGAGTCAAGGGCTTGCAAGAACATATTCGAAGACACGTGAAGCTCGGGGAATTACTCGTCAGTCTGCTCAAGACACGAGAAGATCTATTCAACATCGTTACAGGACCCAATTTCGCCCTCACGGTCCTGAATGTTGTTCCTAAATCCACGGACGCGGGTGCGGAGGCACAGAATAGTCTCACGAAAGAAGTATACGAGTTGATTAATAAGAGAGGCGAGATCTATCTCACAGCCGGCGTGGTGGGAGGTGCATATGTAATTCGAGTCGTGAGTGCGAATCCCAAGGCGGAGGAAAGTTTTATCCGCAAAGCTTTTGAGATTTTGGTTGATACGACTGAGGAGGTGCGGGATGGGAAAGCGAGCAAACGAGGAACTCTCAATGGGCTTGTTATAAATGGGAAGGCGGAGGATGTGGGTGAAGTGGCGGTTGTTAATGGGAATGGATTGCCAAATTAGAGTTAGACGGAAAAAATGGGCATTGTGAATGGCGGAAGCAAATACCCTACGCAAAGGAATTATGAATGACTTGCTCTGCGTGAGATCTTGTAGGTTTATGAGAGTGCAAATAGTAGATAGAAAGGATTATAGATCATTCCACTTCTCAAAGCTGTGTGTAGCGACTAGGAGGCGGTTTCCGGATTTAGTGACTGCGTATAATTCTTCTCAGGATCATGAAAATTCCTTTTTACAATTGTCTTATAACAACTTACCCAGGTTTGTTCTAGAATTGAGCAACAAACAAGCCGAGATAATCTCCAACGCATGAACATTATCTCAAAATTTCCAACCAGCACACTCACAAAAGCGATAATGATGAGAAGACATAGACAAATCATCATCGAGCGGATAATCGTTTTTTCAATGCATAATTATACATTTCCACTAACTTTTCGATCCATCCTCCTCATGGGAATCTTCCCATTTCGAACGCTCATCGAAATCTATTTTTCTGACCAATCGATCTTTATCAACCGAAACATCCGACTTCACCCTCTTGACCAATTTATCCAAATCAATCTTTTCCGACGAAAGTTGGTTTGTCTCTCTCAGATCAGCTTGAAGCAGCTGCATTCTTTCAAGACGTCGTGGCTCTCTATCTTGCCATCTTTGCTGTGATTTCTCATGCGACCTTTCTCTTCTCAGTCGTCTAATCTCTTCTCTATCTGATATATCTACTCCGGTGCTGAGGATATTTGGATTTTTCTCTTCCTCGATTATCTCGCCTTCTTCGTTCAGCTTTTTAGGCATCTTTTGTTTAATCCAATCTTCATTTCCAGGGAATGATAAACCTTCAGCAATGTATTCTTCATCTGGAACGATTTTGATGATTCGGATGTTAGATTTTCCACGGCGAAGAACAAGCATTGAACCGTCAATGATATAGTGATGAGTATCCGAGTTTTTCCATGTTTTAATCGGGGTGAAAACTAATGCATCATCCTTGCCTACGTATCCCAAAGGTCTGGATCCACCGACATAAAGTCCGGAAGCACCGCACAAACGATTGGCTTCGGAAGCTGTGGCACAAAGGCCTGCGGCGACGACGATTCTTGCAATACTTCGAGTCATGACAAATGAACGTGGTAGTTTAAGGTCTGCTTTTGGTCTATTAGATGCGTTGATATTGCCTGTGTTTGTTTCGCTAGACGTTAGTGTGCCTTCAACGCTCTCCAAATCACGCTGCAATTCGTCCACATTCGCCGAAGTACTAGATTTGCTGAAAAGAAGTCGATGTTTGAGCTCGGCCGCTTTGGCGTCAGGAACTCCATGAATCAGCTCCAGAAAATCTCGTGCTAATGCGTGTTGAGCTTTTCGAGTATGAGGCTCCTTCATGTGCTCTTCCATTATCTTTTTGATTTGCTCCATGGGCATGAATGTGAAAAGTTTAAGGTATCTTTCTACATCCTGATCTGAGGTGCGAAGAAAGTACGCATACAAATCGAACGAGCTCATCATATCCTTGTCCAACCAAAGAGCATTTCCAGCACTTTTTCCAAACTTGGCTCCTGAAGATGTGGTTAAGAGAGGAACTGTAAATCCGAGAGGCGGTACCGCTTTTCGGTGCTGTTCCTTTACCACAGGATCAGGATGGTTCGCTAAAATGTATTTAACAGCATCAATGCCAGCTGTAATGTTGCCGTACTGATCTGAGCCACCAATCTGCATTGTTATGCCTTTCGTATTGTACATGTGCCACCAATCCCACGATTGCAATAAAGGATATGAAAACTCAGAATAGGACATGCCATCGCCATTATTCATCTTATTCTTGACACTATAAATGTTAGCCAGGTTTTAGCAGACGCGCAAAGGGAATTTTACTTACGTGTCCTTGGCAATCATCGCACCTATTCTCATGCCTGGGCCAAGAATTTGAAGAAGCTCCATTACTGTCAATTTATTCATCCAGTGATGGTTATTCACCAGCCCTCTTCTCCATGCCCATTCCCACTGATATCCATACTTTCTTCCATATGCCTCGACGTTCAACCATATGCCTTTCAATTGATAATGCATCTTTAATATATTTTCATTCCTCGTTGTACTTTTCATTTTCTCTCGCGTGGTCAAACGATCGGTCGGGTCGCCGATCTTTGCAGTAGCTCCTCCAACCAACGACACCGTGTGATAACCATGTATATACATCCAGAACAGGGACATGAAAGGTAGTAAATGGCCAACATGAAGTGAAGGCGCCGTAGGATCTACACCCACATACGCACCAAGCCGGTTTTCTGTCATCGCACGATCAAGTTCGTCTCTCGAGCTAAAGCAAAAGTTAACGTCTCGCATCGAAGAAGCCAAGGAGGGGTACCTACCCAGTTATCTGATGTACATATCCTCGCTCCTCCAAAATTGAAAGCATGCTCTTCTTCTTCCCTGTCTTGATTTCCGCAGCATTCTTGGCCCACGCCACCTGTGCATCTGCCGCTTTCGCTAGATATTTCATTCCAATCCATCTTCTCGACGCTTTATTTGAATTTCGAGAGGCTCTGAAAGCGCATCTTGCGCAAACATAAGGGTCAGGTCGAGCCGAATATCGAAGGAGAGAAGTGGTTGCCATCTTGCGTGACTAAAGATAGGAGTATTTCACGAATACATGAAGAATCTCGGAGTAAACAGAAAGGTCTCGCGACCGAGGGCTTCTACGACAAATATCCTGCTTCAACACCCATTTGCAATTCTTGCGGGCCAAAATAATTTTACGGCGATCCGGTATACGTTTATCCGACCACCAAGAAATTGATCAACCCGCCGCTAGTCAGGGGTTCTCCATCCACACCTGTGTTTATCTCCACGTGCTCTCTAGTGTCCACATTCAGAGGCACGGAAGAACAACCTCCATAATCCATCAGCAGCTAGTAGATTCGTACACTGCAAGTTGGAATGACATATACTGAGACCATTCATCCATCCAACCACATTTTACAGAAGAAAAAGAACAGATTCACACAGATAGTCACGGGTTTGAGAAGGAACTTTGTACCACAAATTAAAATCGGTTCACTGACACTTCATACTTCACTCCTTCTCCATCTGTTTACAAGACTTTCCTAGTTTTCCTCCGTTCTCTTGAGACTCCTAAATCTTATACAACAATCATATATGCTACTTCCTTCAACCCAACTTTACTACAGGATACATCACACTGATTCCACCCTTTGAGTAAAGATGGCCGGAGATCAGACATTCATCAGTGGAGCAGATGGCAATGAAGTCTTTCAAGCAAAGTATATTCCAAAACAAAAAGGCCCTCCCACGTCGGACCATCCGAGTTTGAAGGCGTACATCTCAACTTATCCTCCTTTGGGCCAACTGACGACTGTTCCCGATCATATCAAAGTCGTTACAGCTTTACTAGAGGTTGATGAAGGTCGTGCCACAGAATCATGGGAAGTTTTACTTTTGTATAGCAGCAATGGAGACCAATGGGAGGAATCTGTTATGGAGTCTATAGAGAAGACAGATTCTCAACCAAAGATTTTGCAAACCGTGGCACCTTTAGGGCTCCATCAATTATACTTCAAAGCCTCTTTACCCTCTCGTCTCCCAACGAATTTCACAGTTAAGTTCCGAAGCAACTCAAGCGAATCTTGGAAGCTTGTAAAAGACCACCAGGGAACGCCAGATGGGAGAATTGTCTTAAAGACAATCACTTCCCAGGAGAATATTTCATGTAGCTTATCCGATTATGTTCAGAATTTGAATACATCACTAGAGGTCAAGAACTATCGAAGTCAATCCCCAGGTACTACTCTATGGTCAGTGCAGGTCCCAATTGAAGGCGCTGTTGGAAAAGAGTCTACTGTAAAGGATATTAAATTTGGGCTCCCTTGGGGCCAAGATAAATTGGCAAGGTTTGTCTGACTCTTCGTCATCACCTAAAGTTCAACCCTTTGCTAATACAGCTAGATGGTTTGCTTTGATTCGAATTTGGACACCCTGGCTGGCCCCCCGACAAGGGAAAACTCGTTTTGAGCTTGACAAAGAGGCCGTAACTTGTTCCTTTTTGAGCTCGGATGGCAAGCATATTGTGTTACTAGCTATAAGCGGTATAAACAACGTCATGAGTTTGTTCAAAAGTGACAATGATGGCAATGTTGTCTTGGAAGTATGTTAGAATTCTGGAAGACTTGATTATTACGATTCTAATTCAGACAGGTTCGAAATGATAATCCCAATGAGTCTGTTGCTCATGTCCTTGTCGGACTTGGAGACGACTTTGAGTCGGCCAACGCGGCAGTGATGTATCATGCTAGAGATATCGTTGCGGCTCTCGAGAGTGAGTCTGGACAAACTCAAAAGGAGATCGAAGCGCTCGAAGAAGGGGACGAGAAAACAAAGGTTTGGGTTGAAAACTGGTGTGATGGCTTGACTTATTGTATACTCAATAGCTCTCCCAGCATAATTTAGATGATTACTGACCAACTATACAGGCACATGGAATGCGCTTGGGCAACGACTAACCGAAGATAAGATACTCAAGGCAGTCGATATTCTAGCAGAAAACAAAATCAACGTCACAAACTTTATCATTGATGATAATTGGCAGGCCATTGACTATAAAGGACATGGTCAATTCCAACACGGTTGGATTGAGTTTGAGGCAGAAAGAGAATCATTTCCAAATGGCTTGAAACACACCATATCACTCATCCGACAGAAGCAGCCTAGTATTCAGCACGTTGCTGTATGGCACGCGATTTTGGGCTATTGGGGTGGTCTTGCCGCGGATGGCAAAATTGCTGAGACTTACAAGACAGTCGAAGTCATTCGCCGAGATTCCGAGAGACGAAACCTACCTTTGGGTGGTAAAATGACTGTGGTAGCCAAAGAAGATGTTCGGCAGTTCTATGACGACTTTTATTCGTTTCTTTCATCTTGTGGGGTTGATGCGGTCAAGACTGAGTAAGTAAGCCAAAGCTTATTGACTTCTTGCTAACATGAATCAGTGCTCAATTTATGCTTGATCTCTTCGAGTCTGCCGAAGATCGTAGTGATCTTATATCCGCGTACCAAGATGCGTGGACCCTTTCAACTCTTCGACACTTCAGTGTCAAAGCAATCTCTTGCATGTCACAAATTCCGCAAATTCTCTTTCATTCTCAATTGCCCCAGAACAGATCTCCAATTCTCGTACGAAACTCTGATGACTTTTTCCCCGAAATTCCAACCAGTCACCCATGGCATGTTTTCACCAATGCCCACAATGCTTTGTTCACCCAGCATCTCAACCTTATCCCAGATTGGGACATGTTTCAGACAGTTCATGACTATTCTGGCTTTCATGCAGCTGCTAGATGTGTGAGCGGTGGTCCAATATACATTACAGATGTGCCAGGTCAACACGATCTGGATCTTATCAACCAAATGACTGGCCCTACTCCTCGAGGCAAAACTATCATTTTTAGGCCTAGTGTCGTTGGTAAGAGTCTAGATCCATATAATGGGTACGACGATGATCACATACTCCCAATCGGAACATACCATGGCGCTGCGTATACAGGAACTGGTATAATCGGCTTCTTTAATGTATCTCAGAGACCACTTAGTGAATTGGTGCCATTGTCAAAGTTTCCTGGTGTTGAAGAGGCACAGTTTTATATCATCCGTGCCCATTCCAGTGGAGCTATCTCTCCGCCTATGCAAGTTGTAGACCCTCAGGCTTTAATATACATTTCTCTCGCCGTGAGAGGATACGATATCTTATCAGCTCATCCTTTGCGGGGTTTTGTTGATCAAAAAAATGGCAATACTACATGGATAGCCAACTTAGGTCTCCTTGGCAAAATGGCCGGAGCTGCAGCGATTGTTGGCACCAAAATGACGAAATCAGAGAATGGCAAGATTTCGATTGACACAAATATCAAGGCTCTAGGAACTCTTGGTAAGTCCAGGCCATTATCTTTTTTCTTTCCAGAAATGAAAAACCAGTTTCTAATTTGATCTTCAGGAATCTACATCTCGACTCTTCCTGATGTATCATACGAAGATACGCTAATGGTCACCATCCTTGGTAAAGTTGTACCACTGCATACAGTCAGCATCAGCAAGACTGATCCTCATGTTCTTGAAATCGATACATTGGCGGCATGGAAGGAACTTGAGCTTTCAGGTGGATGGAGTAATGAAGTAGAGGTAAAGATATACATCAACTCTGCAGCATAAATCTCAGTTCTTCTGTCACATGTTGATATTTGTTACAACGAACCTCTCGCCTTCGCTCAGATGAAACAACAATTCGTAACTGAGTCGCCTAGCTTGAGATTAAATAGCAAAGATAATTCATGGCTATGTAACCAATGATAGTTTCCGTGAATATTTTCAAGTTGCTTCTCTCAGTCGTGGTACACACTTCACAATACATCAAATCTAGATCAACTTTTAAAGTCAATCGACAATCTGGAGTCGTCAGACTTGCAACAGTAGATTCTAACTTGGTGGATCGACAGCTGACAAGGTATTTTATTTTGATATATTATTCTAATGAATTTTTGTTCATTTGTGGAAGATTGAATACCGATTTGAGCATATCAAGACTAACCGGAGCCGCGTGCTTGCGAGTATAATATGCACGTGAAGTGGTGTAACTAATCGAAGAAGGCGCAATGCCGGGCTGGGCGAAAGACCCCACCACAACCACAGTAGATATTCGCAACTTATCTATTATGGGTATGATAAAAGACAGATTCATACTTACATTACTGTTGGGCCTATCAATTATCTTGTTGTACTATCCGTATCAATTTGAACAGCAAGTGCTCAATTTGATAGTTGACGCACACAAAATGCCATCACCTTCCACTGTACCAACGGAAATTCGACCGGCACCATTCATTGTCGAATCCCCGAATCTGAATCAAAACAATCTTGTTCTACTTCATGGTACATCATCCTGGGGAGTCCCGTTTGCCCAAGAGCTCATGGCACTGGTTCACTTTGATGCATTACTTCCATACACTAAACTCACTTTTCCATCGGGAATCCTGCGAAAGACTACTGTTTTTGGTGGGAATTTGACCAACGCTTGGTTCGATATTGCCGATTTCTCAGACCGAACTATAGGAGAAGAACAGCAGAAGGAGGGGCTCCGAGATAGCTTGGAGTATTTGGGCAAGCTCATTAAGGATGTAGTGGACAATGAGTCTCATGAAGATCGCAAAATCTTTGTAGGAGGTCTTAGTCAGGGATGTGCCATGAGCGTGATTTTGTTACTGAGTGGGGAATTGGATCGGTTGGAGGTGTTGCAGAAGATTGGAGGGTTTGTAGGGTTTAGTGGATGGTTGCCATTTTCGAAGCAGATTGCTGAAGTTGCTGCTGCTGGAAAAGACTGGAGACAAAGGAGGATTCTTGTTCAGAGTTGGCTGAGACGCGAGTTAAGTCTCACATCTTTGCAATTCCGAGATGATATGACGATATCTACGGAAGGAGACATGAGGATCCTCTTAGCTCACGGTACAAATGACACGAAAGTGAAATTGGAGTGGGGTGAAGATATGAGAAGAGTATTGGAGAGTGTGGGGTATAGTGTTGAGTGGAAGCTCTATGAGGCTTTAGGGCATGTCATTATTCCGGAGGAACTGGCTTACATGGCGTCTTTCATAAGAAAAGAGTTACCTGGCTGAGATACTGTCGCTTGTCAGCCCTCGTTACCAGGTCTGTTGCCTTGATTCAAAATCCTTAGGGATAGGCACCAAACTTCTAGCCGGCCCGGCTAAGACTTTTTGGTCCGCTCTTTATCTGTTGTATAAGCTATCTTAAATCTATTGTTTCACTTAATTTCATCTTCATCGTCAACCAACCATTCACTACCGGCTAGCTACAAATCACGATAATTCTACAAAGACCTTTTCAATATAACAACCAATTCTATTCCACTAGAATAGTTTACCCCAGTCTCTGAAACCTCAAAAGCTATGAGTAAAGATCCAGAGAACAATGCTTCAGTTCCCATTCACTGAGCGTGGGTGCATATTATTAAACAAGAAGTCCACAGCCTTCTTAGACGCACCACGCAGAATACTTGAAATTTAGATGTAAAGTAGTCAGATTGTTTCAGATTGTTTCAGATTGATATAGAATTAGACCCGATTATAATCACTCCTCAAAAATTGATGAAATTTAGTTATGTCCTGTGCCTCTTTTGTTTTATATACCAGGTATGTTGGGTTCCAGCTGTTTCGGGTTTATAGGCCCTCGCCATAGGCGAAAGCGGGGTATATCACACCCCGCAGCGGGATGTCTATGTAAATTTTAAGATGGCTCTTTAAATGATTTAAAAATCACATATAAATGCAATTGAACTGATTACGTTTGTCGAAAATATTCGATTCTCAAGTGATTACGAAAGATAATAGATTTAGTATTATTTATTAGTTCTTCGATGTACTCGAATCGGTTAACTCGAATTCTGATGAAGTATCTCCTGCGAGGGCGGTTATTATACAAAACCAACCAACTCTTGATAGCTCAGGAGGGCTCACCATAAAATTCTAAGAAGACTTTTGTTCAAATCGTGTTTATTTTGTTTGAGTGGTGCCTATAGTGGACTACAGTGGCATACAACTTCCTCAGGCCTTTCTTTCGATCACTGCCTGTTGTTCGGTTGGTACGGGAAGGTGGAGCATTCAGGATTGTTGGTGGTATCTTGTTGCCTTCGGATTTTACTATTGGCTCGATATCTTATAAAGCCTACAAGGTTTCTAGTGTAGTGTAGTATTAAATATATCAATCAATATTCCTTATATTCATCATTGTTTCGAACTGCCCTTCACAATAATAACCTCATAGATATCATTGTCAAATAATCATCACAATATCAAGTCATTATGAAGAAAGATGAATTCATCAACAAAGCTTATTGGTGTAGTATGGAAGATGATCCTTTCGTTATCTTCGCACATGGAGGTGATGAAGCAATAGCTTTCCAGAAAGATAACACAATAAGCACAATTCCATACGACGATAGAGCCGAGTTGAATTGGAGAGAGTTAGGCATATTCCGGGACACTAAAAAAGAAAAGCGTTTCCAACAAAAGCTTGAAGAAATGAAGAGATTAGAGAGGTGGGAAGAGAGAGAGACAGGAGTTCAAAAGAAAAGAACTGTAAGATTTTACTTATACTACCCCCGTATTAGTTACACTTTACTAAGTACACACATATTTTAGGCAATGGAGATGACCAAAGCCTTCATAGAATTTATCATAACTGACAGAAGATTGAGATTTCAGGGAAACCGTTGCTCTCTTGATATCCTAGATGCTTATGTTGTTAGGTCCTCAGATGAAGAACAATTAAATAAATGCGAAAAAAGTCAACAACGGCTAAACAGAAGGCTTAAGCGGGCAAATGAAGCGAAAAAAGATGTCTCAGCTGCTTCTAAAGCCGTAGAAGATATGAAAGTCTCCATTGACTCCCTTATCGAAAAAATACATAAAGACGATGCCGAAATTGAGAAACACAAGGAAAAGTATAGAAAAGATAAAAGGGAACGAGAAAAGGCCAGGAAGGAACAAGAAAAACAAATGATGGCAAATGAACAAAACAAAGCCAGGGAGAGAAAGGAAGCAGAAGAAATAAGCAAAGCCGAAGATAAGGAGGCAAGACTTTTATGGAACAGCCTCTTGACGCCGGCCGCCCTGAGGTACAAAGGAAACCCGAAGCCAAGTTATGACAAATAGGCAAACACTAAGCGCTATGATTTACAGCTATTCCTCTGTCTCTCAGAAGGAATGACGCGGAGCTCATGGAAGGTGGAGTCAGGCGTTCATGTTATCTTGGAATTTGTAATTATGAGGCAATGTGATTACTTGGTGGTAAAATCTCTTAATTCAGAAGGATCTCCTCTCGTGATATATTAACATTGGTATTGGAAATCGTTGGAATAAAAATACACTCACCGAAAAATCGGTATTCGCCCCTTCAATGAATTCGCTTAATCGCCCTTGATCGAATCCCGTTGCGGATGATAAGTATTCAGTTTTTTTAAGAAGAACATAATCTTGAGAGTCCTATATTAGTACAAGTTAATAGCAGACTGTTGATCCACTCTGTGACTCAGTATCCTCTGATTGCGACTTCCTAATTCTGTATCGTGGTAGTTGCTTCTTTTTTAGAATTTTTGGAGACGTGAGAGTTTAAACATTGATTCGACTGAAACAGCAGTGACGAGTCTGCTCTATTTAGCACTGCAATCATTAGTACAGTTCGTGAATAGTAATTCTTATAATTCTGACCTCTGATGATACACTCTTTGTGGTTCTCTTTGGCAGTCATAATTATTTCGATCCGTCAACAGAAATCTTGTACCGCTTAAGACAAGCATTCAATAAACAATAGAAAGTTTACCAAACATCAGTACCCTCGCAGACGTTACCATGGTAGAATCAGAATCAGATGATTCTCATCCACTTTACAATAGAAATCATGAAGATTATTTCTTTTACGGTCGAGAATTAATTCCACATTTCCCATACCGGGCCTATCATCTAAATATCCTAGGATATCCTTTACCAAATGGAAGATTCGAGCAGGAAAAGCACCTACCTGAATTGTGAGCTCCTCTGAACCGGACCGAGATCTAGCTGACAGTGAAAAGCTTCCTCTATAGACTCAAAAAGATGTATCCAGAGATTCTTACAATGGTCTTTTCGCATATCATCGAGGAACCGTCGATTGATCCAGCCGCAGAAAACGATGTCGAAGGAAGTAGCTTTATTCCAGATCCGGTTCTATTATCCAGACGAATCCATGGTCATCCCCATAGCGATGATGAAGGAGGAGGTGGACCAATAACTTCATATCCATTGCCAATCACTGCTCTTATGTTCCGTGAAGAGACACAAGCGGTCTATGCACCCACTACAGGAGTAGATACACAAGCCTGGAAAATTCAGAATACGAAAGGCTGGAGAGATCATAGAAGCACACAACGAATTCTGGAGAGAAGTGTTTCTGGGAATCTATCGGAGAGTACTTACAGCCAATTGGTGCAATTCGCCTACTCTTTGGCGCTCCACGAAGATTTTCAAATCGGTTACGATAGTTGCATTTGGTGGTCTCCTATTGGGAGAAAATGTAGTCTTCTAAAGGAATTTCTGTGGTGGTTTTGGAACCACTTTGGTGTTTACATAAATACGTGTAATTGGAATGTGTATCCAAAGGTAATCATCCCAAAAGTTCGAAAGTGGCATTAGTACAAAGGATTTGAGGTATCCAATGAGATTCAAGAAATGAAAGCTTACAATCATTGGGTCACATTCTGGGCGATTGAAAGCCCTTTAATGATGAGATAGGGCTGGAATTCGCTAATAACAGGTATAGTACTTTTCAATCAACAATCTTCTGCAATACCATAGATTAGAGCACCTTATTCTTCGATTTTCCACCAAGGCGATTAATCTCAAAAGCGGAGATATGCACATGAATATGCGTCAATTCATTGCGAGTTTGTCAGAAAAGCGTTGCGGCGTAAAAAGCTGCAAAGGAGATGTCTGCGGGAAAAAAGAATGTGGAGACCACTCATGGTTTCCCAATCTTCGGAATATCACATATCTCAATAGAAATCACCACACAGAAGGTACTGCAGAGCCTCGCTGTGATCCAATGAGAACTGGCTGGTCAAGACGCCTGATCAAACATTTTCAAGACGTTGAACTCTCGAAGTCTATTGAGGTGATCTTTGATGTCTATGGCGATGCTGATGAAAATAGCAGTGATAGTGATGGAGAGTCGGATAGCGATTGGGATGAGGATCTCTACAAGAATTATGATCCTAAAGATTATCATTATGAGGGTAATGATACAGATACTCCATCTCTTTTGCATAATCGTCAGTTGGCAGTACAAGATTGTATTCGTCGTCTCCTAATGCCAACTTCATTGCTGAAGGGAAATACGAATGACTTGCCAGAAGATTTGGGGCTCCGGGAATTGTTTCAAGATGCTGATATTTGAAAATGGGATTGTTAATTGTTTGAACAAAATAGAACACTCGAGTTTTAAGACACGAACCAATTAAGAATGCATTGTTAGAAGTACATTCACCTTCTAAAAATGAGAAAGATAAGGTAGTGGAATGACAAAAGAGGAATCAGAGGACGCTAAAAAGGAAAAACATAAGAATACTTAGTACTCTCCATTATTTCATAACAACAACATGCCCACAAAGCCGAAGTATGTGCAATTGGTGAATGAAAGAGAGTCGAATATCACATCAACGAGACATGTGCTGGATGCCATCTGAGGTACATATCCTCATACCTTTCATCCGATATTTGTACTATGTCTGGCAATCAAGAATTCACTTAGACTTGACCTTTCCCAAAAGAGAATAGAGTATCTGCTCTCTCTCGACGTTCGATTCTGTGAATATACATAATTCCTTAACTTATTACCCATATCACCGGTGTCGTGAAATGCATAGAGACTATGAGCTTGTGCAGTGCGGTTCATTGTAGGTGATAACCTACCTATATCTTTGGAAAAGATCATTCAATAATTGATATATCCCAATATCTTAACTTATTCTGCTCAAACGCGAGAAGCGCTCTTGACTAAACCCCGAAATTCCGCATACTAGCCACTGTTCCTCCATAGCGAACATCTCGCGAATTCCCAGATGATCCGGCACATCATCCGTAGTTCCATAGCATAAGCATTCCGGCATCAACAACTGTCTCAATCTCTTCTGATACACAGCATGAAAATTCGGTCCTTTTGGCAACATCCCATCCAAGATCTGAAACTGCACGTCAAAGTATTTCGCGAAAGTGATTTCTCTAAGCGCATTTGCCCACCTATAGGCACCGGGACTGTGGATCAAATTCGCCAAGTCTTGTTCTTCTATCTGTAGGAACACGGTGAGCGACTCGATGTTAGGGTAATTGTGTAGTTCTTCGAGGAAAAGCTTTACGCGACGGCCGTTGACATATTTTCGGGTGTTATTCAACGGCTCCATAACGAGAATGTCGAGAGAGATGTTTTGGAGGTAACGAAATTTCGTATGGTTGACTTTTGACCAGGCGAAACTAGCCTAGATTTGTGTGATTATTAGCATGAGGTTCTTTGTTATGGGATAATCATGTGGGTATACCTCGAGTTCATTAGTGAAGTTTACACCAAACTTTTTCCAAAACCACGCTAAGAATTCCCTCAACAGACTTGATTCTCTGATCTCGCTCTTCCAGATGCCTGAATTGCTGTCTGTTGGATCTTTCTCGAAGTAGAAGCCTTCCAAATGCGCGAGAGAGGCAGCAAATTTGATGTAATCGACATAAGACCGAGCAAAGCAATTTGGATAGTCATTCTCGATATAAACGATGCCCATTATGTTTTCCTTGTCTTTACTGGAAGTTATGTCCGTGTGCACCGCGAAACCTCTCTCGAAACACTTGTTATTTGGCGGAATGTTTACCTGCGCATCTCGGATTTCAAGATAATCATCCTCGTTGATAGTTTGTTTGCTGTTGACCTGAATGGAGTACTTGACGGGGGCGAATTGGAGATAATCGTAGAGAATAGAGTAATCTTGCATAAGGTAGGAACTTTTTTTGACACACGCAAATGAGTCTAAATCATCGTCTTCCGCAACTCTCTTGGTTGGTATTTGAGCAAAAATATGTGCCCGGATCTCCGGTGGTGCACGCTTTATGAAATCGAGAAACCTACCAAAAGTCAGTGGGTGGAAATTCAGTCTAAACGTGATGTTCAACGTACCTCTTGGTCACATTGTGATACAATGCATTAGGAGTATCTGCATGGTCTTTGAATGCGGAAGCACCTTGAAACTCCTGGAAGGGAAAGCCAGGCATCAACTCGAGATTTCGGAAATAACAATCCTGATCTTTTGTGTCCCGAGGAAGAGCCCTTTGCTTGTCTGACATGATAGCATCCTCATCTATAAAATCTGGCTTGTATTCCACAGTAAGAAGAAGATCATACATATCTAGCTCAAAGTAGCATGCAGTCTTGTGAGTCACAGGGTCCCAAATATCATAAGTGAGTCCACCTAATGCAGTCATTTCGAAGACGGGGACTATATCTCAAGCTTTGGAAGTGATTCGTTGTTGTTCTTGTCGTTGTTTTCCTTGAAATGAAAGTTTCTGTTTTTAAGTATGTGTGATAATACGCGCGATATATATTCACTTTCGCTTGTCATGTTAAATTTGATTGACTAGGTATGTATTGAGTGGCGATAAGAGAAGGTGAATATTCGTTCTGATTCGGTTAGCAACATCAAACACATGGAGCATATTACAATGGCTCACAATCAGTATTGAGGACTCGGCGTGGTCCCAGGTAGCGTCAATGTTAAAAAATGTGGTATCATTGCTATTTTCCTATTCCAAGTTGCTTTGATTCTCTAATTTTGCAAAGGCTTGCCCATGCCACCGTATGTGACCACTTTAATGGTTTGATATTCTGCGATTCCATATTTGCTTCCTTCACGTCCAAATCCTGACTCCTTAACACCACCAAATGGTGATGCTACATCACTGATCAATCCAGTGTTGACACCGACCATTCCGAGTTCTAACTCTTCTGAGATCCTAGTAGCTCTCTCAACGTCTTTAGTGAAGAAATATCCTGCCAAGCCGACATCAGCAGAATTTGCAATTCGTACGACTTCCTCTTCAGTATCGAATTTAAGAAGACCTGCGACAGGGCCGAAAGTTTCCTCGTTTGCGAGGTCCATATCTGTAGTAACGCCAGTGATGACAGTAGGTTGGAAAAAGTTTGCTCCAAGCTCAGGGATCTTCTGTCCACCTTGAATGACCTTTCCTCCTTTCTTCTCTGCATCTCGAACATGAGCTTCAACCTTGTCAACCGCACGGCCGTGAATAACTGGTCCATGTGTAATTCCATCAGAGAAACCACCTCCGACCTTAAAGTCCTTGACTTTTGCGGCAAACTTCTGAGCGAAGGCGTCGTAGATTCCAGATTGCACAAAGATTCTGTTAGCACAAACGCAAGTTTGTCCAGAGGAACGAAATTTGCATGCAATAGCACCAGTTACTGCAAGATCGAGGTCTGCATCATCAAACACAATGAATGGAGCATTTCCACCGAGCTCAAAAGACAGCTTCTTCAACGTCGAAGATGACTGCTTCATCAAAATCTTACCCACACCAGTAGATCCGGTGAAAGAGACTTTTTTGATGATTGGGGAAGTAGTGAGAAGCTCGCCAACAGCAGGTGTATTATCGAGAGAGCTGACAAAGTTTACAACACCCTTGGGAATTCCAGCCCGGTGTGCAAGTTCGGCAAGAGCGAGAGAGGTGAAGGGTGTTTCTCCGGGAGACTTTGCAACAACCGTGCAACCAGCTGCCAATGCAGGTGCGATCTTTCTCGTTATCATAGCAGCTGGAAAATTCCAACTAGACAAAATTAGCATTTTGCAATCATTTTGGTGCAGGATCAACCTACGGGGTGATAAGTCCAACAACACCAACAGGCTCCTTCAAGGTAATAACTCTGTTCCCAGGCGTCGATGATGGAATAACATCTCCGTAGTTTCTGGGAGCCTCTTCGCTAAACCATTCCAAGAAGTTGGCTGCGTATGTCGTCTCTCCTCTTGCATCTGCCAATGGCTTTCCATTTTCCCATGTTATGAGCCTAGCGAGATCCTCACTGTTTTCAATCTGTATGAAATTAATCAACAATCATCCTGTATGTTGTTTTGCATATTTATTCTTCTAGCATACCATCAAATCGTACCACTTTCGTAATAGCTTTGCTCGTTCTCTTCCAGTTGTAGTCTTAAATGAGGGGAATGCTGCAGCTGCGGCATCGATTGCCTTCTTCGTATCAGCTACATCGAACTCTGGGGCATTTCCGATGAGTTTTCCGGTTGATGGATCTGCAGAGTGAATAGATTAGCATCTTTGGTCAGTATCGAATCTTAATGAATCTGCAAAACATACCATGAACATCAAATGTCTTTCCGGAAGCTGCCTTGACCCATTCCCCGTTAACGTACGCAACTCCGGTCTTGAAGAGCGATGGATCATTAAGTTTTGGGACTGTGTGCGACATATTGGAAGCCTTTCGTAAGTTTATTATTGGTAAAGTAGATGGTTGAAAACGTGAACGAGGTAGTATTCTTGCTGTTGATCTTATTATGTTGTTCATGTTGAGAGAGGGGGTGCCAAGCTGGGGGCTTTTATTCTAACAATTCCAGATTCGAGCATTAACGTCACCATGGAATAACAGTTGGCTGTTGCTGACAATTGAGGCGTAGGAGAGACAAATATTGGTTTAGGGAAATAAAAAGAAGATCTTTATTAGACCCGATTGAAGATGCACCGGAATTGAAGCAATTTGAGTAACTGGAGTTACGGAGAGCTTAATGGAATCATGGAGCTCACGATAGGGCGTTTGTTTATCGGATTTATCGTGAGGTGAGTGAAACTTTGATAAGCTTCGCCGCGGGGCTGTCACTAGACCTGATTTAGGTGATAGCACGTTCGATATTTGTAATTGGGAAAGTTGTACACAGTCATCAAAAACAACTTGGAAGTCAAAACAGGCGAGAGACAAAGGTATGAAAAGGGCAGAGTACATGTTTACATAATTGTATCATTCAGTAACGTAGTTTAACACCGAGTGGCCCATATCACCAAGTGGCCCACTTTCACCTCAATTTACATTTTTCTCTTTCAATATATATTTTATTAATAATTTATAATGAATTCAAATAATCAAAAAGCTTATATACTCCTTATTATCAAAACTATTTATAAAAATAAAAAATTAAATATTCAAAAAACTATTATATTTTATAATATCTTTTGTATAACTTTTTGATATAAAATAAAAGGTTTATTTCTTTATATAAAAATTCAAATTAATAATTATAAGATTATAAAATTAAAAAAAAAAGTGATTATTTAATATATATTTAATATAAATTCAAAAGGATTTCTATTTAAATTAAAGAATATAAAAGATATAATAAATTATATTCTTAAATTAAGAGATATAAAATATATTAGAAAGCTTTGAATATATTAATTTGTAAAGTATTGAATTGAATTAAAAATATATTTTAATTATATTTATAATTTTCAAAAAACTTTTTATAAAGATTTTAAGCTTATTGAAAAGTAATTTCAATTGATTATAAATATATAAGCAAAATATAGTATTTTGAATAGCGATTTTTATAATTTCAATAAAATAGATTTTATAATAGGGATTATATATATAATAATAATTATTATTAATATTAAGAGATATAATAAAAATAAATTAGTATAATTAGATAATTGAGAATAGATTATAATAATAATATATGGAAATATAAAGAATGAAATTATTTCTTTATTTCTAATAATTTAAGAATAGGTTTATCTTTTTAATTAATATATTAAAATTAGTTTTCTTATAAAATAAATTATTAAATCTATATTTAATAAATAAACAAATAATGAAATAGATTTAAAATAATTGAAATATTTTGATAAATATATTAAAAATCGAAGAAAAAGTAAATATTGAATATTAATATTAAATAAATATAAAAACTATAAATCAATAGCTTTTCAAATATATTATAAAAGAATAATATTATATATCTAAATTTACTATTATATTCAAATTATTTAATTTAATTATTTAATATTAATTGTTTTAATAATCTGAAATATTTATATAATATTTAAATTAATAAATTTATTAAGGTATATATTAATTATATTTTGAAAATTGAATTCTTTATAACTTTCAAAGTTATATATCAAGAATCAATTATTTTTTAGAATATAAAAGTAGGATTTCAAGAAACAAATTTAATTCTATTTAATTCTAAAACTATACTCTCAAAATTAAATATTCGAATTTATATATCTATCCCCTCTTTTTTTAATCTAAATTAATAGATTTTTCAAATCTTTTATAATTCAATTGAAATTCTTTTTCAATTAATATTAATTAAATCTCAAATAATTTATTATTAATCAAGCTTTTTTATATTTATATTCGAAATTATATTAATTTTAATTAAAAATATAAAGAGATTAATTTATAAAAATATACTTTTAAATATAGAGAATTGTATATTTCGAGTAGTAAATAAAGTATTAAATAAATATTGATATATAAAAAAAACTTAATTATATTAAAAAAAAATATTTATTAAATAAAAAACTCTTAATATATTATTTTAATAAGAAATTGATATTCAAATTCAATATAATAAATATCAAAAAAAGAAGAATTTTAATAAAAAAATATTTTTTAATTAATATTATAATAAATATAAAAAAATAGAATATAATATAAGAATCTATTAAAATAATATAATAAATCCTAGATTATTAGATTCTTAATAGTTTCAATTAATTGATTTAATTATTATTGAATAATATGAGTTTGAAAGTGTAAATTGAGATGAAAATAGGCTACTCAGTGATATGGGCCACTCGGTGTTAAACTACGTTACATGTATGATTATATTCTGAATTATATAATGATACCCGTGGACGCACAAAGATATTATCAGATATCAGTGCTTTTTTTTTCAAGATCTAAAGGAGGGCTAGGGCTAGATATAACTAGGTATTCATCCATCTAACTGCTAATCGCAGATCTACGATTCCCTTCTTATTATTAGTATTGGTGGAAAGAGAGGGAGGGAGTAACTATGGATGACATGGACTCTACGCCGAGAATACTACCTCGGTACCTTTACTACGTATATACGTAGTATGCATCGTGCTATGTATATAGCACATCAGCCAGCACCCCTAGACCTTTTGGCGTATACTCGTTCCCCGACTTCCCCGCGTCGGCAATTCTTTGGCAATCAAGGACAACGTCAACGTCAAACTCAATTCAATTGATATGCAAGTAGCAATTTATCCAGCTCGTTCTTCAAGAGATACTTCGGTTTCCGGTATGATATACTGCGAGTACAACGTCGGATATGCACTTGCTATCCGTAGCAATGAGATATTGGGAAAGAACCATAAATCTGCATTGTACAGACTGTGAATTGATTACTTAAACTTCGTTGACGTTCTCTCTTGTCATTCCTCTCTTCATCGAATGTACTTTTGTTTGTTCTCTTTGACAAATTGATGTTTCGGAGATAGAATATCACTAGATCCTTAGTACTTACAAAATGGCCCACATCACTGGAGTCATCCTTCTAAGCTTTGTGCAAGCAATTCATGCTCAGAGCAGCTTCACAGTTGCAAGGACCGCTCCAGCAAACGCCGGTACCCCACTTCCGGCCTTCATAAGCTACTCTATCGAGTTTTGTTTCTTTCCGGATTACGCTGGTATGTTGGAAGCTCAGGGACACATTGCTTGGCTCATGCGCTTACATATTCAGGAAATAACTCGAGTCCCGGTACCTTTTCAGAAAATTTGCTCAACAATCTTGGAAATTTTTAAGGTACTAAACCGCACATTCGAGTTGGTGGAAACACTCAGGATTATGCTCTTTACAATGCAAGTCTTCCATATGCTGTGAACGGTACTATCAATCCAGCAAAGGCTACAGACTATCCAACAACGGTTTATTTTGGTCCGTCCTTCTTTGAGTCTTACAGTACTTGGTCGGATGTCAAATTTAGTCATGGATTCAATCTGGGTCTAGGTGCGAATAATTCTGCTGGATGGCAGACTCTGTTAGACACAATCCCCTTGGCATGCAAAGCTTTAGAGGGCGGGAAGCTTCTCATGTGGGAATATGGGAATGAACCAGATTTATTTTCCACCTCTGCACAAGGGCCAGTTCGACCTCCTACTTGGAATGAATCAACATACGTAAGCCAATGGTTGAATGGCAGTCGAGAGATCAAGAAAGGCGTGGCAGCAGCTTGTCCTGACTTGGCCTCCTATGGATTCTTAGCACCCTCTTTTGCTGGGGTTGAAAATCATCTCGATCCTGTCACCACATGGAACGATGGATTAGACGTGGATAAAGACATTGAATTGATATCGTCACACAAGTATGGTCCCATTCACGATATTATATTTCGACTGCTAACAGAACTTTCAAAGTTATATTGGTGGTGCGACGCAACCAGGTGTAACACTTCAAGGAACCCTGATGAATCACACGTCAACAGTAGTGTCTGTGACTCGACAACTGAACGTATCTAATATTCTTGCTTCATCTGACGTACCCTTCATCCTCGGAGAAACCAATTCTCTTTATAACGAAGGCGCGCCAGGGTTGTCAAATGCATATGGTGCTGCTCTAGTACGTCTTGTCTGTAGTCGATTTCCATCTCATCATATTAACTTCTACTTAGTGGAATTTGGACTTCGCTCTATACGGTGCAAGTAAGAGCATTCGTCGCATTCAGTATGTATTTCTTACTTCCTAGCAATCAATTTTCACGAATCTCATATTAACCTTTTATCCAGTTTCCACACGGGACTCTCATTCCGCTACCAGGCTTGGCAACCCCAGGATACAGATGTTGTCCCGAAGGGCACCAAGCCACCATACTACGGTAACATCGCCGCCGCTGCTTTCCTATCCAATCTTACCGCTGCCACCACAACCATAACCGAAATCCCACTCTCAAATGCGTTGGAATCGGCTTACGCTGCATATGTCAATGGTGCCCTCAAGCGCATCATAATTATCAACATGCATCAATACAACTATACCGTAAACGGAACCTCTACAGTTTTAAATCCAGTCCCGCGTCCAACCAGAAATTACACAATCACAATCCCAACCAATACCACAGCCGGATCCTCGGGTCACTATGCACCAGCTGCGCTGCCGAAGTTAGCAACATTGAGAGCCCTTCGTGCAAATGGTAGTGATGCAATAACCGGGATCACGTACGATGGATATTCATACAATTACGAACTTGATAACGGAAAACCTGTAAGATTGCACAATGTGACGGTTGGACACACGGTTAAGGTTGCGGACGGGAAATTTACCGTACCGGTTGAAGATTCGGGGGCGGTAATGGTTGATTTTGGAGCATAGTGGTGCATTATGGTTATTGAAAATGTATACGAGGCAATTTTTGAATTAAGCCACCTAGCTGGTATCTTCCTATTTCGCAGTTGAGATGTACGAGATTGAAGCCTTTACAAACCTCGTCTCCTGTATATACTCGTTGAGGCCAGATGAGACGTTTCCAGATGCTCAAAATGTAGTTGTTTATCTCCGATTGCCATTTGCTCCCTGTAAAGAAACAAGCAGTTTATCTGCTAAGTCTCCCTATAGGAAAATGCTATGCTCAATATCTCATTCCTTGTGATCAGTCGCGTTCTGTTGTCAATCGTTGTTGCTAATGGATCTGTAAAGCTTCATGGTCATGATCTGAAAACCATCCATGTTCGTGTGCTTTGGTTTGAATAACTGTGATTTGACCACACTTGCCGATACATCTCTCCCCTTCTTCACGTCTAGAACATTCGAGCAATGCGACTCAGAGCTGTATGCGAGAGAAGATCGAATGAATTATAAAGGCATTTGATTATCATGCAAGAAAGTATCTAACTTCAAAAGACCAAAAATAGAGCTAAATGAATCTTTGTTTCGACCGATTGGAAGCGTTGAGATGGCTCTATATATAGTCGACCTATTGACAAGTACACCGTACCATTTCATACGATATAGTCGGAGACCACATCTAAACCGTTTGACTTGAATCTCAACAATCGTTATGAGAAATCGTCTCTGCTTCGCAAGACTAGGAATTACAGCCAACAAGCTACAGCGCAGAGATACGGCAGCGTTGACGGGTTATCAGAATTCGTACGGTCGTCGCTCCATAAACTAGCCCCCGCTTAAACCCAGCCAGCTCTAGGAATAAAATCATCGCTCATCATCGCTTGTCATCGACATGCTCAATCTTATAAGAACCCATCGATCATCTCGCAGAAGTCTATGTAAAATTTTTCCCTTTTCCACACATGAAAGATCTTCAATACCACCAAGTATTGAGAAAGAATCATCATCGGTACAACCAAATATGTCTTCAGACTCGTCCAGAAAGAGCTCTGAGTCATTAGTCGAATATAGAACGTCGAAGGCAACGCCAATTATCTTTTCAAGAAGAAAGAACACCCTACATGACAGCCTCCATTTCAAACCCGGCAAACTTCTCAGGACCAGCTACCCAGGTGCAAGCCAATCGAGTACGAACCCAAGCACACATCACCCCCTCAATGGACTTTGGCCCCTACGAAGATAGTAACGTTAAAGACCGTAGAAAGCTTCCTTTCGAAGTTCAGTGGAGCATATCTTTCCGAATGTTTAGAACACTTGAGAATGCCATATTCGATTTCACAAAGAAGTGGGCACCTAACGCTCTGGCGATGAACGACTTTATTTCGGGGAAGAAGGTAGAGCTCAATTTCTGGGAGCGATTCCTAGCAACACCTATCGTTAACCCGATCGCATTCGAGAACCAGGGCAGTGTCCCGCGATTTCATCAACTGCTGGATAGATTGAAAGAGGTTCGACACACTTTTGTTCACAGAAAGGAGCCACCAGTCCTTTACCTTGAGCGTATGCTTGCAGATAGTATAGAATTAACCACGATGATTGGAGATGAGACCCGTGCACACAAACTGGATCAGATATATCAAATGGTTCACTATATGGCTAGTCTTCTGAGGGATCAGATATCGAATGAGACAAAGACAATACTCGAGGACCGACTTCAGGCCGGTAGACGGGCGCAGGACATGTCTATTGACTGGCTAGAGTCCAATAGGCTCAAGAAACAGGAAATCGAAATCAAAAGAGATTTAAGTCATGACACGGCGAGCTTTGAAGCCTTGTATTCCAATACATTACAAGCTTTGGAGATGATGCAACCTCTGACAGACACTCTTACTGACGACTAATTTCATGATCCGACGTTGTTGTGCTAAGACGAGTGATATTACTAGTATCTGTAGCTAAGTCTGACGCTTGTCTTCGTCTTTTTCAGTGTTCTATCGCGTGTCCAATGGTACGGAGCTGATTGGTATTTGTCAGTTTTCTGAAGCAGTAGAACCTCAATTCGGACTCCAATTTTATGAGTCTTTCTGTTCGTTAGCGTGATGGATTGGTTTATTTCATTTCGACGGGTGTTTCAAGGAATACCTCCTTTCACTTTCTTTGAAGGGAATGTGGGAGTGATGCATGACAAATGAGGGCTTTCCAGCGCTCAGAAGATGACAGAGTGATGAAGCCCACAATACACGCAATACTCCTGTTTTCTTTAACGTTGCTTTATGATGCATACGAATTGACTCGTGAACTCGTGGACATGTGAATGCACTTCTCCGCAATCTATAACATATTAATGCTTGACAACTATTGACCAGCTGTCATCGGCTTTGGATATGTATCTAAAAGTATGACTTCTGAGTAATTAATACTGAAAAAGTATGTATGAGCAAGAAAAGTGTAGAATTGTGAGATCAAGATGAGCCTACAACCATCTAAGTTGTCCACGTTGTTGGTACTAGTAAGGTAGTTGGGTCAGGTGCAAGATCCATGGCTTCCTTAGTGGATATATTATTAATTTCTCATTTGAGCCGGTGGTAAACGGAGAACAAGGTTTCAGGGTCGGTGAGGGAAGCACGGTTTCGTTGTTGATGCAAGGTACGTACCTACATGATACATGCTAACTCGGCCCCAGCTTTTGGACTTGAGGGCTGATATAATGTCATCTAATGGGAATTCAAGAGCAATGGTTAGAGCACCATTATATCACCTAGCTATTCTCCTATCGTTATGTAGTGGAATCGAGGGATGATTGGAAGATGTTGTCCGTGAGCACTGTAGAGTAAATAACTCATGACAATTCTCGCTATGATATCAATGTGTACGGAGTGACGAAATACATATAAAAATAACTCAATGCGGGATTTGAAAATTCTGTAAAGGAAAAAAGGGGCAAGGAAGACGATCAACAACAAGGAAAGGAAACGTTCCGTCTGGGGGTGTGATGTTATCCAAGCCATCCAGGTAGCTTTAGTCTCATCTCAAATAGTACGGGATTTGGTAATAAAAAAGGTGTATTTTTGGTATCAATTTATAATGCCGAGCGAGCCCAGGTAGTTTAAAAGGCGAGAAAAGGCTCAAGGGGTCTCGAAAGTCTTTGTCAATAGAATAAAATCACGTGAATTGGAAACATTCATCATTCTAGTTGCGGGATGCCAAGACGCTAACCCCGCCTTTTTATAAATCGTGCTTTCTCTTTTTGACCTTTTCTGGGGAAATCACCAATCGCTTTAACTCGTGATTTCTTTGGCTTCCAAGGAAAAAGGAAGCAATTATTAATTTCATATTGCCTCATGATGTCGTCTTAATACGTTTTTCCTCTTTGTTGATATACATTTACGTAACAATGAAACGAATACGTGTTGGCGGTGAAAAGTATTGGATAACTTCTTGAGCTGTGCTTTGAGCTCTGACGATGGAAAGAGAGTCATGGGAGGTGATTTCGCAATTTCCCCAGTGTTTGGTATGCAAATTCTTCATGCATTGAGTAAGATGTTGTCTGACTTGGCCGGGCTAGATGTTTTCTTGCAAACAATTGAGAAGGTATAAGAGTCTCACGATAGCCTCACATCAAAAAGATGGATTTCAGAGTGGCGAGCAACTCAAAGAAATACTTTTACAAGCCGTATAAAATCGTCATTGAATTCTCTGGACCTCGGCGTATTGTTGATGATACGAAATTTGAGATATAAAAAACTTCAACATTCCAACACTTCAGAACTTCACTACAACACAATGTCTCGCTTTTCACTACAAAACAACTCAAACAGGAGGAAAGCATATGAAGCTGGACAGTCTCCATTAGAGTTACTTCCACCTGAGCTTCTACAAAAGATTCTTGGAAATCTAGAATTGAAATATGATCACAGAGAAGGAGGTTCAAGCAATGGTAAGACTTCACTCAATACCTGCAGTGAAATTCAATTGACATAATATTGATATTTTATAGATTCCGGTGACATCAATTGCCCCCACCTGGAGAGACCTACTTTATTTTCATGTCTTCGTGTGTCAAGAGCTATTTATATGAATGCACTTTTCATCACATATCGAAGTGTTACAGTTACTCACATGTCCGCCTTTAACCATATACTTGCTCAACTTACCGAAAATCCCATCTTGGGTAGAACCATCCGACGTCTTGATTTCTCAGAACTGAAAACTGCGCGCGCAATGAGAGAGTTTTCCAATTACCTATACGGAATAGTTTCACTCGCTCCACACCTTCGAGAATTCCGGATCCCGAAGGATACCAACCTGAACGGTTTCTTAAGCGAGTCCTTACTTCGACTACTTTTTGTTGGGTTGGCTCATTTGAAGACGTTAGACTTAGGTAATTGCACGTCATCAACACTAGATTGCATACCTAGCATACTTGATAGTATGCCAGCATCTGTTTCGCTTCCAATCAAATCATTATCCTTGGAGAATTGTAAAGCTCTACCAGCTTCATCCTTCGACTCCCTATTTTCACGACTCGGCTCGATACAGTCGATGACGTTATCACATACTCATATCACGACAGAAGCTTTACAACTTCTTCCTCCCACGGCCAAAATATCACATTTAGCTCTCAACCATTGCCCCTTCCTTGAGGATGTCTCTCTGATTGACTTTATCACCTCACATCCGTCGGTGAAGAATACATTGGAATACCTCGATGCTTCTGCTGACCTTACGGTTGGTGAAGAGATAAACGAAAAGGATACAGAACGTCTATTGAGATATGCACCAAGGACAATCAAAACTCTCAAGTTAAGAGGATGGAAGATGGACTCAGCATGTGTCGCCCAGTTAAAGACATTGAATCAAACAGTAGAAGAGTTAAGCATAGGTACCGGCCTCCGTATGCGCGATCTCGAATCTATATTTCTGGATACTGAAGACAATGACTCGCGAAACGATGAAGAGGGAATCGATTCATCAGAGATCGACTCAAAGTATACCACTGTCCTAGAGCCAATGGAACGTGCGATAGCCATCACCAAGTTACGACGAAGAATTTCCAACACCCCATTACCTGCCTTCACCGATGCCAAGCACAACTTGCGGTATCTTGATATTAGAGGAATGACATTGGCAGAACAGAGCAAGATCCGATCTTCAATATTGCTAGGCAAGCAATCAGTGGCACTGAATGTGATTGCTGTGAATGATAGATTAATGGATAGAGAGGGGACCTTGAAGGAAATTTGCGCGAGTGTGGGATGGACGGTAAAGAGAGATGGGAGAAGATGTCTCTTGGTTAGACGAAAAGTTTAATATGCTTTCAGGAAAGTTTTGCAGAAGGTCTAGCCTTCAAGATCAGCATGAAATTGGTGTTATGGAAGCATGGTATGCGGCGTTTAAAAGCTCAAAAGTATTTGACCTTGGATTGATACCATAGCAATTTATGTTTTAATTTTTAATCAACATCAATCGCTATCAATATCATTTCTATATGATGCCATATATCAAGGCTAAGCAAAACTTGACCTTTCTTTGATTCTTTCTTTTCGATGGAAATTCGCTCAGATCGTTAACTAAGCCGCCATCCTATCCTGCAAGAGTGAAATCTTAAATCCGCCAGTATTTTATCTTCCATCTTGGCATAAACCACACAGGATCTAAATTTGGAGATTCAAGGCTGAGTACCCAGTGTGTCTGCACAAACTCTCGAGAAATTCCAATCTCGTCCTGCCATCACGTGAATATCTCGTGCTTCCTTCTCTCCACGCGAAATGATATTTACGTCAAAACCCCTTCATTCTCATCTCTAGCCGAAATCATTGTACCACAATTCGCCGTCCAAAAAATAAATTGTAAAGTATTGATTTCCTGCCACTCTTCTCAATTGGCAATTGTAATCTCACAATTCGACCTCGAATTTCCCTTGATGCCTTGCACTCCCCAATATACCTATCTGCCAAAATGATATCCGCGTATCAAACAGATTAAGCATCCGGGTCATCGGCAAGAGGCAGTGCTAGCTGCGGCTGCCCCCGAGTGTTCTAACCATAAGTCCAAGACCCAATATTATTTTTCGCCCCCATATCTTATCTCTCAATCTTCTCATGTACTGCATCCATCATACCGCGTATTCCATTTAGAAAGAGGATTGAAACGCGCCTTACAAGCTTCTTGGTCCGTTTCATGTTCATGCCAATTGCACACGTAGCAAATATCGAAATATAACAGTCGTTGTGGTGATGTTTCTCGTATCTGGGGGGTTTGTACAGCGTGTTTAGTGTTAGGTAACCTTATAAGGTGTTGCTATTTTTAGAAATACACGAGCTGATGGGGTGGTAGTGGGGATGATGACCAGGAATTGATACGAGATGAAGTGCAATGTTAACCTAATCGAAGGATGGGATTTGGACATTCGCACGATCGATAATGTTACGCGAGGAATGATTGATGTGTGATGTATGTACGTAGGTAAGCTCAGGGATATATACATATATATAGAGGATAGCTCGCGAAGAATGAGGTGTAATGAGGTATATATCGTTCGCATCATGCACCCGGAGTATCTATCCCTCTTGTCGACGAACCGTATCTAGGTATCAGATGAAGTTGCACCAGTAATCGAATTCGAAGACCGCAAATATGAGTATCAGCAACGAGGAAGAAATCCTAGTCACTAGTCGCAATAAAGCGCCGTCGATTATCAATGTTACTTCGCACAACGAGCGAGTATTCGCTCAATTACCCGATATGATACAGGAAGCTCTAGTTTCCACTGAATGTAAGTTATATTCCTCATTTTTCGAGGTTCGAGAAATCACTAATAGCGAAATGTATAGTCTCAGCACCCAATTTAAAAATCAGTCGTGTACACAATGCGCGCACCATAGATTCGGGCTTCATGACACAACCAATGTTCTACATCACACCTAGCAATGAATCGAGTATCAGCATGCCAGATCTGACCCTCACAGACGAGAGCATCCTTTCGAAATTCGGCACCGAACTTACCGCGAATTTTGCGGATATAAAGGCTCATGGCTCTGCTGCTTTTTTCCAGAAAGAAAATTTGAGTGACGGCGCGACGTATTCCCTCTGTGCCTGTGCGACGGGTTATATATGGGTATATGTATCACCTAGCAGCATTGCTGACGCTCTCGAGGCTGCGGATGAGGGATGGGACGAATTTTCGCGATTGGAGATACAGATTGGAACGTTTGCGCTGCGGAAGAAGGCGATTACTACGATTGAGATACCGTGTCATTATCGCACTGGAAAAGTAGTTGCACATATGAATGGAGATTTATCATTACTATGCGCGACGGTACTGGCAAAGTATTTAAGGTTTAGAATGATGGGATGTCAGTATGAATATGCGACTGAGAGTGCGATCAAGGAAACGAGGAAACAATTGGCGCATCTGAGGGTTGTGGATCCCGGGATCTTTAGGGGCTTGGAGAGAATGTTGAGGGAGATTTGTACGAATGCTCCGATGCCACCAACGAGTGTGGTGAGCCTTATTTCGAGGAGTATGATTAGGGGACGATGGGAGGTTTGGGGGGACAGAAAGGTCTTGAGGAGGAAATATTCACTGCCTGGACGGGTCATGCAGAGTTTTAAGAAAAGGGAGGCTGATCCTATTGATTTATTGAGTGAGAGCTACACGTTTCTGAGACTGGAGAAGAAGAAAAGTAGTATTGGTGGTGTAAGGTATTCATAATCGCCTCCACAGACGAAAAGAGAGTTTGCGATTTTTAAGAGACGGGAACCATTATGCGATCAATGTTTGGTGCTACATGGGGTGTTAGTACCGGATATATTGGCGTATTATCAACGAATAACGAATAATGAATAATGAATTTCATAAACTTACCCCATCCAGAATTGTACGCCTGAAATTGAATGACGTTTGTAGTTCCACTTTTCAACGCCGTAGTCAGGACACTTGTGCCCGGTGTATTGCCATCCGTTGTGGGCAAGAATGCAAGAATATGGCTGACTCCATTGACCACAACATTCGCATAGCGTTGCGTCGAATCGCCATTTGTATGATGAATTCGAATCGTGGTGGTAGTTGCTACAGAACTACTCACTCCATTCATAGTCAGAGTGCCTCCAGGACTGGGCCCGCCAATATATCCTACTTGGACGCCACCTGAGCATCCGGAACATGTGAGGGTTATAGCGCCGTTAGCGAGAGTGTTTGTGCTAGCCTCAGCCTCGGGAGTTGTTTCAGTAGGACCGGCAGTCCATGTTCCTGCTGTTGGGTTGATGCTCCAATTCACTTGGTTACTCTGTTTACGTTAGCTTCTGAAATTCTTGTCGGTACCTTATTTCATACCATAGTTGCCTTCGTTCCGGATATTGTTATGGGTAGCCAGACATAAGTGGAAGTCATGAGGTTGGATGAATGCCATCGATCTCCCATATACCTGTATTTGATTAGCACCGAGTTTTCTAGTAGTGAAGGACCATTTTTCAAGGTCGAGGATAAATAAAAGATATATTTACATAACAACTCCATTAACACTGACCACAGCAGCCGTCTGACTGCTATAGGTGTTCGATCCGACTGTTGCAAAGTTGGCCCAGGCAGACCAAGGACCCGATAGATTTGTAGCTGTGGCGTAAACATTGTCGTTTGGATCTATTGGGCACGAGCTCAGTTATTGATCATTTGGAGAGAGTATAACTTGTATCGAGATTGGAACGATCGTGCTCAGGGAAACGGTGATAAGAAGATAGGCATACATACCCCAACCAGATAAGTGACTGGCAAACATAAAATAAGTGCTACCACTTTTATATATGGCAGGAGCTTCGTAATCGGCAAATGTATAGACAGCCGAGACGACTGATGTATAATCGGCTGAGAGCTTGTCAATTCTTAGACCGTTTACTCGCTATAAGATAGTCAGAGCTGGCTCTCAATGGAAGATAGCAGGTGGGAAAGGATGTTACATCTTCAGTCAATAGGTACCCTGTTCCGTCGGTATCTAGCTTCTCGTTAATCATAGAAAGGGCGCGGAATATCATATCCACATACCTTTAAACACATTGAGATCTCTGCTTTGGTAGCCCAATGGTTGACTTGCTCCTCTGTTGCATTCCTTGTCAGTCTCGTCTTCAATTCAGTCCACCTTGAAGACCCCTCATTTTCCGCCACTGTCAAATTCAGCAACTTACAAGTATGTATAAGTCCCACAAACACTGCTGCTAGTTGCAACGCCAGCCCTTGCTTCGCCATAACTCGAATCATCAATATGCATCCACATTACATATTTAGCAGTTGCAGCATTGTACATTATGTGTGGACGCTCCACAACCCGATTGGGCCCCAGATCTCCAGATGATTGCACTGTAAGAAGATAAGAATTGAATTTCCAATTCACAAGATCTGTGCTTGAGTAGCAGTTGATTGATTGGAAAGCACTTCCATTTATTTTGTTCTCTCCGGCCCAATAGCTACGATTGATACTAATTAGTTTGGAATGAATACTGGAAGCCTAGTTACTGACTAGGTCGATCCGACTTGGATTATTCCACCTCCATGAGCTTGGATATGCTGATTAAGACCAGAAGCTGTCCATGTTGCACCTGATATCTGAACATTTGTAAGCTATTGCGTTGAAACCACCCGGGGGCGATACTTACAATTTGAAGGGAAGCGAGTACGTAACTGCTCCAAAAGGGAAGTAGCAAAAAGACACCGAACAACATTTTAACTATTCACGGCCAGATTATGTAGTGTATTGGTGACTAGATACTGACATTCGGACACGGATTGAGAGCACCTCATATATATACACCATTCTATTCTCCAAAATCGGAGAACTTGCCGAATCCAAGATTGGATCTTGAGACTATCTGCTGGTTCCCCAATTGAACAAAGCTTATACTCCGGCATGATCACCGGCAGCAGTATCTGCATTGAGAATCCTTTTGCTCTAGTGATCCAAAAACTCTTTTGGCGCCCCAATGATATGAATTGTGATTATTTGGTTTCCGCTGTGGGTATGCCACCAGTGCACCACATTCGTTGCCCAAAAGCAACCCCACCAGGTATGTACAAACATGGGTGAATCCACTTGTACGAGATGCAAACCCCAATTTCGAAGTAACATTCTTTTATCCGCAAAGTTGGAAGATCTCATGATGAGAATATAGGCATTTCGATATTACATGAATTAATACGATGACCGGGGAGCTCGGGGAGTGATAGAGGCAGCTGTGCAGAGAGCTGTGGAAACAATTCCCAAAATAATACTCCGTTACTCCGCACTTGATCTGAAGACACACAAAATGAAAACTATCTCAATGCTTGATGGATCTTTATGCGCTATTGCATCTATTTCAGAATCGAAGTAATCTTTCCTCTCACATTTCGAATAAGTGTAATAAGATTGAAGGGCACATTGGTACCTGATAAAATGCACGGCCACGGTGATACAGAGTCATCATTTCCCCGCATTCCAGATTGTTTTGTGGCTGCTATTATGCCGCTGCATCGATGATCTTGTCATGTCGGTATTCAATTTCCCGGAAAACGCGTCGAAGGTCAAAAGTTAATTATAACACGCTTGAGATTGGGTTAAACCAACATGGAAAATTAGGATCTAGACATCTGGAGATGTCTTCGAGGCCTTTCAAACATGATTGACCGGGCAGATATTGACCCGAGAGAGAAGAGATCTTTGGGAGGCTCAGATGGTATAGAACTTGTATCACGTGATAGCATCGCAAATGGCCTTGAGAGAAAACATTCTATAAATATAGTTAGCTAGCAAGACCAGTGTCGAAATCAATGCGAGCAAAGGTTGAAACGAAACGAAACTGAGGAAAGGCTTGAGATTGTGTGGAAGATTGATGAATCACGTGTTAGTGCTAATCTATCTATATTAAGCTTAGCGCATCCCTCAAAATTGCACGACTCAAACCAATGTGCGATTCAAAACATCAAAACACCAAAACACCCCCCAAAAAAACATCAAACCACCATTTATTCCTTTTTGAGGTTTTATTCCATCTATTCGTTTTTCATTGGGATTGAAATATCTTCCATGCTAAATCTTTAGCATCTTATAGTTATTCCACTTGTTCCATGATCGCCTTGATACCATTCGTGGCTGTGCTACGATATCACACGTTGATAGATTGATCGTCGAAGATCATATTGAATTGAAATGACGGCCAAGACAGCAACTCTTCATCTTGATAGCCTGACAAGGCGCACTTATGTTGGAGCTTCGTCATCAATTTCATCAATTTCATCAATCTCACCTTCTTTGGTCTCAATTTCTTGATTGCAGTTTACCAAGGGTCCATATCATCTTGGCCCAATGTTCATAGGGGCTACTCATGTCCAATTAGACACAGTCACGGTAGTTTGTTAGCGCGAACTATCGCGGCATGCTAAATCACTACCGGGATATAGGCACAGTACTATTTTTACTCGAACTTCTTTCATTCTGTGCGAAGATCTCTTGGCAATCTAACTGCTGTTAACAACATGAATCTCTGGCTTCTAGATTCATGAAATGAGATCGAGGTCTTCATAGGTCATTGAAAGGGGGCTTCCCTGACCGGATGTCCCTGCCAAGTCTCCGTCAACGCGTTTACTGTTCTTCGTCTCGATCTTTCATGGGATATTTATACTTCTTTTACAAAGTTAAACAGGTTTAGAACAGCTGGCAGTGGCATTGGCGTGGTCGGAACATTACGGAACATCGAGTTCCTGATAATACCGCGTATGCAGCTGGTCCAGGGTGCTTGCCTAGCCTGAAGCCACCCGCGACGTCCCTTGAAGCCAAGGCTCAGTAGTTAAACTTTACTTGGCTCCGACGATTTTAAAGTACCGGGAGTTTAAAGATCGTCTTCTTGGGTGAAGAGTGTCGCCTGAGATACTCATTGAGGCTCTTCATCTGAAGTTCTTATCTCTTGGGCATCCACTTTTTTTCAGTTTCGGGCATATTTTCGTTGTTTCCTTTGTGTTACGGCAAACTTGGCCATCAAATGCTCCATATGGTGTCGTTTTAGTTATATCTTCGACAGCTTGGATTCTTGGTAGTAATTACGAGACAAAGGGGGCTCCACTACATGGAGATTGTCGCCTCCTGTATCCGTGAACTCGAGATTCTTCAAAATGAGCCCGTCATCCCACATCTGTCAAATGCTTCCCCAGAGTCGATTTCCCTAACTTCATTAGAACACTAATATAATACGAGCTGCTTTTCTCGACAACGGAAGTAGTTGGATGTATCTGTGTTTACCTAACGGTCTCTCATTCTCTCCTCGTTTGCTCATCCCAATACTCTTTTTCATATCCTCTGTAGAAACCACAAATTTAGACTGCTGGCTCAGTTCAATATAGCCAAAATGGTTTCTCCCAATGCTCCAAATGAAAATATTCTTGGAAGAGATTTTGAAGAAGTCGATGTCGAAATTGGCCTTAAGGAACTTCCAGAGAAGGAAGAACCTATTCAGAACCTCACTTTCTCTGAGCGCTTAAGACATTTCACTTATGGTACTTGAAGCTCCAGGACTATCCCTACGTATTCTCTCTTGCTAACTTCTGAAAAGCCTGGTTCGCATCGACAATGTCTACAGGAGGAGTAGCTTTTACTCTTTCTGTCCTTCCTATCGAATCGGACGCAATCCTCACACTAGGAAAAGCTTTGTTTGTTATCAACATCATGGTCTTTTTAACCATCGTCGGACTCCTGATCGCTCGTTTTACAATGTACCCCGGCACATTTACACATTCACTTACCAACCCACACGAAGGATTCTTTTTCGCTACAGGGTTTCTCACCATGGCGACAATGATGACGAACGCTACTGCATATGGTATTCCAAATACTGGCCCTTGGCTCATCGGTGCCCTACGATTAGCGTTTTGGTTGTATACAATCGGAGCTACACTCCTCGCCATCGTTTACTACCATATCCTTTTTACTGTCAAGAAACTTGTCATCACCAATGTTCTACCAGGTTGGGTCCTTCCAATCTTCCCTGCCATGTTGGTTGGTACTCTCGCATCCGCCATCGCCAAGACGCAGCCTGTAGAATCTGCAGCACAAATGTTGGTGGCTGGCCTCACATTCCAAGGCCTTGGAATGATGTTGGCTATTATGATGTATGGAATTTATTTCGGTCGACTTCTCACTTCTGGACTTCCTGCCGATGCATCTCGACCTGCTATGTTTATTGCAGTTGGACCTCCATCCTTCACGGCCCTTGCACTCATTGGTATGGCCCAAGATGCGACAACCACAAAGGTCTTCACCGAATACTACAACCTTCCAGGTATTACCAATCCAGCTGCAATTCCTGATATGTTACAACTCGGTGCACTTTTGTCAGCAATCTTCCTCTGGGCTCTCGCATTTTGGTTCTTCGCCATCGCGACCTTCGCAGCAATTGAAGCATTTTCAAGAAACGACTTCCATCTGAACTGGTATGCCTATGTTTTTCCAAACGTGGGATTTACTATTGCAACTATAAAGATCGGAGAAAGATTAAACAGCCCTCCAATACTGGGTGTCGGAACCGCAATGGGAATTGTGCTATTCCTGTTATGGATGCTGATTGTGTTTGCTCACATCAAAGCTTTCTCAAAGAAGATGATAATGTGGCCTGGGAAGGATGAAGATGCCCACTGAATAAACTCGATTCAACTTTTAGACACAATGATGGGTTAGCGATAAGGTGTACATTCATTCTTTTAAAAAAGCCAACCACGGGACATTAATGGACCCAAGGTTTAATGAGCATAGCATAGCGGGCATAGGATCAATAATTAGATATACAGGTCATAGACCAAAAGTAGATTGGACCGGTATAAAACTGGACGGGTGGAGTTTACATGTAAATATTACAGATTTCTTTCATTCAATACACACATACCACAGGGTCCCTCACCACAAAATGCTTCGGGAATATCAATCATGTGACAAATAAGTAATTTATAGATTTTGGCTGGATCACTGGTAAGTGGGTATGATTCTGAAACGATATTGCCTCCTTCCGGTTTGGAGGGGATGTGGGGAGAGGGGAGGGGGCGGTGGAAGCTCTCCAAGTTTCACCACAAGAAAGAACAAACAGCACTAAGCTGAAGCACATTTCTTGAGTGCAGGTTTGAGAACAACCTCCAAGATTCCCAAATATAGATTTAGCTATGATTTGAAGTAACTAAACTCTTCAGTCGTCTCACAAAATTTGCGAAGTTTGTTCGCTGGTCAAGTGATAGAAATTGAGATTGCGATGCTAACATGTACTGTAGATGTGGGCAATACCAACACACAACGTAAACCCGAGCACGGCCCGGCTTTCTGTTAGGACTTTTATATCGTTATTTTCAACCATCTTCTATATATGAGGGGTTCGATTACTCTATTCGAGGATTAATTGCGGGAAGAGCCTAAAATATGCAATCAGTTTATCACTTGTCCGGATAAATACAAGGCATCTGAACTAATCTCCGAACACCCCGCACTTTGATATCTGAAGGAAAGTTGATGATCTACATCATTCGGTACTCACCGTCAACTTTATTTGCACGGTTGGAGTATTCGTCATACGTGAGGATCTTGATACCCTGCTGAAAGACGACCCAAGGAAATCCGGGGTAATTGAAGCCGACATCTTCGAGATGCTCACTGCCCTGCTCCAATACTGGGGTCAAAGGTAAGAATGCAGGTACATCGTGAGATGGTGGTGGCGGATGAGAGGGTAACATAAGTATGTGCTTAAAACCCTGATTTCCGGCGCCGAAATATCAGATGAAATCGAGTTGGGAATACCTTCAATAGATCTCGCTAGTTGCTGAAGATGACATTATTGAAGGAAGTTTCCTGGTTATTGCTACCTGCCTTTGCACAAGCTGCCACAGTAAACTATACTATACCATCGACAGCAGCAGCCAGTGCAGCAAAACTTGCTCCTGCTCCTGTTGGTTTATCGTAAGTTTTTATCTCAAGATTTCTCAAATCCTACTGTTGTCACCATAATCATTTCACTCACTTCTTATCAGATTCGAGTTCTTCGCATACCCATCATACTTTACAAATGTTACAGCTACAAACCAATGTTTAGCCAATTTCAAAGATTTGAGTGGAACATGGCCTCCTATTCGAATTGGTGGCACTACACAGTAGGTTATTTTCATGAGTCCAAGAGTCTTCAGAACTAATGCAAATGAACAGAGATCGCGCAACATATGATGCAAATACAAGCGCATATGTCGTTTACCGTGTTAATTCATCCGTCGATGCACCAGCTTCATTGACATTTGGTCCTAATTTTATGAAACTTGCCTCTACATATCCTGGGACTGTGGTGTTAGGTAAACTTCATTTTTCTTCTTAACTCTAACTTTTCGATGAATCTCCATCTGACTTGAGATAACCAAAGGACTGAATCGTGGTCATAATGATATTACAAATACAATTGCAGCAGCAAAATCTGCAAAGGGTAGTATGGGAAATCTCAAAGCCATTGAACTTGGCAATGAACCAGAATGTATGTCTCTTTCTATCATTCTATCCAATTTCCAATCGACATCGCATTGAACACAAATCTGATTTACCTCATCCAGATTATACTAGTGATGGTCAACCCATTGCATCTCCCTCATGGACCCCCGCTATTGATGCCGCTTCTCAAAATAACTGGGACATCCAAGTAGGAACAGCTCTTCAATCCACGAATATAATTCAAGCTGGAAACTCTAATGCTTCACCACCTACATGGGGAGCTGCTGAACTTATCGCTAGTGGGAATGCCACTGTGAGGACTTATGTGAAAGATTATGCCCATCATAATTATCCAGGTGGTACTCTTCAGAATTTGATGAGCCACAGTGGAATTGTCAGTAATTTGGCACCAATTGGAACAGATGGTAAGGCAGCAAACGCCGTTGGAAAGGAGTATGTTTTGGGAGAGACAAATTCCGGTATGTATTTCTTTTCGTATAACTCAATGAGATTGCGGGTAAACGTTTAAGCAAAGACTAACAATATTTACGCTAAGTCTCCGGCGGAGGTGCTGCAACTGTTTCTCCAACTTTTGGAGCTGCCCTTTGGACCCTCGATTACACACTTCAGGCCACAGTTTTGAATATCACTACTGTATATTATCATCACGGAACCATTGGCGCTTGTTACTACTGTTGGTGGGGCCGATATGACGCTGGCGCCCCTTACTATGGTGCTTGGCTTGCAGCTGCAGCTTTTGCCGGATCTTCTTATATCCAACAGATCGATTCCGGTAGTTCTAATTACGGTATTTACGTACTATACAACAGTGATAAGGCCCCAATCAAAGCAGTATTGATCAACAGTGATTATTACGCCGGAACTGGGACAAGAGGAAGTGAGACATTTGTTCTTGGGGGACTGATGGTAGGAAAAGGAACAAAGGCGAAGAGATTAACTGCAGGAAGTGCATTGAGTAGGGTGGACCAGGGGTCCAATCCATCATTTGGAGGTCAGATTGTCGCTAACGGTACTTGTGTTATTGGTGGAAAGGAGACTTTTGAGACGGGAACAGTGGGAAGTACTGGCACAGCGAGCTTTACGGTTGCAGCGAGTGAGGCTTTGTTGGTTTATCTCTAAGGGGAGATCTGGGGTGATAGTTGAGGTTTGAGGACTGAGCGAAATAAATGATGAAAGTCGAATGTAAATAAATCAAATTGCATTTGAAATAATTTCTTTGGATCTGCAATTTTCATATCGTGTTTGAGCACCTGTAGAGGTATAATATCTACAGCTCCGTAACCTTTATAATCTTTAGAACTTTTGACATCTTTAAACCCTTTAAACCTTTAAAACTTTTAGAACTTTCTCCCTCTTCTCACTCCAGTCCATATTTCTGATACATATGACCACGCAGCCGAAGGCTTCCATCAATAAATGACTAATCATCAAAGAATTCTTGCTTTGGGTTGTCCAATTTCGATTTATCGCTCCCATTAATCTATTTCTCCCCTTGGGAATTCACCCCTCTCCCTCGTCATGGTTAGAGGTCTCCGGTTCGAGACCGGATTAGGCCCATAGTTACTACACTTTTGCCTTTTTCGATACTATAAGATGCGGGAGAACAATGATAAAATATTGTCTTGGAAAGTTGATAAGAACGTGGTTGTGATTGAGAATGATATGAATACGAGACATAAATGTGGCTTGGATATGATGCCAATTTTTCGCATTGGTCTAAATTGGGTCGCATATCGCAAGGGTAGAGATAGTGTTTCATTTCCTATTGATCGCATCAAAAACATAGGTGATTGCGAGTCCGCGACCCGTGTGAGGAACTTGATATTTTGAGTCTTGACCTCCTCTCAAGCTCCTTTCATTAATTTAGTTTTTGAAGCCAGTCAAGCCAGTCAGTCTACTGCACAGAGGTTCTGTCTGTCTGCCGATTTCACAGACAATTACATGAATCATACGACTTCTGTGGTATTCGCAAATGTGAAGAAAGTTACATCATTCAACTCAAGTCCCGAAAATTCACTAATTCACTTCTTAGTAGTGTCTGTGGTCCGTTCGTGCATCAATTCTCCACTTAGTGAAAAAGTTTTCGACGGCATGGTGGAACCCATTCATCAAGGTTGTGTCCATCCTTCAAACCCACCACAAGGTCCACATCCAAATTGAAAAGATACAACAGCAAAGCCAAGGGTTTCACAAAGATCATGATTTCTTAAGGAAATCTGCGAGAATTAAATTTGTACATGTGAAGAAACACAATGTCAATGTTCTGGCCCCACCATCGCAAAATTCACTGCTCTCCCTCGAATTTTGCTTCAACCTTCAACGTCAATCCATCACGATTCACAACACGATTCACAACTTCTTCAATATTCAACTAATTGCAACCAATTCTACACCAAAATGAAGCTCTTCAACAGAGCAAAAAGAATTGATCACTGGCGGTTTCGAACCGCCGACCTTGGCGTGCCAAACCCATCTGATAGAACAGAGTAGATATTAGCACCACGCTCTAACCAACTGAGCTAAGCGACCTGATTGGTTACTGTTTGTTGAAGCATGGTACCAAAATCTATATTATATTTCTATCTCAATAGCAATCAAAAGGGAGAGTGTCTTGAGTGTGTGAAAAGTTTCACTTGGGTGGGGGTCAGTGGAGGTGGTAGCAATTCAAAGTTTCTTCGGGACCTTTACACTTGACTCGCATGACCGAGACAGGGGTAAGGACTTCAATACTTCATCATTTTAAGTTTTTTGTTCGATTGGCTTCATATCGATAAATATGTTTAAGTATAAATTTCAATGTGAAAGAAAATGCCTCATTGTTCTTACTTTCATCTGCTTGTTTCAGATCTCAAGGTTCTAATCAAAATAGATTCGTGATTAAAGTCAGGAAATAATATCCAAGGTAATTAGTATCGCGCAGGGTTTTTCGACCTTTTAAAGTGAGTGTACTGTGTATATCTTCAACCGTAGTGATGGTTTGGATGGGAGGAACACTTCGTACATACGAGCACAAGAAGTGTGTAGATTCTATGATAAGCATCCAGGAAGACTTAATTTTCTTGTCCTTCCGCTTCGTATTGCGTCTTGACAGTGAATTATAGACCATGCGACTTTGTAGTTCATTTCCGCATTCATACATTCCTTGCTTGAATTTGGCTTAGGACGCGATGCTTGATATTCTGTATCGCAGCATGCATAGACTACCTACCGTCTTATCAAGATTCAAAACTGCCGGGTCGATGCTAATACCTATTTAGTTACGGTTTAGAACAGCTGTGGACATGGCTCGCTCTTCAAATCAACATTCACGGCTCCAATTTTACTACCGGTAATTAACATTTCTAAATCTTTTCCAAGAGTCAAGTGGCCTGATATTGATATTGATATTGATGTTATTGAGTCATGGTATGCAGGAAGAATTGTTGAAATATGGAGATCATGAATTGTAAGAATAGTTTACAGTTCAAATTGATAAGCCTAGTCATGACGAGAACAGTACGTCGTTGCAGTGGTGATAAGTGTAGCTCATCTCGAGGCTTTTTAATACAATTATCAGCCAGAGCGTTATAGACTATACTTCTCATATCCCTCAATACGGTAGCTTGTGCAGATGTTGTGGTAGGTTATCAGTCTTTACTAGGGAAGTAGACTTATTCATCGATCATGAAATTCAGAGAGTGTAAATGTCGTATCCTGAGCAATGAGCATGTTTAATGTCAGTCAAAAGCTGAATCTAAAGTGAGATTTCCAACAGAGTATACGTATACCTCTTGGGCAACTATATATATTGGTCTGTTTATAGCAACTGCCATGCCCATCCAGAAACAGTAACTTGGAAAATTGAAAAGCTGTACAACAATTCAGCGCGATTGAGCCTCTGTCCCTTTACAATATGCGAGATGATATGCTAGATAACATGCGGAAGGGTTCTTGAAGCCACATCTAGTGAGCGTATGATGGGAACGAACTATTTTGATTATCGATTCGAAAAGGAGGAAGTTGGCAGAACTTATCATCAAGTCAATCGACCTACTTCTCATCACTCCATACAATGTTGAACAGCTTACAATAATAAAGCCAGTCGAGGATTCTGGAAATGGAACAAAACTTTCTCCTCTTTAGCTACAAATTCTGCTTTAAATACCGCCACTGGCTGTCATGATTTGGATCGGCTGCTCGAGGGGACGATGTGTATTCCCATGAGTGAGGATCTTCAGGAGCCTTGAATGTTTATGGAATTTGCGACAACGGGATAGAGTGATTGAGGGCCAGCCCATCGACAATTAGGAAGCATGTGAAGCAATTAGTCGTAACCCCGTCAAGAATCTTGTGGCCCTCTTCCAGGCTCTTCAATCGTTTCCGTAGAGTTAATACATCTACCCAATCAAGGGATGGTTCAGAGATCCAGCTTGCCAGATGCTTTGAAGATAGTTTGAGTCTTCTTTTCTGAATTTTGGCAAGACGATCTATCTCAGCATGATCATAAAGCTGCATGAATTTCTCCCATCCTGGTTCAGTTCTTGCTCTATGTGAAATCCGGAATATGGTAAACCCGCAAACCAAGAGTTGCCCAAACTGTTTTGCGTGATAAGATTCTTCTACACAGTTTGGCATTCATGGCATATTGCACCGTCCTGCTTGATCATCTTCAGAATGAGATGGCGTTCATTGGTGTCCTTGAGGTCTAAAATCCGAAATATATTGTGATATTCATCGATGCTTGATAGAACAAAGTCTACCTCAATATCGGTGATAATACCTACCGTGTTCACCTCTTCCCCTAAACACTCGCATGATAAAATTCCAATGTACTTTTAGTGCCATCATTTTAGTGTAATGATAATCATTCCTTCAATCTCACTCATATTCATAGTTCTTTTTCCCTCCATTCAAAATATTAGTGCGTGGAATCTACAACAACTTTCTGCGGCGGAAGTATCAAACATATATAAGAAGTGTTCAATCTTCTTTTGATATTCATAACGACCTTTGAAAAAAGCACTGTACAAGTTCAATGTTGGATAGACATAAAAGCTCTAGTATCCTCATCGCAAAAATCGAATTCAACAATCAACATCAGAATTTCATGTTCTCACACCGTCGAATTCAGTCATGGAACTGCTCAGTCTAAATGTTGGTACGAGAAGGATACGGAAAATGTAGCACCCACGGATTGCATAGATTCTATATATCTAATTGTATTCTGTCTAAAGAGTTAGTTATATATTGTAAGTAATAAGTCTTATATAGATTTATCGAAAGAGCTAATCTCTTTTGCATTCGCTTAGGGCTTTACTACAGTAGCTGTATTACAGTGGTAATTGAATTGAAGTCATTCACTTCGTTCACACACTAAATGACTAGATTCAATTCACCTCTTGCCAATGCGTCTTGGAAGTTTCGGATGGAATATCAATCAATAATTCAAGCAATATGATTGATATCAATTAAGAGAGACTCTCCAGTCAAATGTCTAGCCTCAGAAGCAAGCGATTTATGGTATCCTGAACATATTGCATTATAGACCAGGGCGAATCAGTTTGTATTTTCTGAGCGCAACAAGCAAGCGAGCTTAATGGAAGATATGACATTTGTACTCATTATGCTGAAATTTGTTTGAGACACGATACGAAGAATGCGAGGCATCCATTCGAATTCGTGGATGTGATTGTAAGAAATCTGGCAACGTGAGCAATTGTCGCAGTCCGATCTATTGAGTACGTTGTCATTCCTTGACAAAATCTAATCTTGGATAATATAGTGTAGATCTTTGCAACCAGCGACGGTGGTATGTGTCCTTGGCTTTACTCCAATCTGCAGAGCAGAATTATGGATTCCCCAGGTTAAAGCATAGAATTCTGATATGCTTCGAAGTGTTTGACGAAAGTTGTTCTTATTAGAATTCGGCATTAGCAAATGAAGTGCTCATACAGACTGGAAAAGTTACGACTCGGGGACTCGTTTGCAGGATCCCCGTACCTACATCCATGTATAACATTGAGATCGATGAAGAATGATTAAAGCTGATCTTGCCCAGATTTAGGTGGTGATCTAGTCTCACATTTGATCTCGATAGGGTTATAACGGAGGCTTTCTGAGCATATTAATCCGTTCCCGCGCATGAATAAAACAATCTTGAAGTCCGAACGAACCTCAGGAGACGTGGGACACTCAAGCTTTTCTTCTAAACGTTTGGATCTCGAATTGTGCGAAAAGACGCAGAAGATTTTGCTATTGAATGTATTGTTTATGCTCAGTAATGAGTCAGATATCGAAAAAGTAATTCGACAAACGGTGAACAATGCCTCTGAAGTAGCCTATCAAAGACTTGGCGATGTTATTACCTACAACGTAGATGATCGAAAGTATCCTGCCAGTAAAATTCAAGCGTCAAATCGAAAGAGGCCAGGCACTGCAAATATCACTTGCTGATGTCAGTGGGTTGAAGTGAAGGGAAATGAATAATGGTGCTCTCAGAAGTCTTAGCTAGTTTATAAACAGCATTCCTCGAAACAATAAAATTAAAACCAGTTTCTGGGAAACACTGTTCTTTGTCGCTCTCCTTATAACGACGTTCTTGAACAAGACTGATGCGCCCCTTTCGACAAGTATCGCTTAATCAGGATGACTTGGTATTATCCCAACGACGGCGAAACTAGGAGACTCTATGTCCAGACTCTGGGAGACAGCATATAATGATATTCTATTGCGACTTTACATAATTTGTGGATGATAGCAGGTCAAACGGGTAATTATTTTAATCGAATATCATTCGCAAAGTATATTGAGTATAGCACTTCATATGGATTTTTCATCCCAAAATAATTTTATAATTTTTTATGTACTATTCAATTCTTTCAATTCTCTTGATTCTGTTGTTTTGAGAAGGACACGGAAGACGTAGCACCCACGTATTGGTAGGTCCTAAATGTCTATATTGTATTCTGTCTAAAGAGCTAGCTATATATAGAAAATAGTAGGACTTATATAGGCACTACTGAAAGAGCTAGTCTCTTTCACATTCGCCTAAAGCTCAACACAGTGGCCATTGAATTGAAGTTATTCACCTACGTTCATACACAAATAAACCACAAAAGATTGTTTTGAGAAACCATAATACTCTTCGCCCCACCCATTCCATTTTCAGTGGCAACTCCTCCATCTCCACCCCACTCCACCACTCTAACGAGCCCTGAATCCCCACTCCACCGCTTCCCAAACCAGCAAAATTCCTCTGCTCTCCAAAAAAAAATGCAAAAAACATAGACGGAACCCTTGAATCCCAGCTTCAAACTGGGTATGGAAGAAAGAATGTCCTTGAGAGAACCTTCTAATAGGAATCGAACCAATATCTCCGGAATCAAAATCCGACGTGCTAACCATTACACCATAGAAGGGTTTTGGCGTCTATTGTTGTAATGGCGATGATGTCGGATTTTAAAACTATATTTGTAATTTGAAGGCGTGAATATTGAAGCTTTTTGATTCTGAAATTGTGTCACTGTAGGACACTATTAGTCACCCGGGATCAGTTCGGGGCTGCCAAGGATATGGGCCGTGCATACATCAAGAAATAGGAAATAGTAAACCTTAAGTCCAAGGACTACAGGCTTGGTTTATAAATCATAATAAATCTATAATATATAATTTATAATAAAGAGAAAGATTATAGATCTATAATATCAAGATTATAGAAAAGAAAAATATAAGAAATTGGGTATACTCTAAATTAATCAAGATATAAGATTAGTTTTCATTAGAATTCTAATATAATATTATATAACTTTTTACTTATTCCCTAGTATCTTCTCGGTATATTCCCGATTATTAAACCCTAACAAATAGAAACGATGTTGACTTTGAGAATATTCTAAATATAGTTGTTGGTATCACCATGGGGATGGTGAAGACAATATAGTACTATGGTTCACACTGTTGTAATATTGCTTGAGGTTCTAAAAGCTAGGACTACGATACGTCTATACTATAGTGCCAAGGCACTAGCGCAAGTGCTAATGCGGTCACATGATCCCTGTCCCGACAATAGTAATAAGATTATTATTATATTAATGTTCTTATGGAATGTTTATATATAGCTAGGTATCTAGGTAGCGTTTCTTGTACTATGCTGAATTATATATATGATATGAATGAGAACATTCATATGAGGTAGAATATTGATATCAGTTGGAATAATGATATTAATTGGGATAACCATATGAAGTAAAATATTGATATGAATTGAGATAATGATAACATGATATCAATTAGGTCAATCATAGGGATCAGAAAGAGGGGGGCTTAAGGGGTTTCTCCTTTGTGCCTGTACTCTCATTCCTACTCCCAGGCACAAGAGCTCTAAAATGACGCCGGCGCCAGCTCGCACACAATGTATATTAATATAACCATTGATATAACTATTGATATAGATGTTCAATTCTTAGCCTCATTGAATGTGACCTCGGGACTGAGAACAACCTCGTTACTCGACAGTCCTTGTCAACATTACTGTGGCTAGAGACTTGAGTTGCCACGTTGAACACTCTAATGTTTGACAGCGACACGATATTCAAAGTGGAATCAAACTTTCAAATTGCTTAGACCACCTATCTTGACTCAGAACTTAAAAGCTTCTAATTGTCGGATTACGGTCCGGACTATTGGAACGTTGTCTTCAAGAGACTCGAGAAAGTGCTGTCAAACTCCAAATAATAGAAACTTGGCATTGTCGTGGGCTCTCAAAATGCCCAATCGCAAACGATATTCTCCTTAAACAACCTTAAGTTCCATATAAAAATCATACGGGTGCCATTATGCCTGTGGCATCGGTTGTGATATGGCAAACAGCAATCCTTTCATAAAACAAACGAGTAAAGTAAAAGACAGAACGAGAAGAGAGAATTCAATATCTACATCGTAGAGACCAGCCACGATATGATATCACCACACTGGAAGAAATATCTATCGAAGCTTAGAACCAAACATATGCTCCTATGATAATGATGCTTCATCGAATGTTGCTCGTCTCATCGGCCACAAACCTGTTTTCCCCTAGCTTTAGCATCATCAATGTCAATTCCGCAGTCATCATCATTATTTCAGCCTCATTAACATCATCGTTCCCACCAAAAAACATGGAAATCGCATTAGATATGCAACAAAAGTATCAAATAACTCCACGATCGTTATGGCGCTTCACTCTGTGCCACAAGCAGTTTTTTGGGTCATAATTAAAATTGAATGGACTGACATTCTCCTGAACAATCACGTGGGATTGCATATTCACCGCCATTTTCATTCTGCCCATACCCTCACAAACACGACGCGCCATGGTTTTGGAGTTGTCCCTACCAAAATATCATTGCAATATTAAGTCGATGAGCTTGCCATGCGACGAGACACATGTAAGTTTTCCTACTATAGCTTATACGGAAAACAAAACGAACGTGTTGAGATACACTACATTTACTGCCTTTGATTCCGTTGAAGTTAAGCAACGATGATTTCTGGGTCTAAAAATATCCGTTCAGTAAGGGCATTGTGAGGCCTTCTAAATGATGTTCTGCTTTGTTCCAATTTGTGTTTCATATGATACGGAATCACTCGAGAGCCAGTGCAATAAGGAGGTATAGGGAACTTCTTTCGATAATTTGAGGTTGCACTCGCATCTTTGTCTTTTAAGCAAACTCAACCACAACAACAGTTGAGGAAACAATGAATGGTTGTTCTCATGGCAGATTTGGGCTTTTGTTAAACAGTTCTCGCGATGGATTAACTTGTAATCGTTCTTTCGCGACAAGTATTTGCAAAATCCTGCCATACACGCTTGCCTTGTTGCTTGGATATATATTACACCTTTCCTTTTGCTTACCTACTTTAATACTACCGGCACAAATATTACAGCATCGATGCCCCACCAGCAATACTGAGTCGACTAATTTTGGTGACCTTTATCAGCGTTCATTACTGTCACGAGTTGCGAGTCAAGTGACTAGACGAACAACTTAGAGTTGATGGGATCAACCAAACTTTGTCAGAGTACGATACCATGCATTTTCGGCGACAGGAGACCTGGCTCTCGGCGTCATCCTTGGAACGCAGCTCTTCAATTGACCTAGGCGAGCTCACGCCATATATTACACCATCCCTCCCACGCGGCTCTACCAATCCCGCTTTAATAGAAACGCAGACGCGCAAAGTTCTCTTTGATATCCATGTACCAGAATGCGGCTCGTTCGTCTGACGGTTTGGCTCGACAGGCTATGTTTACCACAGCAAGTATCATCAGGTATTATGCGCGGTGATTTGCTTTCGATATTTTCATTCGTACGTGTGTATGAGTGCCGGAACCAATTTCCATCAATCTGCCACTACTCGAAATTTTCAGGGATACCTACGTTCCAACGTTAGATGGATATCTGCGTCCAGGCTCACTAATTGGTTTCCTGTTCTTTAGCCAATGCTGATTGTTCACAGTGACCCTCAAAACTATCATCATGCCCTTTCTCTCTCGGACCACATTAACTTTGCTTGGGGAAAGATGGCACACGGCTGCCCAGCTGAATTCGGAACATACGCGAGAGACATTAGCCGAGTCGCAGTTGATGACTGATAGGAGGTTGAGAAATATTTGAAGGAGCGAGGTCTCGGACAAGGGAGGTTGAATTGTGGTCGGAAAGAGGGACATGAACCGAAGGTTGTTAAAGCATCATGATGTGATACATGGATCATCAGGTTCCCCCTTCATACTGATATAGGGGATTTATGCTGTATTGGTGCAGATATATACAAAGTGAAAATCCATCGCCGTAACCCATGTCTCGAATGCCGATACAGTAATTTCGCGTGTTTGACGGGAGATAAATTCTGTTGACAACTAAAGAAGCGTTGCAAGATATTTGCATTGGATTATACTGAGACAAAGAACAACATCTTGATGAGATTGAAGACGTCGAATCCAGCTTCATATCGACCCAATATTGAGGAACTTCCTAATCCTTCACTGAGTATCAAGTATATCCTATCAAACTCCAGTTCTCAATGTTTTGTTGCTCATCTGATTTTCAAACCTGATTTTCAAAATCTATCCGATATCATCATAATCATCATCATCGTCGTCGTCATTATGATCTTCGCCATCAGCACCATCATCATCGCCAGCTTGAAAATCAAGGAACCGGAACCAGATATGCAACAAAACAAACGTCGAGTCAAGGCCACGATTTTCAGAAACCAAAAGAGTAGTCTTGGAAGAATATCAATATATCAACGCAGCACGTCCACTGCCGATCATTGAATTCATCCATTTTGTTGCTTATCTTATTTTAAACCTGCTTTTTGTTGTTCAGATATGCTGTTCAATATAACATCATCACCATCATACCATCATCATCAATGGAGGAATTAAAACCAAGGAACTATCATCAGATAGCAACAGAAAGTGAAATCAAATAAAAAATCAAGAATGCACCATTAGATATGCAACAAAATGTAGACATAGACGTTGTGTTGAAGACAACTTCAAGCTATGAAGCTTCAATGGATGGAGCAGACCTTCCTGTCCGCAGGTATAGACTCTAAAAATATCTGCCAAAGCCAATTATATTCAAATCTTGAGGAGTTCTAGAACTATGTCAAAGTTCAACAGTGTAAATTTTCGAATTCAAACGGTTTTGTTGCTTGTCTCATTGACCGCAAACCTGTTTTTGTTGCATGCAGAATTGGTATCCAGGTACTCGGCCCTCCACATCCGCCGTCATCACCATCATAGATAACCGTCGATGATGATAATAGATCGTCGCCAGCCACAAAAGCAAGCCATGGCTTTTTTGAAGCAAGGAATTTTCACAACAGACATGCAACTAAAGTGCCTCCTGGACGATATGTACCTACTTTCTTTTCTCTCCTGTCTAGAGCAAGGAAATAGATACGATTATAGACGAGCAACAAAACACAGAAACATAACTAAGACATACAAAATCAAGAAAATTTCGCTTCAGATGAGCAACAGAACTATCTACCTTTCAAATATGACTTCTTCACATCAAAAACCAAGGAAATAAATCTACAGACGAGCAACAAAATCTGCCCTCCTTCGAATTCATGGGACATTCACCTCGAAAAGCAGGGAATGAAATACGAACTATAGATGAGCAACAAACCGTTCCTTCGTTCGAAATACAACATCTTCACGTCAAAAAAGCAAGGAAATTTTACCTTAGAGCAGCAACAAAACCATTCTTTTTCCAAATTTACATGAGATGAACCTCAAAAATCAAGGAAACAACTTTACAGACAAGCAACAAAAAGCGCTTGATGCAGTGTTACCAAGGAAAGGAGGCTCAAACGATTCTACGTTGTGAAGACCTATAAAGCCTGGAACATTGCGGTAGTGGTGGCGGAGCGGGAATGGCTACCGGTGTGGTATGTTGTGCATTACATCAACCTTAATACCTTGATTTGCGAATTTACATCATCATTCTTCAAGAACTTGGTAGCTAGTTAATTGGTCGTTGTAGAATCTGTACGATGGTGACTTGGGTATAAGAAGGAGTATAATATCCCAATGATTTAAGGAATATCAATGATACATTGATTCATGTTCAATCACCAGGTTAGGTTACCTAACCTACCGATTCTTTTACTTTTCGAAACCCAATCACGTCATTCATTCAACGCGATGTTACCCCTGGGGAATCTGGAACATAAACGACCGTATCATGAATCCAGGAACCAGATCTACCCAAGTACGAATTCTTGGTGGGAGGCTAGCCCATGGGTGAGCTCTGATGTTGAGCAAAATCAAGGCACGAGATGACTCGGTAGTCAGCAATCGAGGACGCTTTATCCGACCGACATTTATCCGTTCGGAGGTATAAGTCCTATCGACGAGAGAGAGCATTTGTTTTTGCCTTGAAATAAATTGATCACGATTTACTAAACGCTGAGCTCGATTAGTGATCAAATCTGCGCATGCGACATACCTACCTACATACATGGATGACTAGAAACTTTAGGTAGGAAGGTGGGTAGACTTTTAATTCGAATCGAATCAATATGGAGCCGAATCGGTGGTAACTTATAAGCCCTGAAAGCATTCTGTCTACTCGGATACCGAATGCACCAACCGACCTTTGATATGATAGTACGAAATGGGTTGTATGTCTAAATGGATACAGCGCAGAACAAAAGTTAAGGTTGCAAAATTATTTGATGTATTGGCAGCGGATTTTTTGTCTACCTAGGGTTAGTGAAGGTGGAAGTTCATTATTGACCATCGATGACATGAGTAAAGTTGTATGAATTCCACTACTTAGGTAGGTTCATACTCACTATACTAGTTTACTGAGTGCTGTGTGCAGAATTGCTTTTAACCTTCAATTAATATTCGAGCACATGATCAACTAAACAACCATCTAATTATTAGTCGGCTCGGGTTACTGAAGCATCTTTGATTATCTCTCTCATCAACCGATGCTATTCTGTTACCACTACGGCTAGTACTCGGCCAATTTGTGGAAGTAGTTCATGATGATCTGAATAACCTGGATCAATATACCACCTGGCACCTCCGGATTTCCCCCGCCTCCACCTCTCCACTATATTGCTTTTGCTGATACCGGAACACAACGGGCATTTTCAACGTCTTGAACCTGTTTCTGCACGATGATGAAAACTATAATAGACGGGCTTGGCCCCGGTCTCCAGATAAGCGCCTGAATCCTCTTTGTTTTGTGATGCATAATCGAGAGCATGGTACATTGTAGCGACGGTGAGTAGTTAATTAATTGGCATGTATCTTTTTCTGAGACATAAAATAACATTCCGTATCGATTGAAAAAGACTGGTTGCGTTGTGCCGAAATCTCAAAGTCAATCCGAGCATTAGACTGCTCTTTGGCAAATCGGCCTCAGTTGCCAAGTGTTGCGCTTATCTGAGCCACAGTGATAGTGGCAACCCAGTCCCATAAGCATTGGTATATACACTCTCAGGAAAGCTTCTTCATTTATTGGCAAAGATGCTTGATTGAATGAATGTCGAACATGAGGCTCATCTAATGTCAGAGAAGTTTTGAAAGATTTACTGGAAGTCACATCCAATCTACATTTTAATATCAATATCTTATAATATCTAGAGATTCAAAAGACGACAACATCACAAATCCATATCGCCTCACAGATGTACCCGGAAATATACTTTTCCCGCACGGTGAAAACTGGGGCGACGTCATTCAAAGATGCAGGTGCAGATCAACGTCGGTGTTGAGGGGGAAACTTAAACACAAAGCGCAATACTTGAAGGATTGCATGAGGTGCTTAGCGGTCCGGAGCGATTCTTGCGATTACTCAACGTCTCACTCAAAACACAAATCCCATGCTTGAGTAATCATGCCGTTATTTCCATATTCTCAAGTCAGACAGTCCATCAGAAATTCGTCTGACTCGTAAGATCATTCTGGGGCGATAATCCTAAATCTAAGTATGTTTCAGTGGTGTAGGTCCTCAAAGTAGATCAAATTGTTTTCCCACTTTGAATGTAACGTCTATTTTGTTTCTACGGATGTCTGTAACATATTCTAGCACAACCTCGCTTTACTCGCTCTGCTCGCTCTGTTATTCGTGCGAGTAAGTAGAGCAGTCACTCCATTCACACTCTCTATCAATCTTGGTTGCTTCTAGTTCTAACTCTAGGTAGGTCTGACACGAACTATTGTCCAAAACCCAAACTACGATGCACTCGTATGATAAAGTATACTCGTATTAAACTTTAAGCCCCATTAAATTTTGGCAGGAGAAGTTCCATAACTTGATTGGTTGTCAGTTGCAAAACAAGATGATGGGGCCGATCCTACCCCCGGGGGGACTCCAACAAAAAAATGGGAAGTCACATTGAAGGGGTCCTGCATATAAGATCCAAAAATGACGTACCAAGCGGGAAACCATGAATTGATATTCAAACAAATTCACCACTTACTTCATCTTCTGCATCTCCTTTAGTGAGCTTCAAGTTCTTCCAATTTTCTTAATATGATAATTTGATATCCTTTTGAACTATTATTGAGAAAGGTCAACTAAGTTTTGCTTTTCTTCTCGGACATTTCTATACGAGCAATTCTCATTAGGGTTTTTGATACAAGGTCTAGAGTGCGGGGAAAACGAAAAGTCCTAGAAGCTCTTAGATTCACTGCTTTGACTACTAGTTCTAGCCCTGTTTTTTAGTCTTCATCTTATCGATCGATCATTTTTTGAATCAAGAAAGTATGTATTTCGCCTGACCATATATATTTCTCATACAAGAACCAGAATTCCTTTAAGAAGTTTCTTTCCAATATCCTTCGCACTTCTTACGCAATCTTACATTCCCAGCCTTCAATATCACAAGAGAAAACCACACTAGGAGACTAATGATCAATCGAATAGTATCAGATAATACAAATTAAATGGCGGGTGGTATTCATACGCCCACCTCCAGTGACGGAAAGGCCATATTCCAGGAGTCCGATTTATCTTCACAATCATCCAAACATGGCGCATCGACCGGTGCAGGATCTCACCTCGAAAATCCTGGTACTCAACCACCCCGCGCAAATCGAGTAGCACGATTTCCATCTGGCGACAATGAAAATGCAGTAACGAATATTAGAGAGTCCGACAAGATCGAGATTAGCGAAGAAGATTGTTGGGGTCAATTGGGATACTCTTTCCCTACCTGGAAAAAATGGATGATTTTGTCGGTTATTTTCATGGTTCAGGTTTCCATGAACTTCAATACCAGTTTATACTCAAACGCCATTGGTGGTATCGTTGATGAATTTGGTGTCAGCGCACAAGGTGCAAGAGCTGGTGCTATGATTTTCTTGGTGCTATATGCATTCGGTTGTGAATTATGGGCTCCATGGTCTGAAGAATTGGGTCGCAAACCTATTTTGCAAGCTTCTCTGTTCTTGGTCAACATCTGGCAAATTCCAGTTGGAATTGCTCCCAACTTTGCCACTATTATGGTTGGCCGTGCGCTTGGTGGTCTTTCATCAGCAGGTGGTTCCGTTACTCTAGGTATGATTGCCGACATGTGGGAATCAGATGATCAACAATACGCCGTCGCATTTGTAGTATTCTCATCTGTTGGTGGAAGTGTTTTGGGTCCGGTTGTTGGTGGTTTCGTCGAGGCTAATCTGGCTTGGAGATGGAACATCTGGATTCAACTTATCTTTGGCGGTGCCGTACAACTCCTTCATTTGGCTCTTGTACCTGAGACTAGATCGACAATCATGATGGATAAAATCGCCAAGAAGATGCGAAAGAGTGGCGAAAACCCAAACATTTACGGTCCAAACGAGATCACGCCATTCAAGGAACGATTCTCCATTAAAGAGACCTTGGTTACTTTCGTCAGACCTTTCAAGATGTTCTTGACAGAGCCAATTGTCTTAACCTTGAGTTTGTTGTCTGGATTCTCTGATGCACTCATCTTCATGTTCATTCAATCCTTCTCACTCGTGTACAAACAATGGGGCTTTGGAACTGTCGAACTTGGTCTCTCTTTCCTTCCCATTCTTGTGGGGTACTTCATCGCTTGGTTCGCATTCATTCCCGCCATCAAACGCAACGTCAAACAACGCGCCAATAAGCCAGATGACGAGCACGCTCAATTCGAATCTAGACTTTGGTTCTTGCTCTACACGGCACCATGCTTGCCAATTGGTCTTATTGGTTTTGCCTGGACTTCTACAGGCCCACCAATTCATTGGATCGGTTCCTCAATTTTCGCAGCGATTGTCGGTATTGCCAACTATAGTATTTACATGGCGACAATTGATTATATGATTTGTGCCTATGGACCATATTCGGCTTCTGCTACAGGTGGAAACGGATGGTCGAGAGATTTCTTAGCCGGTGTTTTGACAATCCCTGCTACTCCTTTCTTCCAGAGTATGTATTCCTCTTCTAATAACTTTTGTCTGAGAATACTGACACGAAACCATAGACATGTCATCTGACCCATCTCGCTCACTTGCTTACGCCTCTACCATTCTTGCATGTATCTCCTTCGTCCTCGTGATCGCTGTCTACGTCATCTACTGGAAAGGACCTGTTCTCCGCAAACGCTCACCTTTCGCTCAACAACTATCTGATGCCAAAGCTGCCCATAACGAAATCGTTCATGAAAAAGGAACCCATATCGGTGAAGGATCAACTGCGGTAGATGGGACTCATCTATCAAGAATGCCAACCGGAGCAAGAGCAAGAAGTTTCGCTCGTAGTCAACAAGATCTTAGAGTAAGACAAAATACGGGAAGCAGACCGCACAGTACACATGAGAAGAGCAATCCAAATAGCAGGGCAAACTCCAGAGCAAATTCTAGGGCGAACAGTCCAGTTAGGAGGGACATGGCGGAAGCAAATCATGCAGCGGCGATTCAGGAAGCGATGCATCATGAACGTAATGACTTGAATGAGAAGAGTATGGTCTAAGAGTGGATGGTAATAAGGAGGAAGCAATGAGCTGTTAATGATGGGTAATGTCAAAATGGCATTGGATCAGGTGTTCGGTATTGATATCCTAACTTAATTGTATTTATAAGCAGAGGAGTTTCAAAGGAGCCAAAGATGGGAGAGGAGGAAAACGGGATTGCATAGAAATGATAGGTACCAGTGATGGTAGATAAATACACGAATGAATGAACTTATACTGCTTGTCCTAGTAATATGTGAGCCATGTGGAACTTCTGTACTATTTCCAACCTCTAACGTATGCAAAGATGGTACGAACAACTTCAAGGAAACATAGCAGAACCATGGCAATTTCCTTGGCCTCAACAAAGTTCCCCAAGATCTTCAAGTTGTGGGTTTCACAGAGATCTATGGTGAATATAACCATCCGCTCACTATACACTCTACATCAAATGCCTTTAAATGTTCACTTGAATATTCAGACAATAATCAAAATCCATCGTTGAGCATCGTGTTGAACACAAACCGAAGGAAAAACAAAGAATAGTATAAAGATTGAACAAAAAAGCAAAGAAAATAAACTCAAAATCAAAATCACAAAAAGCGCGTTTGCGTTTATCGACGTGAATCTTCACAACCCCGCCCCGCCCGTATCAATCAATTATGGCGGCTAATAACACTGACACTATCACCCAAAACAGAGCGAGGCCTAAGAAAATCATTCTTGATATATCAGCATCATTTTCGCTATCTGAAATTTCGACTTCGAAAACCGAGAACTCTGAAGGCTTGAAATTTGGAATTAATAGTATCTGGGCGATACGAAGAGTGAATGAGAGGAAAGCATCTCCATCGACGAAATCGAAAATCGGAATACCTGCTATTGTAGCCGCGATTGCGTCTGCGCCTACTACGACTGAGGAACCAAAAAATACTGCCATACCTGCGACATCTACTGCGATTGTCGCTATATCAGCTAGCACCGATAGAGAAAGCGACGTGAGATTGGACGAAGTGATAGATTCATTGAATTCGAATATGCCGGGAACACCAACCGCGAGAAATCGATCTTCTCTGATCGCAAACGCAAACGCAAACACGATGATAGCTTCTCCAATTCTCGCACAGGTACAGCGTGTTCAAAGTATACGTTCTGCATCTACTCACGAATCTTCTTCCCCTCCGCCTTCTCAATCGCCCAAATCAAAGCCCTCCCAATCGCAACCCAAACCCGCTCGAACAGCGACGAAAACTGCGAAATCTGAGCTCCCTCTCAAAGCTCTGAATCAATCTATAACCTCGCGGCTGACCACGCCCTCTGGCGCGCGCTCTATGGGTAGAGGAAAACCCCTGCCGGGAAATTATCAGAGTGTTGCGAGGAGAGTTACGATGACGATTGTGGCATTGCCTATACTGTTTGTTACGAGTTGGGTGCTTTGGGATAGACGTGAGTTATTTCTGTTTGGTTTCGTTTGGTACTTGCGGGATTTGGAAGAGAGAAGGAAGAGGGGTAATGAATGAATGAATGAATGAATGAATATATGCTAATGAATATGCGACAATAGTAGTTCTAGGTCAAGAAAAGAAATCACTTCTCCACGATCCGCCTATGGTACCTGGACCACCAATGGCTGCGGAGATGGAAGCTCGGAATAATAGAGAATAATAGAGTGTGGATTTAATTGTGAGTAGAGGATTTTATGGCATGGTTGGACGATTTATGAGGGGTGAATGTGTTGAATACATATATTGTGGTGAGGGAAGCTCCATCTTCCAATGAAAAGTCTGGTTATTTATGGATGAATGGATGATGGGATAGGAGTTATTCTGGATGTAATGGCATGAAAATGGCATGAAACGATATTTGGTACCCCCTTCATCAGAGAATAAAATCGTCGCTCGAAGCTGTTGTTTTGTATCCTAGTGGATGCGCATTGAGATTACTGAAAACTTGGAGGTTGGATGTATCGGCCTGATCAATTGATGAGGTCTGATCTTTAGTTTGAATGTTTGCAGTATGCTCATTATGCATATAGCACAGTACTCTCAGTTGGAGCATCTGCTTTCTATTATAATCCACAGCCGCCCCGCTCTCAAAGACCCCTAGAGAGTTGTGATAGAAATCCAAAATATGCCCCTTTCTAGAGTGTGGAAATTTCACTCTTCTTCTTTTCCCTTCTTCATCTCATTTACCAAATCCTCAAACATAGGGAATCTTGCGCTCTGGTTCCAAACTCCAAGAAATGTAACCAATCATCTATCCAAAACCCAAACTCCTGACGTAAGTGCTAGTGCAAATATCCTCATAAAATATACATATTATAACATTAAAGACTTCGTAAAGTTCTCAAATTAAATCCTTTTCCTTCTTTTCTTGCGCAATAACTTCGTCGTAATCGACAAATCCGGCGCCTTCACCATCGCGATCAACCATGTATCCAAATTTGGATCGGTGATCTTTGATATAGCTGGGGATGTCGTTGTTGTTGTCTATTCTTTTGTACCACTGTTGATGATTGAAGGTCAGTGTAGTTCTACTTTGGTGGTAGGAGATGAATAACGTGAAATTTTAAAGGGTGCGTGAATTTGATGAGGCTCACTTGAGACCTCTTGGATTCGTGAAGATGAATCGAATCTTCGACCATGGTTCCAAAATTTCACCTAGCAATCCATTTCTCCATCTCAAATGCCGGAGAGAAAAATATTGTTCACATACCTGACCAAATCTATCCCACAAATCCTTCCCTCTTCCCACTCTATCCACGATCCGATCCGTCATTCTGAACTCCTGCTTGTTCAAATTTGTGTGACTGAAGCTCTCCATTTTCCTTCTCATTTCCTTGAGTGTACTAAAACAACTACTACAATGCCAAGCCGCGTTCCACAAGTTTCCGATACTTTTACTATCTCTTTCATCTACCTGGACGTGTCCTCCATGGCGACTGCGTAAACTATGCGGTTTGATAGTATTTTCCAGACCCCGATAGAACGTCGCTTGAGGATGCGCCCACTGTTCTCCTCGGTGTCGAAATTGAAAGGAATAGTAGTAGAATTGCGAGCGCAGTGTAAGAATCACGGGGAAAACGCAGTTGCGCAGGACTTGAAGAGAAGCAGGTCGAATTACCTCGTCGATATCGGAGACGAGTATTACATCTCCTTCGTTGGGTTTCTGTTCGCCCACCAGCTTGGGGAATACCTGGGTAAACATAGCGTCCCGTTGGAATTTCTCTTGAATCCATGCGTTCGCTTCGTATTCTTTGGAGCCGGGTAACGTGGTGTTGGAGACTGGGGGAGGAGCATCGGTCAAAACGTGATAGATAATTTTATCCTCGAAAGCAGAGAATTTGGCTCGGTGTTCTTGAAAAGTCATGTTTTTCGCGAGACCGGTAAAGGTAGTTGGCGCTTCGAGGATGACGAAATAATCTACCTCGGTGTTCATTTCATTGAGACGAATTTCGAGCCAATCCAGCTCGGAATTGACCATGAAGAGATCGTATATCTTACGTTTTTGTGAACGATCGGGATAGGATGTAAGGGAGTGAGAAGCGCATAGTTGGTCGGAGCTGGAGGCGGGAAGGAAGTTGTTGTAGATGTGAGCGGTGCGTTGTTCGAAGGCTATATCTTCCTCGGTGATGGTGAGAGGAGTGGATTGGATTCGTGGTAGAAGGAAATACGTGCAGATGTAGAAGAAGACAATTACAGAGAATATTTTAATGATACGAGTAGTTTGGCTTTGAAGGGAATATCTTGCTTTGGATAGTTGTAACGCCATCTTGGATAGCAAAATGTTATGATATCCTCAGAAGGTGAATCAAAAGAAGGAAAGAAAGTAAAAGAGAACGACAAAAGAGAAGGATCAAAGCTAAATTTGACAGCCCTTGTCATATCTGAGTGAGATTCCTTGTACAGCAAATGTAATGCCATACCTGAACCTATTTCAGTAAACCCCTAAGAAACTTACTTCACCGAGGAGCTTGCACACTGCACAGTCCTTCGTGGCACGGTGTTTGCATTTGCTTCATTTCATCCCACTATTATTTGCTGAGGTTTTTTTTACCCCTAAACTCGCTGGGCTGCTACATTAAAAAACCATCGAAGCGCTCTGTTTTTGGCTGAAGGAGTGGCCTGCGCTTCGAGGAAATTAGCTCGGTGACCACCAACCCGATAAAACATCGCTATTATTCTATTAAGCCTCTGTCCAATAAAAAGAATACCGCTACAGATTGTGGCACCAGTGAGCAAAGCCTTAAATCGTAGAAGATTTACTAATTACTCGAAGAGTACAAGTGTGAACTTCCTTGAGATGAAATTGCATCTACCTCGTATAACCAGCATCATGTAAGCATCAGCCTCCCACAACTCGCTTAGTGCGATTCTGTACAAACTTTATTTTGAGGTATCCTACTCGTGCCTTTCACCTATCATGGAGATCGTGGGTCGATTTTTGGGTAATATCCGTAAAAGTGCATGAACGAGGATGAGATTGACATTGACGGGCCACATGTAATTTTGAAATAGTAATAAAAGGAGGTTGCTGCCGAGGCTGCCCCTTGGCTCGCATTGTGTAAGCCTAGTGGCTTTTCCGCTCAGCTAGGGTTGGGCGATTTGATGATATGTAATATCGCATATTCATCAATCAAATATATATATGAGCTCACAGAGATCACGGATATTTGGAACAAAGAGACGTTCACTGAATACGTCAAAGTCCTATAAAACTCTATAAAATCTCTACCAAAAGCTATTTTGAAGCTATTTGGAAAGAAAACAATTAATACAAATATCACATAATAAGCACCTGACTTTTAGATCTAATTATACACTAAATTGAAAATTAGAACCCGTCAAAAACTTTTTCCAAATACGACCCACTTTCATTCATCCTGATGGATTCATTGGTTGAAAAAAACACATGTATAATCTTGGCATCATATTCCATCACGCCTCAAAAAGCGTTATAATATAGATTTATATAATCAACCCCAAGATGATATAATTCGCCCATCCCTACGCTCAGTCCCATATCTTAGACGATATAAATCTACTCAGGGAGCTACTTTGACAACGTTTGGGCATTCGAAACGCGCTTGAATCCTTGGTAGTATAGATAACCCTGCTAAAAATATCAAAGCTTTGTTGGAGAAATTGTCTTCCTTATCCGAAAAGCAACAAGAAAATTTGCCTCTAAATGACATGAAGTGAAATTGCCATCAGATTCATTATATATTACGATGTAGGGCAGGTCTAGCAAGTTCAAACCCAAGATTTTGACTCTATCCGTATTCCGAACGTGGTGTACGAGTCCGATGTACAACACCAAACTCGCAAGATTAAACGAAAGTCTTGAAATGAGTCTTTTCCAAAATTGAGTGTTAATTTGGTTCTATATCTCGAATTCTCTTGATTTATATAACTATTAAGAATTGTTCTTCAGTAGATCATGATCTTTAGGAATTTTAGGAAGTCATTGATTTATCTTTTTTGATATCATTTCGATCGAAGTGTAGATTCTTGTTAAAGTTCAAATGAACCTTAATTAGTGACATCCACCGTCCGCATGGGCAGTAGGCAACGGTGAAGACTACCACTTTACCATGGGTTAAGTCGGTAGAATTACTCATGTCGACTCCACGGCATCATTCAAAGGGGACTTGATCATGTAAACCAACAACGGGTAAAGACATTCCAGAAGCAAGTAATATTGGGGCTCAGAGCTCCCGAATAGATTAATGGCCCAATGAGATAATCGCCAGTGCCCACGGCCAATTTATTCGGTATCCGTATAGAATGAATGGCAACCCCTCATCTACACTAGTGAACTATATTTTTATGCTTATTGAATTAAGTTTGATTATTTGAAAAAGTCGGTGGAGGCGTCAAGGCAGTAGCGTGAATCCAAAATGATCAAGATTAAACAATAAATATACGGTGTATCTCTGTGGAGGCAAAGGGATTTGCATGTTCGGGAAAACGTGAAGGGAAAACATCGGTTGCGATGGAAAAGAGTTTGGGAATCATCTCTCGCATATCTTTCACAGATGTCTGCTGATTCTGCTCTGATCAATAGAAAAGATATGAGAAACGGGAGAGCCAAGTAAATATGATAGCTCCAACGAACGATTTCAAAGGGGTTTCGTGGGCTGTTCGTCCACTTTCTCTTCATTCTTCCAACCCTTCCTCTCCAACCACCCACCAGCCATTACGTTGGACTGCTTGGAAAGCATGGAACTTGTTAATAATCACTTCTTGAGCTAAGGAAGGACTATGCAATAGTACATCGAAATGAGAGCAATCTCAATCACCCGTAAAAGCACAAAAACTCTGCAAAGTTACCTCTTAATAACTAGCTTAAATGGCAAAATTAGTCTTTTCAGCCGTACACAAACCAATCAAGGAATTGAGTGATCATAAATATGGATTCCAGTATCTGCCTATATCGTTTCGCTCCTTCCAAATTCGCTCTCATTTGCATAGCGATGTAGAGAATTGAGCAGGTGAATAATTGAGAAGCGTCTGCTTTTGGTAGTTCGAGAATGATAGGAGAGGACTAGACTCATCCTTTGTGCACGCCGAAAACTTCGTGAGAATCTTGGCTTAGTGTTGAAGAGAGTATCATCGTCGCTCATCATTGATGTGATGATATAGTGAGGTTACTGAGGTGTCGATTCTTTACCCTGGTGAAATTTGAAGAAAGGCAGTGAACGAGATGGCACGGAAAAGACTCAAGCTTGATTGAACATCCTCAACTCGTGGGGAGAATGGATAAAACATGAACAGCAACCAGTGTAGGCAATAGTATTTCCCGTATTTCGTATACGGGCTAGTTTAGTGGTACGTATCGATTTTTTTTCGAAATATGTATATACAGTGGTTATATAGATAAGTCGTGTAAAACGCTAATTGACTCATATTTAGCTGGGATATCGAAATACATAGATTCAATTGGTTTATTCTGTTTGTTTTAATATTGCTTTTAAAAATCTATTTTGAATTAGTTTTAAAAAGTATTTTTAGGAATTATTATAAGAAATATTATTTTTAATATTTTTTTATAATAAATATATTAAAAAAGAATAATATTTGAATTAATCAAAATAAAAAAAGCTAATCTATTATTATTTAATTTATTATTAATATTCTTAAATATTAGATTTATATTATTATTTATTATATCACTATTATCTTATATATTTAAATATCAAGAAATAACTAGAGATTAATAAATCGAAATATATATTTTATATTATATTAATATAAAATTTGAAGAGATTTGATCTTTTTTTTTTAAAGAAAAAATAAATCTGATATATAAATAGATTTATTATATTATTAAAATACAAGTAATTCCTTAGAAATATTCTGATTAATTTTTTATTTTGATTATTAATTAAATCGATTAATTTATTTAATTTATAAGTAAATCAAAAACAAACAAGTATATATTATATTGAAAAGTTGCTTTTATATTATCTTAAAAAGAAATAAAGGAATTTGCTATTCGATTTATTTTATATAAAACAGAATATAAATATTATATTACTTTTTGAAAATCTTTTATATTAAAAAATAATTAATAAATCCAATTATAATTCATATTAAATTATATTTATTAAATTAAAAAATAATAGAATACTATTTTATAATCAAATAAAATATAAATAATTATAGAATCACATAAAAAGATATATATTATATATCAAAAAGATAAAGCTTTTGATTTTATATATATATTAGAAAAAAAGAGTAAAAAAGCTGGATAAATATTTTGGAATTGTTTTTCAAATAAATTAAGTAAAAAACTAAATATATTTTGGAAAAAGGATTAGGGTTTTATTAATGTTGAATCTTATTAAGTATATATAATATCTATTATATATAATTAGATAAAATTGAATCTGGGTTATATATTTATATAAAATAATATATCAGATTATTTTGTAGAAACTATTATTCAAGCTTTTTTTGAAAAAAGAATTGAAAAAATAAATTGACTTCCTTTTTCTTTTGATCTCAATCTTATTAAGAATATATAGAATTGAATAAAAGAATAAATATAGAATTATTATTTTATTAATAAAATAAATTATAATATATTTAGAAAGATTATAAAAAAGGTTTGGAAAATAATATTAGAAAATTATTTAATAGAATTACTTAAAATTATAAAAAAATATTGCGAGATAATAATTATAATAAATAAGATATATACAAGATTTTAGTATAATTTAATATACTCAGATATTTCTTTATAATATTTTGGTATACTAGAGTTTGTTATATTAATTTTCAAAGAGTATAATATTTTGATTAGTTAAAGTCTTTATATATAGGGAAAAGCATGGCCGCTTTTTGGTGTGTTTTACAATACTTACCCTTACAACCATCGTACATGATATTGAATTCGATACCACTGAAGATATTTAATATTATTTAAACTTTCAATATTATTATTAATATACTGAAATATTGGAATTCAATGTAAAATATGCATTCCTATTTATATTAGGTAATAAAATTCTACCCCTTATTCCAAATCGAGCTAGTACCCCTTATTTCTAGCCTAATTTGGTATGGGATGAATAGTTTATATTGGATCCCAGTATTTCAGTATATTGCTAGTATTCTTTAGGTATATAAATATATACAAGAGTGGTATAACCTCCTTTCTAAACATACTAGCTGCAATATCAATATGTGTTGGTATCAACTTGGTTGATATAAGTGTAAGTACTTATTAGTTCTATGTGGTTGTATGCGTTCTTGATCATTATTATCTATGGGAAGCTAGTACTTAATATAGGGTAGCGCTAGCGCGACGCTAGCTAATACAGTGCCCTCTTTGATCACATGATCGATATCCCGACAATATGCTAATACGCGCCACAGTTTTACTGTAGTATACTATTGCCTACACTGACAGCAACTAATAGGAATTGAAAAGAAAGACAAACAATTTGCTCTCAGCTAGGGGATGGCGTTAGCTTCAGAGAGAACACTTATAAACCCAGGCGTTTCCTGGTTGTATCTGCACCAATCGGCTCCGAAACCTGGAGACGGAAAGTTTTACGCTATTGCAGTACTTTCGTAGCCGATTCTCCGAGGACTGTGTATGACTACCGAGGTAGCAGGACGGCGTTTTCTTTCCAGTAAACGGATCGTCTTCATAAACCGAGGAGTGAAGACTGACTATCATAACTGCGGCACCAGCCGGCTATAGTTATTGCTTCGATCTTTCCGGACAGGTCATTACAAGCTCCAGGAATGTCACATCGATTCCAATTGTGATCAATTGCTTCTTCCATAGCTGACTTTTCGTCTGAATTTACCTGGAGGCGTGCACACTCTTTTGCCTGTCTCCAAAATACCCCCAGGTTGCAGATTCTTCCATGGAACATCCAGTTTTCAATATTCTGCAATCACTCAATATGGGGAGCCAAGTACACATATCTCCTTGACTTTCAGAAATTTGCATGATCTTAAACAAGATGCGGTCTAACCAGATAGACAACAGCATGGTGGGTAGGCTTAAGGAAAGTCAAGATGACAATTCTCCAGCTTGCCATAAAACTACGAACTCTTCAGGTTCAAAGCTGTGTCACAGCATATTTACCTAGTCAGCAAGACTAGTTGTCTTTGTCTGATTAAGTATGAAGCAATGAATCTTTGGCATACATTCGAAGTGAATGTAGAGTTTTTTTTAATGTCTTCGATTTCGAGCTAGATAAATCTGAAGCCCGTCATGCGGCTGAGCCGCACTTCAATACAACGTCCAGAATCCTGAACTTGAACAACAATCCTTTCCATTTTGCAAAGGATCAAGTGCAATTTGGTGGATTATTGTAAACCATACTAGTATCCTCAATCGTCGCTATCAGCACCGTGAGCTTTGAATTATTTGCGACCATCGAAAACAGTCCATCATGGCTGTACCCACAAAAGATCTCGTCGAACTACCCGACGACGTTTTAGCAGTCATGTTTGATCAGATACTGGTAACTATTGGAGTATGGAAGATCATGAACTTACGAGTTCTTTGCAGTATGTCTTGTTCTTGTCGTACCTATGATGTTTCCACAATATTAATCTACTGTCAGGACTCTTCAATACAATAATCACGAAGACTTCATGCCTCAACTACATGGCAGACTCAAAAGGCCCAGTTGACGACGCTCTTGAAATATGTCTCATATATCCTGACAGCAAATTGCCCGGCATCGCACATCTCTTCATTCATCTAGAAATGAAATACAACCCTCACCACATAATACTCTCTCCTGTCTCTTATGCTATCCAATCTGTGAAGACACGTAGTAGCAACATCCAGACAAGAGACAAACAAACAGCTCTCGAGATCCAAGTCTGCCATGCGATAGAAGAACGTTTGAAGTGGGGCTCGAACGATGACCGACATCCAGGTGCATGTGGCCGAAGGAGATTACAATTTCGTAACGCTGCTATCGGTGAAGATGACGAAGCAAGGCTAAACATCCAAACTACTCTCAGTGTAGCTATTATTGCTGGAGATGCTTTCGTTGTACGAGAGCTGCTTGGAAATTGTAACGTCGATGCCGATTTAGACAACAGATACTTTGGACGACCTTTACATGTTGCCGCGAGTTATGAAAGAACCGAAATCATCGAGATTCTGCTTGAGTATGGTGCAGATTTGAGTTCAGCTCGGCCATATCTAATCCACGAGTCAAAGAGGTTCACAATGCACCTGCAGAAGTTTATTTGCACTTTAGGGAGCCCTTTACGAATAGCAGCATTAAATGGCCATCTCGAAGCTGTAAAACTTCTCACCAAGCCACGTTACAATGCCGTGTTACCATATCCAGAAGAGGAAATCCAGGAAATTTTTCGCGCAGCAGCTAGAAGTGGGAGTATAGCTTTGATTTCTATTCTCGCCGAGTCATTTTTAAGAATCACTACCTTCGGACCTACCATCGAATATTCGAGAAGAAATGCTTATTCAAAGTATATATTGGGGGAAAGAAGAAATGATACAGTTGATGATTTCAAGCGGAGTAGACATCAATTTTCAGGTATCTGCTAATTGGAAAACTATGCCCAATTGGTCGCCCATTCACTGTGCCGCTTATAAGGGCCGCTCGAAAGTTGTTCAGCTACTACTTGAAAATAGCACAAATCGAGATGACTATGCCACCGGCATACGTGTACGTTACAACAATATGGATGCGATAGGGTTTGCCGTTTCCAAGGGCCATGAGGATGTCGTTCATGTTCTTTTGAATCACGGTGTTTCGTTAGCAAGACACAGAGGATACAACGCTGCACTAATTGATATAGCCTCAATTTGGAGCCAGCATCATATGATGAGCCTACTATTGAAGAATGCGGCGAATTCCGATACACCCATCAAAAGAACGGCTTTATTCAATGCTATTGAAAATGGAGATCTCCTATCTCTGCGTCTCCTGGTAGAAGCCGGCTACCCTGTCGAGACCACCAAAGACGTTGACCCTATTAATCACGGCTCTTCTCCAGTCTTTCTAGCAAAGAAATGGGGGTGGCCACATATTCTAGAGTACATTTTCAGTGTCATCAATGAAAAGATCGATCCATTGGGCGAAGAGCAATCTCCCCTTGATCGACTGCCAGAAATGGTTTCATGAGTGGTCAGTATACTCGCAGATATGCAAAAAAGCCCCATCAACTTTGGTATACACAGGGCAGATATTAAATTACCATAGCTATTAAATCCTTTTGGCTTACACTCCCTAGCGAGTCGTTACACGAGCGTAGGTTTGTGACTTTTAAGCTAGTTGAATGGGGGGGGAGGGAGAGAAAGACTCAGCCAATTCTTCAAGATTTTGCTTGCAATCGGAAGTTGCAGAGTAATGAAAAGATTAATATATTGAGATCACGCTGCAGAAACCATGGTCGTTATACCCTAGAAGAACATAGTTCTTGCTTTAAAAAGTATGCATACAACTGCGTGTACGATACAATATGGTGCCGCCTACACAGATTGACAAAATCAAGTAGAAACAATGGAACCCTAAAGAATGAACAAATATAGGAAAAAGGCCTGAGGGAAGAGAGAAGAGGGAAACAATATGGACTTCAAATAACAAACCCTTCAAGTGCAATCTTGACGGTGTTCTATGATACGAATGACACAGTTACCATATGCGCGGAAACTCACTTGAATTGTTCAGAAGTTGTAAAGACGGAAGATTGAGAAATAACGGATGCTCCTCAGGCCTATACCGATGCTTCTGGAATTACGAGCAAATCTTGGAGTTTGGGATTCATGCTCATTGTTCTACCACGTATGCTTGGTCCAGCTTGATAGATGAGTGGGATGCCAGCATCAAATTGGGTTGCACAATGTTTCATGCTATTGGTGATGTTTTTTGATTCTATTCAAACCTATATGGTTCATAATGTTTGAGAAACGCAGTTTATCCGTTATGAACCGATTTACTGAAACACATCTCTGTATTGAGATCCAGAGCTACTTGGCTGACAACAACTTAAAGTTCGCATTCAAGACTGTCATCTACCCACCTCACCAACCTGGCTAAGTAACGTGCACATAGATGTTGACCGATTTTCATGATCCACTTGGGGACAAAAAAGTTGCGAGAAAGAAGTCGAGGATGAACTAGGATATTAATATGTGGTATTGACGATTGAAGCTTCCTGAGTTTGAGGGCCTGTTTATCAGGAGTGAAGTTGCATGTATACGCGATGTCAGTCCAGTTGACGATTGGCAATATGAGCAGTATACCCAAAAAAATTTTCGGGGGGAAGACTCAATGTCCGAGTTATGCTTCGTATATTACGGCGACTTCTTTTCTCGAATCTTGAGTAAATATTTTCCAGTGCTAGAAGCGTACTCAAGTTTCCTATACATATTATTCAACGATGAAAATTTTGTGTGTGAATGTGAGCATTTGATTGGAACCCGGAATTGAAGAAATATCTTTTGGCTCTCGAAAGATGTCCATTTTTTCATGACTGTAATTTTGTTTGGTCGCAAGGGACTTCGTGTAGACTTCCTAGAAAACGCCGTAGACCGTCGTGTTATCCCTTCCCATATACTGTTGTACATTTCGTTCCACCAAGAGTCATTATGGTTTTTGACCAGATGTCCCCGCGCCTATAACTCCTGGCATCGCTTGCGCTCCTTCAGCCTTTAATTTTTGCAATGTTTTTTCGCGCTGGTATTCCATCACTCTACGTTTCTTGAAGTATTGAACCTGATGAGGGGGGCAAAAATCAGTAACGACCCATCCATACCATAACAGCAGTTCGAATATCTTTGTGCGGCAAAAAGGAAACTTACCCAACTAGTTGCACAATTTTGTTCGAATACTCTTGCCTCTGTTCCGCAAGACTTTTCCGCTTTGGCGTTCTCCGTGAGACTATCAATGATTTCATTTTTATCCAGACACTTGAAGTATGCATCTCTTGCTTCCCAACATTGTGATCTTTGACTTCGGTCTGGTGCTATGGGGGCACCATCTGGTCCAATCTTTGGAGGGGGTAGAGAAGCTTGCGAAGAGCTGAAAAGTCCCATGATAAATTGATTGAAAGACTTGACAATTATTTGACTTTAGAGAAATGGAGTCTACCATGCTATGTTTCTATGCAGGGCGGCAGAATAATTTGAGCTAGGCCTCATTGACTTCTCCGCCTTTACCTCCTCCCGGTGAGCTTGATAACTTTATCATCTCCAAATAGCATTTTTGAATTCTCTCTCCGTGAGCTCATTGCATGCTCGAGCAAATCCGATGTCTCAATGTACCAGCCGATGACAAGACCTACATCGAATTGAATTCTAAGACAGTGATATTATCTTGCTTGGAACTCCTCCCACTTATTAAAGGATAAGCTTCGGAAAAGGGATTGTTTATCTGAATCCGGATAGCTTTATCTACCCAAAATAGAATATGCCCAGCGCCTTCAAAGCCACTGCTCTACCCAATCGCTCTATATAGGAAATAGAAGCATCGAGAAGAGTCAAGTATTCATCCTCAATACAGCGGGAACACAAACGTTACTGGGTGTACGAGTATTAATAGTAAAGAACCAGATGATGTCCTATTCAAAGATCTAATACACTTCCCACCCTCATTGGCGCCATACGTTGCAGATGTTGATCTTTACCTTGTATATTCACTCACATTATGCAGATCTAAGAGCAATGCGCTATAGCATTCTCTCAAACTACTGTCGCGTCTTCTACAAGCTTTAGTACAAACTGCGCAGCTATTTTTCTGTCGAGCAAAAGCATCGTGGTTACCTTGACGAGTGCGATACTGTTAAACAACACATCCTAAAATAACATCACCACGGAGTACAAAGTACTCATTGGAGCTCACCAGCGACAACTCCCCACTATCCAGTTGCCTTAGGCGGATAATCTCATAGCCTTGGCCTCACGCCCACGCATAACATTTCCATATGAGGAACATTTCTCCCTCTCACCACTTTTCAACGACACAAGGAAGATCTCTCCCACGTCATGCTTGCACCACATTTGCTATTTGACTGATGAGTCCACTAACCTTAAAAGTTTCACTAACATTTCTATTCCTAGATCAAAGCAACGCTCGACTACAGAAACCATGCCTTTCCCGATACTTTTGTACTTCAAAACACCTTGATTGTTTTGGATGTGCATTCTACACAGATTAATATTTCGCAGACTCATATGGTCTTGATCCCCTCTATACAATTTGACAGCCGATTGCGGCTATTCCCCAACAAATATTTTGATCTGATGTCGTGGGCATGGTCATGGTTATGAATGGTTTGATCCCGGCCCCAAAAGGTCGAGTTCGAACAAAGGTTGGGCATAGATATCTGGAGGCTTTACAATCGAAAGCAAATGGAGGTTACCAGAGCTCAAGCTCGTCATCTTCAGATGATGGCGTACCAAATTCTGTGGGATTGAATCTATTGGTTCTTGGTATCACGTCTGGAACTGCTATGGATGACATTGACTTTGCACTCTGCCGTTATACACAAGAGTCTCCAGAAGCACCACTTCACCTGGATCTTATTCAGGTATACAACAATGATCGTTGCTGACAAAAAATAAGCTAATATTCCCTAGTATGATTCTGTCATCATGCCTTCGAAAATCCGATCCGAGATATTGTCCATGTTGCGAGAAGACGCCGCTCCGCCAAGTATGTTATCGCAAATGGATGCAGAAATGGGACATACTTTTGCGAACGCTATTCATATATTCGCACATAAGCATAGAATTTCAGTGGACGAAATTGATTTAATTGGATCTGGTGGACAGCTCGTTACCTTAACAGGTGCCCCACCACGGGGACAGCATCGATCGAACATGTGCCTAGGAGAAGGGGCTGTGATATCTGCAAAAACAGGTGTCACAACTGTTTCCGACTATCGAACGGCAGAGCAAGCAGTCGGCAGGCAAGGTGCTCCTTTATTTGCGTACTTGGTCGGACTTCTGCTGCACCACCCGACCAGATTACAGATTTGCATAACAATTGGAGGCATCACGACTATATGTTTCATCCCATCGGATAAAAAGGGCGGGATTGACGCCATGTACGATTGGGATACAGGCCCGGGCACTTGTATGATTGATGCAGCCTATCGTCACTTTGGCCTTGACCCTCAAAAAGACCAATCCTCATTCCTACACGGTAAAATCTGTCATGAAGTAGTCGAGCAACTTCTTACCAACGATGAATATCTCAGTACACGACCACCGAAAACCACAGCTAGAGAAATTTATGGTGACGCCATGGCTTTCAAAATCATAGGCATGTGCGCTTATCGAGGTTGTTCCCCTGCAGATACAATATCTACTATTACACGCTTCACCTCCGCCAGTATTGCTCAGCAAATCCTTCTTTTTGGTCCCGGTCGTGACGCCGTTAACGCAGCTGATATAACTGTCGATGGTCGCGGCATGTCTCACACTCCTCTTATCTCGGACCTTCAAGCAGAATTCCCAGGAGCCCATTTCGACAGCTTCGATAAGACCGGTATCCCGTTGAATGCAAGAAAAGCAGTAGGCTTTGCGATGCAAGCAATGGAAGCATTATTGGGAAGAGCTTTGCCAGTCCCGACAAATGCGGACGTGAGAAGACCGAATACTATCACTGGAAAGCTGGCCCCTGGGCTTAGGTGGAGAGAGGTCATGGAGAAGAGTGTTAGATTCGGAGGGAACGGAAGAGGATGGGAGGGGCTTCCGGAGGTCAAGGAATTGATTGTTAGGCAGAGGGATAGGAGTAATGTCTCGGGTATGGAAAACGAGAAGGAGGGGTTTGTTTGTTAGGTTGGTAAAGATCCCGCGGAGAGTTCATTTTACTTACTTTCTTAGTAGATAGTTTTAGTGAGCAAATATACATTTAATTTATAATTCCATATCACCTGCACTTCGGAAATAATATGCGATACTGGCACAGCCCACATCATACTACATTCTACAACGTTGAACTTTCGTCATAGGTCTTGACTTCGATCAGTCTAAGAACAGGCCAACAAGAACTATCTCTAATACAACTTATACCCACAGCTCACAGTAACTATAGATCCTGCGGCAAATCACACGAATCATAAGTTATGCACTGCCGGAATACACGTATGATCTTACCTTCGGCATTGATCTCACGTAATCCGGCATGACACTGCCGGAAGCACTAAGATGATCTGGACATACTTTTAGAAATGGGGATTCTTGTCAAGGTCCGCAAAATGGAAGGTGTCAACAGATCCAGACATTCTTAAGGTTTGATATCTTGGGTTTCGGGTATCGAAACTTGTGGTTTACCTTAGGTGGCTACATCGAGACGTCTCTTCTATGCTGATACAGGCACGATATTCTCTGCACGATTCCTCGGATTTTTGGTTGGACGTCTGCATATTTCATTGTTTGGAGTAGGACAAGACCTTAGGTTCTTTTGCGCTGGTGTTCATCTAAGCTCTGCTATTACCTGGACAGATTCTGTTCTGTCTAGAGATGACTTAAGCCAGAATCTTGAAAATAGAGTTTCATGAGTTCATTAAATGCTTCCAGTTCATAAGCCTTGTTTATCTCCCTGCAGTTGTTCATGTTGGACGCTTATCAAGGCTCGACGAAAAGGCAGACTGAAGGGCAGAACGCAGAGAGGCTTACGATGACATGGTAGAAAAGCCATATGAAGCACTATCATATTGTTGAGGTGATGCCGGTATCAAGATTCCAATCACAATCGATGAAAAGAAATTGATGTCACCTCCAACCTTTTTGCTGCCATGCAAAGTTGAGGAAGATGGACGTCAACCGAAAAATGTGGATCGACGCGATATGTATCAATCAGCACGACAACGAGGAGAAAAATACGCAGGTTCGACTCATGCGTGAAATCTGTAGAAGACTGAAAGTTGTTTGGTGTGGCTTGGGGAGTTTAGGAATGCCAAACCAGTAACCACTATGTTTGATCTATACGGAAGGGCAAAGAATTAAAGAGCGCACCCCATTGACTCAATCCGACTGCCTGGTAATGGCACTCGCTTGGCTCCACATGAAAGTCCCAATGAAGGGTAAAGCCTGCTCGCTGACTATAACATGGATATCGTGAGAGTCTACATCATGACGATGCAGAGATTACTGTATGATGTAACTGATCTGGATTTAGTTATAGAGATTGACCATTCTCTAGCAAACACCCATGGACTTCCTTCCTGGGTAATTGATTGAACCGTATCCGATCTATTGATCGGGAGATACGACATACGTAATCGAACACTCTGCAACATGCGACTCACAACTTAGTGGACCTCCTGAAATCAGTGGTACGGAAATCCGGCTTGAGGGATATCAAGTCGAAACCATCCGCTATATCTCTCAATCTCTGCTAATACATGGGTATGAGGAAGATATGCCTTCCTGTTCCAAGTGGAAGCAATTCATCACCGAAATCCTTGGAGATATTGTTACTGCAGAGGAGCTCGGAACGATTTTTTTACGAAACGATTTTAGGGCGTACCCAGCTGAGCTCAGATCGAATAAACAGAATTGAAAAAGTTGTACAGATCATAATGGAAGCAGGGAGCAGAGAACTACGAAAATTTATGTCGGGATGATTGCTGGAAGAACACAAATCGACGACACAAGATCTAGCGATCCCCGCCACAAATTGTATGAACAGGGAGATAATTGTGACAGATAGGGGAGATATCGGACTTGTATCGGCGACTGCAGCTATCGGAGATCGTATTTTCCTGCTTCGAGGCGGATACATGTCATCTGTGCTCAGGGGAAAAGAGTGGAAAGGGGAAGAACGCGAGGTGGAAGAGCAGCTGGAAGAGGGGCCACCAAAGCAAGTAACAGAATAAGATTTGATGTTGGAAGTTATGAGAACTATTCTTGAGATTAAAAAGATGGAAATGACATCTCCAGAGGAGGGCATGGATGTTATGCAGAACGAGCAAGGTAAAGCATCGAAATGGGAATTGATAGGGAATTGCTACGTAAATGGAATGATGGATGGTGAGGAATAGGTTGAAAGTAGATGCGCTGATGTCACTTTAGTTTAGAGATCAGACGGAGTAGCCAGCTGTTATGAGAGGTATAACACAGTATCAAATCTTGGAATGACATTCAAGATAGCTAGGTAGCCAACGGTGTTTTGTTATTATCGATGGCCATCTCCTTAATAACCGCCAACTATCTACAGAAGGATCGCGCACATTTATGCTTCAATCAAGCAATAAAAAATCAATACAACTATCTCAAAATCACTGCGAAGACGCCAAATCACCATTCAGGTAATACCAAAACCCAGATAGCAAGCATAGCAACTCTCGAAACATGCGCGAAGCATTGGTAACGAAAGTTACCAGAATAATCAGTGTCGTCAAACACGAAGCAATCAGTCCAGAGACCGCAGTTTATACCAAGATTTACTAGTAGCGATTGAAACACAGAAATAGATTAGAAGTTCATCTGAAAGGCGGCGCACATGGAATTGTATTGGAATCATATACAGTATACCTTATATCGTGCCGGTGAATGTACTGAGACTTGACTGCCGAAACCGTCCAAATAGAAATCTGCACTTCAAAATAAGTTCCATCCTATGCTTCTAAACAAATTGTTTCCCTTGCCAATTAATGGATCAAAGAAAATCTCTCCCATGTAACCTCTAACACGATAGCTTTCTCCTCGACAAAAAAAGCCAAATCGAGAAGTGAAGGATACCGGCGCAATGGCGTAGCAATTGGGAGTACCACACCGGGTTCTCTTCGACCCCCTTATCTCTGGGAGTCTCCCTCCCGCGTCTCGTGATGGGAGGCACGGTTTTACCATTTCTCTCAATTCTGATTTCTGAGATTTTTGTGATTACGACGAGAGTTGTGACCAGAGATTGTGTCTGAAGCGAAGAAGACATTCACATTTTAACAATCTAGGAGGATGGAAAGGGGAACGAGAAGATGCAAGACCACACGTAAGCTTACCAGGTTGCCGCGCATTTGATAGACATTTATGGCCTTGTTGGAGGAATTGACTACAGTTCCGGTAGCTAATATTCGTATGGGTACGATGCCACAGAATGTACTCATCTGGTATAATTGCAATGACAGCCATCCCACACGGTACTGTCGGAGGTACTCTGTCAACAAGAACGTGGTACAGATAGGTACTAAAGCCTGTTGTCATGATGTTCCTCGATTGAAGAACAAGTCAAAAAATTGGTGAAACGGAAAGCCATGCCTCGTGGGGCTCCACCGAACCATGATTCACAAGGCTCGGAGCTTTTCATTGATCTTGTGAGCGCACATGAATCGATGCAGATACCCATCTCCTGTTCCTGCAGCCCTTCCGCAAGGTACAGGCCACAGCATGTGACAGACTAAGTCTCCATGTATGTATATTTCCTATACATGTGCTGTGTAGCAGTACACATGTCATATCAATGTGCTCTCTAACGAGAATTCAAGTCTTTAACTTCATGGAAAGATGTGTCGTGAACCAGCGGATACAATTACTCCTGCGCCGGACTTCAGTGCTAAGATTGGGATAATTTGAATTTCTAATAGTCGAATGTAAATTAAACTGAAACTTAGGAGGTTGCCCCTCGCCGTCTTCCTCAGGGGCAGGAAATCAAGATACAAGTTTGGATTCTTCGGGTGCTACCGGTTGTGAAGAATTCCAACCGAGATCTTGCAACTCGCGAGGCATGCTACCCACATGTGGATTTCTGATCTAGATCACATCCATGAAAGAATAATTCATTCGGTCCGCCCACCAAAATGTGGAACATTGGCTCGTTGTGGAACTGTGGCTCGTCCCCAGAAAAGCCTGAGGCGATCTACGTACAAGGTGATCATGTTTATCAATGATTTTTAAAGAGACCCTGATGTGATCAATGCCTTGTGGGCCTTTGAAATATCAAAATTGAAACATGAGCGAGTTCTTGCTCCCAGACAAAGGTGTAAACTTCTCTGCAATTTTGCCAAGATATGCAATGTTGATTTATTTCCTTCCCGGCAGACAAACATTCAAAGGGCTACCTGCCGCTTTCAGAGAAGTAAAACGTTGTAAGCTGTGGGGATTGCCTTATCACGGGAAGACTGGAGGGTACTGCCATAAAGGGAAGTGATATCGCTCACAACTGACGCACTTACATGGTAAGCTGGGCCCGCTAAGAAGAAATTGGAGGTCTTAAGCGTATAGCGGCGGGGCAAAACGACTCTTTTTGGGTGAATGGCTTGATAATAAGCTGGCAGATGAACGCATTGGGAAACTCATGCTGTATAACGTTGAATTGAGATTCAATTCCTTGATTTTCCAATGCGAACAATTGATGATGGGATGAGCTGAGACTTGAGAAATGGAAGGTTAGATGAGTGAATGCCTGAATATGTGTAACGGATAACGAGTGTACATTGTGTTGACCATGCATGGTGGATACGAATGCTGACAGTGCAGTACCTCGTACAAATGTAACAAGTCCCTCATACCGTACGATGATGATAGAAAGGGGAATGAGGCTCCGAGAGTGTTTGCTTTCAAACATTTGACAATTGACGGGCTTGACCCTGTCATCCATGATATTCTCCTAGATCCGGGTCTGGATACCGAGATAACAGGCAACATTAAACGAATCCGGACAGCCGTCGGATGTGAACACTTTGCTGGGTTTTGTCCGAAGACAAAAGATGTTAGCAATGTAAGCCAAGTATATGGAAATTTCGGTAACAAATGTTAAATAAATGAAAGTTGAAACACAGTGAGTTGAATTAATTAGCCTATCTTATTGATAATAACAGTTGGGAGGAAACTTTCCGGCATGAACTTCTTATCATCGACGATAAAGAGAGACCTGATTGGATTAGATCGATCTTGCCATGAGATCCAGGTAGGTATGTAGGTAGAGAAGGCATTCTCCTCGATCATTCGTTGGAGACCGGGTTGCTAAATGCAGGAGGTACTGTTGCTACTACTTCGCTACCTCAGTGGAACGCTGCACAATGGTTCAGAGAAGACAGTCAATGAAGCCCTAAAGCTATAGAGACACGAAGTCATGCCCAATCTAGTCGTGTCAATTAAGAAGCTGTCCTTGCGAAAACTGTAGGCACATGAGATAAGATGAACCATATAGAAGATACCTTCCGTTCATTATCCCCAGGCCTTCCGGATTCCCTTCGAATGTTTCATGCAATAGAAGCCCTAAAAGGTTCTAAACCCATAAACAATCCAGGGCAGACAGTGGGGCCGGATGTAGCGTGCATACCCTGTTGCCATAGTGGAGATAGTAAATGCAAACATCATGGATAAATCGAGACAAACCTACTGAAATTGACATAGATAACGGATAAGTGTTACGAGGTGCGGCCTGGGAAGTGATTTGAAATTGCATTGAGTAAGAAAAGTAATGATGCTCGCCAACTTCAAGATTTCGAAATTATAGACAAACAATGAAAAAAGGCAATTGCAATAAGTGATAGTAAAGGAAAAGTCTAGTATAAAAATGTCCGTAAGGAAAGCTCACTCAAGTAGACAGAACTGTGCCATCGGCCGGCACCTCTCGCCTTCTGCTTACTTTATGCATACCTTCACGGAGTAGTTGTCTGGCTTCCTTCACATGCCTATTTCTTGGGCCCCTTACCTCCCCAGCCCAGACAGAACTGACGAATCGTTCCTTCAATATCGGAATGTATGTACGTGCTTCACTGTATCTCACTGTATCCTTGAATACACACCTCGTACATGAACTGCCTATTGGATATAAACGAACGCGTCTGGGAAAAAAAAGCAGCTAAACGCCAAGCCCCTTATCGATCTTGATAATTCCGTTAAACCATTTTCGGTAACAACATCATAGTGGTGTGTATAATCAAATCAATTCTGTTGAACAAGATAGCATCATCCCTTTCCACTAATTACACTCAAGATTAATAATTACTTAAGCTTCATGTATTATAGTTAAGCTTCAAATGCTATACCTAAGCTCCAAGTGTTATACCTAAGCTTCAAATGTTATACTTGAAGACTGTAGAATAGCTTCGATTGATTCAAATCCAAATGATTCTTGTAATTAATAAGTGACTGAGTTTATCGATAATCCAGAAGCCCTAAAAACCCTATAGTCTTTTTAGGTGCTGATCTGAAAGAAAATCTACAGAGTATTATTAGTGTTAAGAAAAGAAAAGCAAAAAGCTTCTGAGTTTCCATTTCAGACATTTCCATATAAACCAATAAAGGTTACAAGGTCTCATATTCTAGCCCTTAAGTCGACCGTTAGCTTCCCAGAATGCGTGGTATCCCGTCTTCCGTTTCAAACCAGTCTAACCTATCCAGGCTCTTCCGTCAGATAAAGGATACCCAAGGGGACGGAAAGCAGAGAGGGGTGCCATACCAAAGTTGCGGGGGACTGCCAATATCGAGAAACTCCACCAGAGGATCCAGTTATAAAGTTTCCTTCTTCGTGTTACTAGCTCGACTACGAGTGCAACAGATGTATCTTGACACCCAGTTCATATGCAAGAGCATATCATTCATGTCAAATCTCACACATTGCATGGGGAAAAGAAAGCCCTTTCCTGGTAGTACATTGTCAGCCTTGAAAGGAAAAAGCAATAGACTAAGAGCAATCATCATCCTAATCCTTGTGTCATTCCCCAGTACAACTTACCTCCCTTCCCCACCAGCTTCCAGTTGAAAAAGTTTCAACATTGACTTCACTTGTTTCGTTTCTTCTCGTTCTGTATCATTATCTTTTAGTCCTTTGAGCATGACAACATCTTCAGAGTGTTGAAAAGCCGTCTAACCCTAATTATACCGGCCGTTCTTCAGCACATATATATTTAGATCTTGGTATGGTAGCTGAGTGTCTTCACTTGGGAAGTTCCTTGGAAGTGTGTTTCGGTCGCCTTTTTTCTAGAGTGAATGGCGACAGTGAAGTCTAAAACTCATCCGAATAACCTCTTATTTCGGAACAACCATATGTCCGGGCCGCACAACACCCACGCAACAATAATTCGTCGAAAAACAATATCAACTTGCTCTTCTGACTGAATAACTCCTTTCCGCTTCGATCTTGCGCAAGTACTTCTTATCTACAAATTTTGTGGGCCGACAAAATATCGCTCTATCCTCTCTTTGTGAATAGCAATCCGACTTCATCTGACAATCCCTTTACCTCTTATTCACTGCATTGAATTCCTTCCTGCAGAGCTCATTCCTTTTGCAGTCTCCGCTTCAAATCTGCTGGATGATTCACATACCAATACCAACCACTTCAGTTCCTCTCGAAACTCTTACATTTTTCAAATTCCAAACCCAACTCTCACTATCCACCTGTTGAATAATACACAGCTCTTTCTACAAACCAACAGTCACCATGTCGGGAAGGTCAGCATATGTTAGGAAGGTAAAGGTGGACAAGAACAACAAAGCAGGATATGACTACCTGAATAAAGATGACACACTTAAAGGAAAAGAGCGTACCCCTTCCTTCAAGTCCGATCCATCAATTTCGGATTTTCATGGAATGGATAATGGTGCTTCAATAAATTTCTCAGATCATCATGATTTTATGAGATCAGATGATCCCTCAGCGAGATCACTCAACAGCGGTCAATATGAGCTCGAATATAATCCTGGATATGCTCGAATCAGAAGACCTGAAATGCCGATCATTGAAACCTCTGGAATCGAAAAATCAGCTTTTCGTTCAAAGATGGAGAAGAGCAGCGAGAGTTTTCGTCACAATTTCGCAAACGTCTTCAAAAAGAAGAAGGGCAAAGAAGTACCAAATGAAACCCCTCCTACAACACCAAATGGGGAAGAAAAGCATGAGTTGGCAGCAGAAGGAATACACTATCAGAGTCAACGACCTATCAGCCCCCTACGACGAGCCCCCAGCCATGAAAGTCAGCCATCCTACAAACGAGGCAGAGCTCTCAAGGGAGACATTCCGCCATTACCTCAAAAAATGAAGTTGTGGAGACGAAAAGGACAACCAGTTGTATTATGGGATAAACTTGATGTCAGAGATCCAGATCTTTGGGACCCCAAAGGAGACGCTCTGGTATTTTACGCCAATGAGGCAGAAGACAATGAGATGCTGCAACCGGCTTTCAGGCTGGGATCTCACTTGATTGAAACAATAGGATCACCGTTAGTAGATTCACTACTTCGCGACGGTTTGACAGACGATATGGACAATATGAGCATCTCTGAACCTTACCGAAATGGTCCCCCACGACCTCGACAACCGACTCCTCCTGGATCCGAATCTAGCAAAAGTTTCGACTCCTCCCAAATCTCGTATAGATTTGTATTACCATCAGCTGGGAATGTCTCAAAACAGGATTTACTAAAATATAAGCTTTCCTGGAGAAACGTCTTTGCGGTATGTTCCAACAAAGGAATTGTTGGATACACCTTACATCAAGCAATCACCGATGTATACGAGCGCTTTTTGGCAATCATGCCTCGAAACCAGAATCTGTCACATATTCCTGTCAATTACACCAAAGCAATGGGATGGCACGATCTTCGCAATGATCCGGAGTTGGCTTGCAGCACGTTGATCTGGAGTGAACACAAGAAAATACACTGGCAACAAGGATGGCACGAGGCATTTGTACACTGTGCAGGGATGTACAACCAAGTCGCCTCGTTACCTAGCTGGAAGAACGTTTCACCAGCTACAAAGTTGATGCTTGACAAGGCCAGCGTCGAAACTCTAAGTCAGGTAGCTTACTGTGAAGATTTGTTGGCCAGGTTTGACTACGGATCTTACTGGCCAGAAGCTTTAGGTCATCATGGCGTAAGCTCTCGTGAAGCTTTTGTCAGACTTCAGGGATTCTTTCGCGATCATTACTCGGATATGTTTGGGACATGGCCTCCTATGCCACCGGATTCTAGGAACGTTGATGGGTGGCTTACAAGACTCATCGTCAGAACACTCGCCGCCGATTTCTATGCACTTTATGATTACTTGGTTGATCGAAAAGTCGTCTGGAATGGTTCATCCAAAATGAACAGTCGCAGGTCCAATATCGTCCGTCTCGGTTCTCCAGAATTTCGTCCTAACAGCCATGACTGTGATTTCGTCGGTCTGATCGAACAATTTGACAGTCATCACAATATTCCTTCCATTCCACATCCTTATGCTCAGCTGCCACAATCGTGTCCACCTACTCTAGGGAGAATTACACAATTGGAAGCTAGAAAATCCGCTCTAGCTTACACCGAGGCAACAAATATTTTTCTCCTTGGAGACGAATACGAGGGTAACGAAATGGTGGAAGCGTATATGCAATGGGAGAAAACAGACAGAATCGGTGAATATGATCCAAGAAGCGCTCGCAGAGCTCGCTGGGTCCTTGTTTATTTCATCTTGCAAACTTTATCAACACTTGTTGTTGACACGCCAGGATTAGATTATTCTGACGGAGTGGAATACTTCTTGTCCGGTAGAATAGAGCAACAGCCTGCATGGATTGAAGATCAATCACTCAGACAGCAAGCTGAGCACAGTCGAAGCCATTGCTGGACCGTATCTTCGGCATGGCGAAAACAATCAAATTTCGAAAACAATGGACTTGATTCTGTACCAGAGAGACTCGAACCGACTGCCACAGGCAGATCTCTATCTTCCGTCTCTAGCTATGAGAGTATGGCTAGAACAACCACATTTTCTGAAGCAGAAACCGCCAATGATATGGATACTGCTCGTACCTCAACCGCTGTGTCTGTCGCCGAAAGCAAAGCAAGTTATCAGACCCTTCAACGAGCAGAAAACTTGAGCATCCGCACACGAGATATATCTCCCAAGTCTAGACAATCACCAACACCGAAGACCGTTTCACTCTTCCCCGCTCCTCCAAAACAAGTCATCGATCCACAATATTCCTCAAGATCGTCTGACAAATACTATTCCACACCCAACAACTACCCGCCATCTCTCCCTCCCAAATCACCTCTTCCGCAAACCCCCTCTTCCTCATATGGATCTACACGCAACTATCCAGGTTCAAGCCGCAATGGTTCGTCAAATCAACAATCCCGTGCCAAAACACCCACCCACCAAAACCCCTCTTATTTCGCACCCTCAGGCAATGAGGGAGAAATCATGGGATTAAGAATCCATAAAAGTGCTTCTTCTACTCCCGTTGCCTCTCCCGTCATTTCTTCTCATCCAACTGGTCTTCCACAACGAAGCAATACCGGCTACGCGCCTGGAATCGAGAAGTTAGAAGACCCGATTTGGGGTAGCAGTGGAAATAGTAGTCCTGTTGAGAACTACAAGAGCCACCAGAAAGGACGAAATGCGCAGCTTTCTGGTCAGCAAGGGATGCACGCTAAGCATATTAGAGATTTCGACGAGCAGGCTTGAGGAACGCAGCGCACTAAAACATCAATTTTCCTTCTCCTTACATTATTTCTTCTTGTTTTTTTACTCTTTTTTTTCTAATCCGATCTGATACATTGCGTTCTGATCAGATTCGGTAGATCATTCTATGGATACCCAAAATTCAATGGTTGGTTGCTTTGGTGGTGTCATGGTGGATTTTCTCTTCTTTCTTCTTTATTGTTCTTCTGTTTTCCCGGACTTTCTTTCTTTTCCTGGGAAACTTTCCTGTTTATATTCATCAACTTCATTTTTTTATGACCGGAAAAAATGATAGATATATCTGGAACTTTTGATATTTGGAACTTGTAGATGGAAAGATTTGGCGTCTGTTTCTTTGATCTTGGCTAGGGTTGGGAGGGTATGTTGCTTGTGAATGCCTGATGATTGAATATTCTAGGAAGGGGAGGGGGGAGGAAAGGTCATGGATGATGACGAATAGATGCGAAATGTATTTCTATGAATGCAATCTACAAACAAAGAATCTTGAATGTGGTGTGATTGATGTGATGTGCAAGATTGTCATGAAATGCATTGGTTTCCCGGGTTTCAGAAGTGCGTAAGATGTATGATTGATGTTTCGCCATTGATGCAGTCTACAAATAATAGCAAGAGATTCTTATTTCTTGGGGGTGATATCAGGGAACTGTAATTATTCCATTCAAGTCTCACATTCATACAGAGTATTGAATTCTCTTTGTAACATTGTAATTATTTCGATGACCCAATCAAAGTCCGAAAGCGGAAAAGATATTTCTAGTTCTCTTTACACTGTATACTATTCAAAAGATCCCCCTTCAGAGCTCAGATGCACAAAGTCTACTCATATCGAAACACTCCCTATTATTAATTGTAATTTTTAAACATTTCGTAAGAAGTTTTGACGTCAGCCAACTACCCAGGTGGTTAGAAATCGGGCGTTTTGACTAGGCATTTATACAGAAGTCAATAGGTGAACCGGCTGTTACGCCAATGCACCTGGGGCGGGAAAGATCAAACACTCTTTCTATATTCTAGACTGTCTGTACCTCAGATGCCGAATTGTTATTCAAGTAATACCCAAGATAAGTTATTCTATTGTAAATCGGGAAATGACATGTGTATTGGTGGGCGACTATCTAATTTGAATTTACTGATGAGAACTTCTAGCTGCTAGGATATCAGAGTGGAAGCCCATTCAAGCCCTCTGATCTTTTTTTAAATTTCAATAAGAAATCCTCATCAAGTTCCAGCCCCTCGAGACCTATGTCCTTAGAGGTATCCCGTTCTGCATTGAATATATCATCCAGACTCAGTTCACGACCCTCATATTGAGCCTCATTGCCGCCCTCTGCCTCATGTTTATCGTCTCCATGACTAATCTCGTCAACCTCCTTGGTCTGTCCTCTAATCTCGTAAGCACTATCTTCAATATCCCAGATCCATCTCTTGATCGATGATTCCTTCTACACAAGTATTCTCCAATTTCCTAGAAACTTCTCATAAAACCCAGGATTTCACGATATCTCGAAAGTCGTTCATAACACTCTACAATTTTCTTGAAACTCTCATACAAAATTGGACTGTCCCATCCATGTAGTTCAACTGCCAACTTGACAGATTCTTTGAAGCGAACTATAGCATCCTCAGAATCACCCTATTCCAGAAGAGCCCAACCTAAGAAGATTTAAAACTCCAAAAAATTCTCTGTCCTTTATATGCATGAGAATAATTCTGAACCTCTCTGAGCATACCAACTGCCTTTGATGCTTCATTTTGTTTCAAGAGGGTTGTGACCATTGCCATGTGACGAACAAAGTGTGCATGCTCACTACAACCAAATACTTTGATCAAAAACTTAGATATGTAGTGAGAGAGATCGATGCTCTCTTTGTAAAGATCCTGGGCTTCAAACACAGACATGAGTGCTCTTGCGCTTTCGAACAAAGTGGCGCCCAAGTCTAATTGACTGGACACTTGGAGACTATACCTAGCGAGCCTATCGGCCTCCAGCAGACAAAGCTTTCTTCGCAAGATCAAAGACAATAGATTCATTAGTTTAATAGTTAATAAGTGGTTATGCCCCAATGTGACCAGAGCTACCTGCATCACAGGGTGGATTATATCTTCAGCTTCGCGATTCCGGTAAAGTTGATAGAGGAATTTGGTCATCAAATAAGATGAATGAATACGTAATGGATGATGGAAATCCACAGAATTTTCTATCCTCGGGTGTAAAATGTTATGCAGATTCATCCCAGTCTTCAAATGCCCCGAAGCAATGCAGGAATCGACAATCCAAAGATGTGATTGTACAATTTTATGCTTACTGGGGGATCTTTCCTTTTGCCTTGCATGCAAGAGCTTTCCACATGTGATCGCGACCTCTCCGCTCTTGTTGAGTTCGTGGTAGACAAATGCCAAAGACTCCAAGGTCAAAACGATCGCTGGAGAATTTGCTGGTAGGACTCTTTCCAATTTCGACAATTTTGCCTCCATATCTATTGACATCCTTTCGAACGATGAAAATGGATGGATCAAATTATTCTGTGTACGATTGTTGGAGTTTCTAGATGACGGGGAGAAGTCAATCTCAAATAGAGGACTCCGATGATGTTGATGCATTCCTAAATTGTGGGTTTGTAGCGAGCTACTCCTAGCGGAAAGGTGATGTGGGTAGTGGTTGTACCTTTGAGCCTGGGAGGACCCGCCACATATCAAATTGTTGTCATATGGATCGAGGAGCTCCTTCAGCGCTGTTCCGGATATAAATCGTGCTTCTTCGACATCCCACTGCTTCTCAGTCTCAAGACTTGTGGATGCAATGGTTTCTGCAATCTCAAGTTGCACAAACAATTCAGCCAACCATGAAAGTCTGGAATCGCTTTCGGCAAACTGACTGAAAGGCCATTGTTCCTCGGTGTTGGGTGCGACTATGTCATGACGAAGCTTTGATCTAGGAATCTCTTCAATAATCATATCGCGGTCGTCCAGTGCCGCGTTTTGGTGCCCGATATTGGTATAGCAAAGCTCAAGATCCAATGCAGCTTCTTTGATTGCGTTCATTTTTGGAGAAAAGTCCTGGTCCAGTACGAGAGATTCCTCATTATCTTCGCATTCGACTCCAAGACCGATGCGTGCGGCGTTTCTTTTCTGCAAGCGCTCAACCCTTTTTTGGTTAATTCGTGAGTCGTGTATAAACCTTTGAGGAATTCTTCCGCTCTTCACAATCTCATCTCTTTCATTTCTCCTAAAATTCTTTTTAAAGCCCCAGCTTTCGACTTTTCGAGTGAATTGTCGTTTTCTGTTTTCGTCAGATCGCAGTTCTCAAGTTTAATCAACGGGAACCAAGTCAACTTCCGATCAAACTTACGTGATATTGTATCCGAACTCCAAGTTGAGCACCTCCTTGACTTTGAGAAATGTGAAATTATCAATGACGTACAGACGACGAATAATTGATTTTAGATCTGGCCAATCTGCATCGGTAATAACTTTTCCACCATGGTGTGGATGATGGGTTGGGCGTTCTGGTGTGAAGCAATGAGATTCAAGAATCTTAGATTCATCAATAGTATACGCAGATGTTGATGGTGTTTTAAGATCTCCGATCGAGAACGCTTTTGAATAATCCATGAGCGCGAAGATGCCAAAACTAAGTAATTATGACCGAATAATTGGAAGGATGAATTGTTTCGCCAACAGAAAGATTGATCAATTAACTCACTGGGGATGGGGACAAGATCGAGAATAAATATTTGAATTGTTTTCATATATCCCCAACTGTTCGCGCGTGAACGCAGCCTGAACAGAATTACCTTGCATGAGAAGGGCTTTTTACTGCCCTCAAGTGTGGGATTACCCAAATTCCCCTGCATGAATCACCAATAAGGCTTACAGGCGCCTTCACTACAAATCATCCGGATAACACTCATCGACAGCCTTGCCACGCAGTCGACTAATTGGGTGATGCCAGCACTGGCTCGCAGACAGTCTCTTTTGAGGATGCGTGGTACATCTGAAATGTTCGATCGCCATAGTAGCAGGCCAAAAGCAGTATCAAAACCGCTCAAAAGACTCGAATCTCAATTCTACATCTTTTTAAGTATTGATGTTTCAAGAATATGGTTGGGTATTGATATTTTATTGTCAGCACTTGCAAGACTGGGTAGCTTTGCCGTCAATAAAGCTTCTTTAGATCGCATTTATTGACTTTGAGTTTTAGATCAATGGCACTTGACATTGTAAATAGATGAGACATCTAGGTCTACCGAGAGAATGGAGATAGAAAATGGAAAATTGTAGAAAAGAGATGAGATTTATCGGGGTTGATAGCAAAGAACAGACGGGATGAGAAAGAGAGAGTAGTGGATTCTCCAGTAAGATATATTGCCATACTCACCGCCCTTCCCCGCAGCGAAAACGGCAATATAATTTCAACCCCGCCATATGAATTTTCTTTGACAAACGAAATAAAATGATGGAACAACTTACCACCGCCCCAGTTCTATCGACTCCAGAAGTACATATATTCGAAGATCCCACACCTTCGATCAAAAAGGATGAACTCCCTAAACTTTCAGACGAGGAACTATACGATGTTTACGAGATTTCGCGGACGGTGAATGAGATTCAAGAAGGAGGATGGAAGAAAATAGCTTTACAGTTTTCGGATGGAATGTTGTCAGATGCACCTCGAGTATTTCAGGAATTGGAGAGTAGACTTCGGAAATTACCTACGGAACCAAGTTCGAGCAAAGCCGCAAAGGACGAAGGCTCGAGCCTAGAAACAAACTTCAGCAATCCACCCGGGAACATTGCGACATCGAATATACGACATAAATTGTACATATTGGCAGATACATCTTATGGATCTTGTTGTGTTGATGAAATCGCCGCTGAGCATGTCGATGCGCAAGTAGTCGTTCATTATGGCCGCGCTTGTCTATCTCCTACCGCAAGACTACCTGTGATTTACGTCTTCACATCTCGCCCACTGAACCTCGAATCGGTCATTCAAGCTTTCGAGAACACGTACAAGGAGAAGTCCGACAAAATTGTCATTATGGCTGATATTACATACCACTCGCATGTTTCACCTATAGTCGCCCAATTACGAGAAAGAGGCTTTGAAAATATACTTGCGCCAGAAATCACACACAACCCTAGTGCCACAATACCGAACCGAAAGTTAGATGAAGGGGTAGATATGAAGGATTACAGTTTATTTCACATTAGCGAGCCCCCATCTGCGTTACTACTCACGTTGTCGAGTAGAGTTAAGGAGATGCATATTTATTCTACGGATTCTACGACCGGAAATGAAACGACGAAGACGAACACAGCAAGGGCACTCATGCGGAGATATGCCTTACTGACATCACAGTCTTCCTCTTCAGTATTTGGTATCCTGATAAACACCCTAAGTGTAACGAATTATTTACCTACTGTCAATTCGCTGGCATCACTTATACGATCAAAAGGAAAAAAATCCTACACGTTTGTGGTCGGGAAGGTCAATGCTGCGAAGTTAGCGAATTTCAGTGAAATTGATGGATGGGTTGTAGTAGGATGTTGGGAGAGTAGTTTGGTAGAAGGGGAAGCGTTATTCAAACCAGTCATCACACCCTTCGAATTGGCATTAGCCTTACAGAGTGATGATGAGCGAGTTTGGGGTGGTGATTGGGTTGCAGACTTCAATGCCTTGAACTTGCAAGCTACTACTGTTTCTACTTCGTCTGCGGAACTTGTTGAATCAAATGTTCAGGATTCGGAGGCCGGTGATCCAACTGAAGATGTAGAAGACTCCGAAGAAGAATCGATGCCTCCCGAATTTGATCTTCGAAGTGGCCGATATGTCTCGCATTCTCGGCCTATGCGCTCCTCTCAGACGACTTCTTCAGAGCCTAAGAAAGCGTTGGAGAATGGATTACAGCCTAATGCATCAAATAAACTGGTCAAGAGAGCAAAAATGGAAATGGCGACCGTCAATGGAGAGGTTAGCCCTGGTGCAGAATATTTGAGAGAGAAGAGAACCTGGACAGGTTTGGGTAGTGACTACGATAAAGAGGCTATTGATGAAGGCAAAGAAAGAGAAGTTGCTGCAGTCGTTGAAGAAGGGAGAAGTGGTGTAGCAAGAGGATATACGGTTGGTGAAGACGCTTCGCGGAGTTGAACAATTGCTTTCTAGATGCAATTTCAAAACGGCCAAAATTGGACAGAAATTGTCAGAAAGACTGGTCTAAAATGTAGATACCCTTTTTTTCTCAATTCAAACATGACTCGTGCGAAAAACTGGAGCTGTCGTCACAAATTTGACTAGTTCTGGACCTAAAAATTGATCTAGCGGTACGGGCCTGACATGCAGCATGTACTAAACCCTCAAAATGTACTTTTCGTGTAATTGAAACATCAGGAGAAGAAACTCGGCGAAAAATGGAGTCAACGACAAGTTATGGAAGCTCTTGACGATTCACCGCCGATGAAGTAATAAGTTTCATCAACTCGGCGAACAGGTACAACGAATAGGTACATACGATATTCCCCACCACTGTACCTGTCGGTACATCTGTACCTGGAAAAGTCGAGAGTAATCGAATCATCTTGTTGAGTTGGCAAAAAAATCTAATGAAACTTTAGACTCTACGTCCAATTGATCCTGGATCAAAATGTAATACCAGATTATCCCAACTACTACCCAACTTACCAATTGCCAAGATCTCCTTCCAATATGATAATCCCGGTGCCTTTTTCCTTCTTTTTTTTCTCTCTCCCTCTCTCTCTCTCTCTTCATTGACATCTGGATTTTGTTTCGAGTTCATCGGATATTAAAAACAGATGTTGTCACCCTGCATTGACCTAGTAGGTGTCTAGGTAGTGATTAGTCCAGGATCTTTGGGCGCCAATAACCTGCCACTTCTTTTATTTTGATACACTAAACCCAACCCCGCCATTTTTTTGATAGCAACGAAATTGAAATTTTGGGGGGGTAAGACTGTCAGTTGAGAGGAAATATGTGATATAAAACGGGATGCAGCTTGTAAATGTAGGTAGCAGGTATACTCCGTAGGGACTAGGTAATCTAATTATATAAAATACTGTTTACCTAGTATCGTATCTAGGATTATATTCCCATTAGAATCCAGCCATCTCTTTATTTGATGTTTGGACCTGTAGATTTTGTGCATTGTAGACTGTCTGTAGATACCGTACAATATATCAAAGTGTGTATGTAAGATTGCATTGTATGAAAAGGAGACGAGGCCAGACGAGACCAGACGAGACGAGATAATCTCAATCACTACGCAATTCGAGCAAACAAGCAAGATTTTACTAATTATCGATAAGAAATCTAAATCAAATCAACCAGATCTTCACCGACGTCATATAAAACCTCACAACTACTCCCTAGCTATTTCACACACCGTTACCCTTACCGTTACACCCGACCCATTCATCCATCCATCCATCCATCCACCCACAGGAAAAGAAGAAAAGCAAAGCAAAGAAACTTTTCCCAAAGCGAGCCTTGTCACTTTTGTCGTCAGCATTTACCCAGCGCATCGCATATCCATCCTGCTCTCCACATTCTTGTTTTCCACCCTTGTCACTCATTCACCTCGAAGGAATCAGACAAGCCAGTTCGAGGCAAGCAAGCAAGCAAGCAATCAAAGCAAGCAAGCAAAAACCCACCATCCATCCACATCCGATCCCCAATCCCAGATCCCACATCCACCAACCATACCCCCATTCCCATCCCAAACGACTAGCGAGGTAGGTCAAGAAACAAGGCTGCATCATACCCAAAAGCAGGGCAAATCCATCCCAACCTGAATTCAATCCATCAGTGTCTGTGGGTGGGATTGAGATTCGATAAGAGGACCTAGCTTCGCATCTTGTCGACGAACTTTTCTTCTTCTTTTTCTTTCTTTTTATTTATCACGTATCTAGATATTCACTGCTTTGATTCATTGCGCTTTTTTTTCCCTCGTGCCTTGCGAATTGAAGCAAGCACATCATCGTGTGGAAGCGAATTTGATTCGTTCGTTTGGGACTCGGCTTTAGCAGCATCATCATCATCGTCGTCGTCGTCGCATCAGATAAGCCGACTTCAGCTCCAAGTTATATTCCACCATAACTATATCACCATTACAATCACAAAATAATTGCAAAGATTTGCTCCTCGCTATCACATCGATAATAACATATTTCTCTCACCACCCCAAACACAATCTGAAAACATCATAAACTCCTCACGATGCTGTTTGGAATGTTCTTCGCCTTTTGGCGATTTTGCGAGATCATAACTCTGGTATGCGATCACCTACTTAATACACTCCGTATCCTCACATTTCACTCATGCTAACACTTTTCTTCCGCACCATAGATCCCCACACTCGGCATGCTCGCCTTCTTCGTCAACATCTACGCATCCAACAATGCGCTGACGCCCAACTACATCCTGGTGCTATTCATCGTCTCGGTGCTCGCGTGCGCGTGGGCCATCGCGACGCTCTTCACGTACCACCGCACGCGCTCCAACGCGCTTTTCGTCTCGTTCATCGATCTCTGTTTCGTGGGCGCCTTTATCGCGGGCGTGTACGAGCTGCGCTTCATCACCAATTCCGACTGTTCGCATCTGACGACGACCCCGGGTTACTACATCAATTTCGGGGCGTTTGGAAATGCCAATATTAATGGGGTCAGTGTCAAAGTGGATAAAACGTGTGCCATGCTCAAAGCCTGTTTTGCGTTTGGTATCATGAATTGCATCTTCTTCTTCATCACGAGTTTGCTGGCTTGTATGGTGGGCAAGGGCCATGAGAGAACGGCAAGGAGAGATGAGAAGGTTTATGTGAGGGAGACTCATGTGACTAGACATGGCCATCGTCGAAGTGGAAGTCATAGGAGTAGACGAAGTGGAAGCCATAGGCGAACGTATGTTTAGAGTGGCTGTGGTGGATATGTTATGATTGGATGGAATGGGATGGGATGGATAGGTTGGAGAGGGAGTTACGGCCGATTTAATGTTTTACTTTTTAGGGAATGGATGGATGATTGAATGAATGGTTGGATGGATGGAATGGGAAGAGGGGTGGGATTGAAAGGAATGATAAAGATAGGTTTGGTCTGGATAAAGAAGTAAGATATATTATTATGCATCTTTGATATGAGGATGAAATGAAATGGAATGAAATAGGATAGGATAGGATAGGATAGGATAATGAATCAATGCGATAATCCACAAACAAACACACCTGCACTGCATTTCCTCTTATACATCTCATATGAATGTGAAAAATATCATCTAATCGACACTCACAATTTTCGATGTACTCAAGGCAAGCGCCCACCCATCTCCCATCCCGAATCTTTCTTCCCTCTTTCTCATTCCGTATTTATATCCACATCCACATCTATATAATACCTATATCGCACCCTACAATATCTCTCTCCTCCTTAGTACTCTTCTCCTCTCCTTGAGAGTCGAATTCGAATTCGAACTCTGATGACCTCATCAATCATATTAAGTATATCATTCTTCACGAACAGACGAGTGAATGTGAATGAATATGTTACTGTCATTTGCTGGCGGAGTGCATACAGTAATACAAGGAGGTTGATGAGTTGGGTGGTGGTTTGTTTGTTTGATTGGTGGTTTGAGTCTATTTTTTTAAAAAAAATTGTGATGGTGGGATTGGTAGGCTTGTTTGTGGATTTTGATGGGGGGATAGAAGGGGAGGATGGGAAGGGAGGAGAGGGAGGAGAGGGAGGAGAGGGAAGGAAGGGAAGGAAGGGAAGGAAGGGAAAGGGGTGTGAGAGCGGATTGTATTGTTGGGTTCTGGGGGTTGGTTCTCGAGGGGCAATTCTGTGTTTGTTGGTCTGGATGGGGAGTTGAGGACGTGAATGAGGATGGGGATTGATGCGCATTATGTTTTGTGAGAGGATAATAGTTGTACTGAGTGTGGATGGTGGAGATGATGGGGATGATGTGAGGAGTTTGTAGCATTTTGGTATTTTGTGAATTGTGAATTGGCCATATAGTTCGGAAAAGAGATATTGCGAGTCTTTAAATTTCGGAATATTGAATTTGGAAACGGGAAAGTGAGAATTGATGGGTTACTAAATGAGTATGGTGTTGTGACTGACTACACGGGTAGGGCTATGGATTCTAGAAATATGAATTGGAGTGAGGGGTTTTTGTTGTCTGTGAGGAGCTGTTGTGACTTGACGTGTGTGGTATTTCACTTCAATCACGCAACTCAGTATGTAGAGATTGGAAAACTCTTGAATACATGTATGGATTGTTCGACAAAAGATTAAGCGATCGAACTTCGATGATTTTTCTATACAGAGATTTTATAGGTTATGATTCATGTATGTTCTACATTGATTCGCCCATTAAACAAATGTGACATCAAACCTCGTCTCCTCCTCCTCAAGAACATGGTCTCTCTCCTCGCTCTTCCCCGGCCCAATGAAAACAATCTTCTTAAGCCGATGTCCCTTCTACACCAACAACGCAATACAGAATAGATCCGTCACCTTCAAAAACACCATCGTCCCTTACGTCCACCCTACATTCACACCCGCTACCCAGGCAGGGCTTACCATGAAACGCAACACTAAGACCGGACTCCACCCTGTGGAAGTGAACAGCAATAGATACTTCTACCGGATTACCAACAAGACACTCATAAACATAATTTACTCTGATGGGTGTAATACACAAAGAGTCGAGAGTGACGAGGACGGTAGCGAGAGCAAGAACAATCCAGTGAAGATTTAAGAGAAGACTCGTGTCGAAAAGACCGAGTCCGATGGGGTTGACGATACCTGGGAATCAGAGAGCGTGGAGACGGGACTCCGGAACCGGACATTGTTGTTGTGTTTTTTGGCGATGGAGAGGGGTGTCGATCGGAGAGGTGTTGGTTGTAGATGAGGGCGAGGAAAATACCGATTCAGTGAGTGGAGGAGATTGGTGTATGTGGTAATTATTTATATATGGAAATTTGGAGGGAAGAGCTGCTTATATTGTGTATTTTGCCAGCTTGAGAAACTATACAGTATTCGTCTACTGTAACTGGCTTTTGAAGGAATGTTGGAGAAAGCGAATTCATGGCGACGTAGAAGCTGAAGTTTGTCAATCGATGTAAAGATACTGAGCATTAGACAAACTGGGGAAATTGCAATAGGAAATGGGGTTTTTGCGATTTTGAGCGATTTGGAGTTGTCCTGGTATCATATTCCAGAAGATCGATCCTATCTCATACAGGGAAGAGACATGGTCTTGGGAATCTCGCTACATTTTCTCTATTTCATGAATTGCTCATTTCTACCAATCGCTAGGAAGATTGTGGGCATCAGGATGCAAAGACCAGTCTCTACTAGATCTAGTGTGTGTTGTGTGAAGAGCTTAATCTTTTCTTCTGATAGGCACCAATGACTTCGCTCTCGAGATTCAGATGAAGGGAAATAAACCAAAGGAGTAACAGTTCCGTTACTTTATATTCAAGCTCTAGGATATCGCACACTTAAAAGCTGCTCATCTCGGCTAGATTAATGTTCATTGTATCGAATCAGGAAAGACATGCATTCCCGTTTGTTCCCCTGTATATATCTCTTGTGATGTAGCAGACCATTCTACAAAATTGTACAGGTAGATCATGGAAAAGCATGGTCTACATTCTGATAAATAGATACTTTACAGTATGCAAGATCTTCAGCGTCGAATTAACCATCAAATCATTATCTTTAGCTGATATTTTGTTCCCATTGGCAAAACTACGTCAGCTTATGTCTCCGAGACAATTTTCGAACATCTATCTAGCCCATATCCTAATTTCGTATGGTCTACTGACTGCACTGCATCAAACGCGCTCTACACTCTTCAAATCATACACTGAGCTTTTACACAATGAATACGCCGCATCTCGACGACCCTGAGATGCAAGATAAGAGGTCACTCGTACCGAATTCAACAATTTTTCATCTCGTCTTATCTATCCGTTGCCTCTTTTATGTTGACAATCTTTGCAGAACTTTCCACCATCGCCAGAATACAATACGAAGATTAGTTATGGGTGTTGCGTTACTGTGTAGTCTGGGTACTCCTTTTTGCGAATCATATGATACGTAGTATTCTATCTCATTTAAAGTTGAGGAACATCCATCTTCTACTATCATGATATCATCATCATGTACTAAATGATCGATAGGATTAAATTTAGGGCTGGAAGAGCGTCAAGCGAAAGTTTCTGTAGACGATCAGAAACGTCTAAGTTTTGTGTTTTGTTCGTAGCGCAGTTTCCGAGAATTGTGAGAGTAGTTGATTCTTTATAAAGTCAATATGGATGATTCAAAGACTTCAGCTATTCTGTCTTTTTGTCTCAAGACATCTTTGATCTTTCTCTACATCCGCTTATTTCCTACAACAAATTTGAGAAAATTTGTTTGGGCTATCTGGATCTATACACTACTCTGAGCCATTGCGACTTGGGTGCATCGAGTTTTGAATGTAATCCTGTGTCTTGCTTCTCAAACAAAGACCAAAAAGGTCATTACATCCCAAACGCATTAAGGACTATATCTTTCATTTAGTGGTATCATAACTAGCATGATTCATGATTCGTCTAGTTGCCTCTTTGATATTGATACCGAGGAATTCACTTGTAAGCTCCATCTTCTGTATAGAATCTTCCAACGACGTGATCAACGATCTTGAGATGAATCTTTCACCTCGTCTAGTGAAGCTGTTCCACACATTGAACCACTTCAAACAAATTACTAAAACGTACCCAGTCTCCAAAGTCGAAGAAGGAGTCTGGACCTACGTGAAAAAAGCAATCGGCAATCTCGCTCTTCTCTAACCTCTCTTCCGATGTTTCTTCTCCAACAAAGATTCTCGCTTCCCAGGTAGACGCTCCCCCTCTTCATACAGCTTCACCGAGACGATCAGATCCGGCTCCAACAACGTCACATCCGCAGAACTCATCCTTCCCTATTCTCGGCTCGCTTCCAAAAATGGTCGCATATCATGATTGTACAAGCGCATGAGCGAAGACTTCGGATCTGCAGATCGGTCCCGTATGAGAAATATTGTGGGAAGCGATGTAGAAGTGGGGAGTGGGAATATAGAAATGCAGGATTAGGGAGCTTCGACGAGAGACTTGGAAAATGATAAGATGAGAGAGGGAAATGTAATACTAGTGCAAATGTATGTGACGGTGAAGAAAGAGAGGAGTATAGTTAATGAGACATATAGGTTGAAGAGAGATTTTATAGATCCGTTGAGAACCGCCCACAAAGTCTACATAGGTAGTTGTAAGACAAATTATGTGTGGTGTAAAGAAGAAGTTCAGAATTTGCGGGCGGATTTTAGGGTAGTGAGGGAGAGGGCGGATAATTATAGTTGGGGGAGATGGGGTGAGGAAGTTGGGAAATGTATGTTAAGTGTGAGATATGGTATAGGAATAGGATACAACGACGGTGAGAAAGAAGCCACTGGGTCAGAAGAGGCGTTGATAATTAACATGGTGTTAGGTACCAAAATACTAATTTCGAATCAATCATATGCTTGCTCATAGAATTCCCTTTAATATCATGATTTTTGATCACTTTTAACAGGACATCGAAAAAGCTCGTACATCTGAGAAATGAATGAATGAATGAATGAATGAATGAATAGTTTATTTATTTAAAGATATCCCTAAAATGTACCCCCGATAAACGAGTGTCAGGTACTGGTATAAAATGAAATATGTCTATGCATATTCAACGAATGTTAGATAGATATATGTGGTAAAAGAATGATAGACCCGGGTATAAACGAATGATAGCGCCCCAATGCCTGTATCTTATCCCATTCCCGATATAGTATGTACCACCAATTTAACCGAACCAAGAATGAAAGATTCAGGTCTCTATCCGGAAACTCTAGACTCGTGTATCTTGATGGACTTTCTAGAAAAGAAAATCGCTGTTCAAGTATTCAGCTTTCCTTGAATCGAATGAGCCTGTCGCGCCATCGTCTCCTTATCGTATCATTTCCAATACTCCTTGATACTCCATGTGAAATTTTCATAAGATAACATCCCATAAATCTTCAACTCATTCATCGTCATCCTCTTCATCCCCATCCATCCCTCCGATAAAAACCACCTTTGACCTTGGCTCACCCGGCGCTTTAGGCGCCGATCTCTTCGGGATGAAAAACCCCGGTCTCTCATAGAAGTAATGAGGTTTAGGACTATCCGGCATTCGTCTATAGATGAGTTCACTCGGATGTCTCGATTCATATCGTGAAGGCGGTTCGAGGAATGGTGATGAGGGCTGAGAAGTTCGGGATTGCGTCGAGGATGTGGAGGATGCAGAGAAGGAACGCATGAGGACGAGTGGTTTAGGTGTGAACTGGAAGTTGTGAGATGAGGGTGATGACGAGGAGGTTGTCGATGAAGTTGAGGAGGAACGAACTGGTATTCTGTTTTTTGGTATGAAAGGAGGGTTTGAGGTGAGATCGTAGGAGGAAGTTGAAGAAGACATTTCGGGTGATGTTTATGACGTAGTGTAGTGTAGTGAAATCGAATTCGATGATTCGGAATAAGTTTAAATGATAGTTTATCCGAGACGCGGAGTGTGTGATATAAGTAAAGAATGTGTATCAGAATGCACTCTCACAATCCAATGAAGTTCCAACAGCAAAAAAGAACAACAAACACGCACGTCATTCAAGAATGCCAAGTACGTAAAGTGACAAAAAGTAAAACGAATGAGACGGATTAAAGAAAGACGAGAAAGAAAGAGTGGCCGTAAACTTATCGGTACCAAGAGTGAAAAATGTGAATGAAAACTGGGAGATATGTCCAATACATAAAGACCTGGAATGAGGCTCATCGACCTTCTTACATCAATCTTCCCTGATTCTTCTTCCTCAAGTTCCTTCTCCATCACACATTAAAGTGTAGGAAGAGATTACTCCATCATCTTATTCCTACAGACCACATGGCATCCATGCACTCCATATTTCGTGCGCATATGATGGTGTTGATAAGGAAATCCCGTGGAAAATGCATGAATTTTTTGTGGGGAGATGCATTCTTTTCATCCATAGCTTATGCATGGGAACTCTTGAGACCTTTGACGCCGGGAGAAGGATGGCATTGACCAATCAGAATCGCGGGAGAGTTCAGATGGATGTTTTGCCTAGTGCGGGGTGAGATATGGCGCAGTCATCTATGAGTGGTGGGATAGATGTGATGATGTTGGCCAGATGAAGATTGTTTCTTGTAAGTTAATTTACATTGATAGAAGGCGAAAGGTGGATGGAAAGTGGGAGGAGTAATTTTAGTCGTCAACTCTTGGCACTTATCACGGTGTAATTCACATTTCATTGACTTCGAATATGGAATTCTAAGATGAAAGAACGTTTCTAATAGAGAAAATGTAAGATGCACCTCAAGGCTTTCGCATCTCATGTCACTGTCTCTTTTCACCCAAGTTCATGATCAATCCGCCTATTGCGACGCGCTTCCAAAGTTTAGTTGGCGGTCCCACCATCAAAGACCAGACCCACATCTGAAAATAGAAACAAAACCAGCACGGAACATCGCCAGGCACTTGCTCAGTCCTTTTAACATTGAGCCTCCCAACACTATATTATTTCTGCAAATCAAGCGTATCGACAATCCTCAGTTAATCATTACCAAAACCACGGAGTAATACCGGACCGAATGTGATCTCAGTATCTCGGTGGGATATTTCCCGGGCGTTGTAGGCAATCCAGTAAGGTATTATGGGAGTGCCAAGCTGCTAAAGTGCTACGTCAGGCTTCCGAATTCCAATGCGGATCATACATAGTTTGTAAGAGTCGAGAACTAGGATAAAGAACGATGGGAGTGGAGAAACTGATGAAGTATTATGGGACAAACTGGATTCGCACGACTAGAAGCTAGTACGTGACATTGTAAATCATGTGTGATGAGATGAACTAGTCCGAATTTAAGGACTGGCGCCAGTCAAAAACATTACAGAGAATGTTTGGGTTGTGAAGAAGTACATGGTAGGTTCGTGGACATCATTTCAAGTTCCCCTTGTAAATCAGTATTTCTGGGTGTCAAAGATTCTCATCTTCTGGATCCGCAATAGTCTTTCGGCTCCCTGCCGCATAGACCCTCATATTGGCCGCTGGCGTGTTTTGAGGCAGCTCGATGAGGAATATAAAATTGTATCACGAGTCGCATCAGGATCACATCTTTAGAAATGAACAAGTCCAAGCTGTGGTACAACTGGCCATTGCCGTGGTACCCCCGAATTGAAGAGCCAACCCAACATTAATAAGCGAGCCCCTTCATCTTGAATGACATTACAATATAGTTCACTTGGCATGTTGACTAGGTTGAACAGATGAACTTTAAAATTGTAAAGCTAATATAACACGTAGGGTGATGATTTTCAGAATAATCTCAATTCAATTGAGATCACTCAGATGTATTCAACAAATGGTAATCCAGTTTGCTCTTGAATGATCTCCAAAGCCTGAATGACCTTCTCATCTTCAAATCTATAATTTAAAATGTATTAGCCAGAAATCTTTACAAATGGGATAGCTACTAACCGTCTTCCTATCAACTGTAAGCTTATAGGTGCGTCTTTATAACCTTCAGCCCCATGTTGTTCCCATAGATCCCAATTGTATTTGTCCTTGTCGTTTCTTGGAGTGTACGTCTCTTGGGTACTATCCTTTTCCACATCAACCTTGTCAACTGGAAAGACTAAAGCAGGATAATCTAACAGATTCCACTGCGAAGTGTAGCCCCACCATTTACTGGTGTCTAGTTTTGGTGCACTCCCTGGTCCAACTGGAGACAGTATGACGTCCACCATTCCTTCCAGCTCACCATTTGCACCTTTTGAAGTCGCTGTTTCGTTCCAAATATTTGCATACTCGGTGCGATACATATCCCGTTGAACTTGAGAATTCCACATCGATGCGATACTATGAGATTGTAGATGCTTGTTTTGAGTAATGATGTGCTCAGTGAGGGGTCGAAGGGGCTCTCCAGATTCCTTTAGCGCATCGAGTTCCTGTGATCCACCATCGGAAAAATATAAATTGGCCTAAATCAAATTAGTGGCGATGGCATTTCGGATGACATTACTCTTACAATTATCTCCCAAGCTAGATCATGCTTATACGGCTTCCACTCAACCACTTCTATACTTGTATTCGTCTTAAGCTTGCCCACGACTTGCTTTAAGGCTCTTGTAACCGGGGGATGTGGTTTAACAACCCCATCATCCCATAAAATCGCAACTTTTATTTTTTTGCCCGGAAAGAAATTCTCTTCTCGCCAAGGAAAGGGTAAAAGAGATGGTTCTTTGTACCATGGTTTTGCATCAATGAGTGCTTTCATGAAGACTTTACAGCCATCTAAGCTTGTTGATAATGGTCCGATCGTGGGAACGATGTGCTCGGCACCAGCCATAGTTGCAGTCCATCCATCTACTGGTAAGCGACGAGCTGTTGGCTTCATGCCATATACACCTACGCACAGGTGAGCATATTTCGTTTCAATTTACTCGCTCTCATTTACCATTATTGGCTGCCGGTGAACGGATCGAGCCACCAATATCAGTACCGATACCAAGACACGAACCCCTAAATCCAACCAACGCCCCCTCACCACCCGAAGAGCCACCACAAGTCAAAGTAGTATTGAATGGGTTTACAGTCACTCTAAGAAACAAATTAGCAGTGTCTATGTAAGTTGCTTGCCAAATTTACCCATATATATTATTACTTGTCTCTAAATGCATCAAAGTTTGAGGTTGTGTAGTCCTAGCGTATAATATAGCACCTGCATTCAACAGAATTTCTAAAATATGGGAATCAACTGGACTTGTTTTGCCAACCCAAGCAACGAAGCCCGCATTATGGTCCAGGTCTTTGATGCCAATATGTTCTTTTACGCTTATCGGTATACCGTGAAGAGGGCCGATAGTCTTCCCATTGGTTTTCAAATATTCGTCGAGGTATTTTGCACGAGAAAGTGCTCGCTCGGGAAGTAATTCGGTGATACAATTAGTCTCACTTTTGATTAGTCTAGAGTAAAAGTGTCTGCTAAGATGAACATACCACTTTTTGGGCCAACCCAGCTCTTCTCAAGAATGCTTTCGCAACCTCGGTTGAACTTAATTCTCCTTTTGCAAGTTTAGCCACTAGACTTTCGACGGTAGCTTCTGTGATTTTAATCTCCTCGGATGTAAGTACTCTTCTCGCAACTGATAATGTATTCAATGGAATATCCGAGACATCTGGGATAGGTGGCTCGATAGCTGCGATAGTCTCATCTCGATATCTCTGTCTATCTTTGGCGACCTCTTGCCAAGATGCACCAGATGCTGTTGTTATTGTCGCAGGTGCCATGCTAACGATCGGTTTGAAAATAACGAAGAAGTAGAGTAAATCTAGGGAGGTTGAACTTTGCAGACTATTTAAACGGAAATTGGTACACAAACCTAGCCTATGTCGTACATACTTTCAATAAGATTTTACCTTGACATTATCAGTGGATATGATAAGGAAAGAGAAGCTTCAAATAATAGATATGTTATCACACATCCTCGGACAACGGCGGGGTAGATACTAGATAGTAAGGAGCTCGTAGGTGGGTAGTTGAAAGTGCCATCCCCAAATTGGAAAGTCCTCGCGATGTGTTGGAGGTGGAAATTGGCAAAACATGCTGAAGGTTTGAGATTGTAAATAATTGTATTCTAATCTATTAGAAACAATCTTTCGGGAGCCGCTTCTTTCAAACCGTTATCCTACTTCCAAATCTTATTCATACTGTAGATTTCAAACTCCAAACTCCAAGCTCCCATTTCCGTTTCCATAAGCCGGGTATAATTCCACTATTGTCCTCCCTTACTTCTGAACTGTACGATCGTCGGCATTCGATTGGGCCGTCTTAGAATGGGTGACCCCAATTGAATGCAAAACCAACAGCAATAATTGTTAAAGTAATCAAAATCATGCTAACCAGCCATTTGCAGACATCCTCAGCATGGCTTATATCTGGATCTATCTCTTCGTTCAATATCTCTAATTCTCTCTGTGTTTGTATATATAAAGCCTCGTAAGATGGTGGAGGAGGTTGGTTTGGATCTATCGTAATAATGAAGGGGTCATCTCGGTAAGGTTCTTGATGCTGAAGTGGTATGTTGTGTGTATGGTCCGGCGACGATAATTCATATTCGGGAGGCCTCATTTGAGCTAATCGACGTACTCTATTGACCAAATAATCGTGCATTGGCTCATATCCAGGAGGTTCGTTCATCTCGATATGGTTTCCTCCCATCCCCTCCATGACCTCCGCACCTTGATCATCTGCTGGATCATCATGGTAAGGTTCGATAAGTACTGCATCTTCTTCGGGTAATGGTGGTAACGACTGTGTAAGTCGTGCTCGAGAAATCGAAGTTGATGGGTGATGGTTGGACATGTCGAATATCGCAATATCTTGGTATAAGTCGTGCCCGATTCGCAGATCCTCAGATCCTTTCACGACTGTCACCCGAATTCCCTGTCGAATAACCAAACACAGCAGTGGGTTAAAGAAAAGGTAACCACATGAAAAGTTAGATGGGCATGGCAGCCTGTTATGATTTTACTACGCCGCTACGTTCACGATGATTTTAGTGGCTATGAGTTATCCCCTGCACTGTAAGACCCGCCAAGCTTCCCTATAGCCTTGGGACCCCTGATGCTCTAACACAAGGCATATTTGCAACCACAACTCTGAAAATTGGTGTTTCATAATGTTCTACAAACGAACAACATCAATGCCAATGGCGTCGCAAGTGTTGCACCTATTGTGTTCGGATAAATTGGGTTGATTCGAATTTGAGTCAATTCTTTTAAGCTCAAAATCCCGTCGAGTTTTCACTTCACAATATCCTCCCATTTAGTTCCAGAAGCATGCATAATTATCTTTACCATTCATTCGTTCTTCACCCTGGCTTCTAAAATCCTACCGTACCCCTATGACAGCAAGTGCTTCTCCACCCAAATATGAGCTGTAAATGCATGGCATGATGCTTTGAAGCGGAACTCACATTGTTCAAAGCCTTGCTTATGACAAAAGTATCTTTACCAATCATCCAACCAGTAATTGGAAGGTTATTGTTGTTGTTCGCCAGATGATGACCTGTGGTAGTTCCGGCGAGTCACGACAAAACAATGTTTCAAGAACAAAGAAGATTGCCCAATCAATTCTAATGTTCTTTGTATTTTCATTCATTGATCTAGTTGTTACTGGATTATTATATAACTATGATAGAAATCAAGAACAATCCCAATTTTCCGAGTACATATGCCTCGATGACTCTCCATCTCTCTTATCATCACCAACCACACTCCTGATACCAACCAACCTCAATCTCAAGATGCTTCCTGAACATATTGCCATCGTTACCTTCTGCATGATCGTTCTTGCCGCCATGCTCGCATGGGCTTTCTTCTGGCCTCACAAACATCACAGATACGGCATGAATGACTCTAGACAAGCAGCAAAGAAACGCTCGCGTACCGCTGGCCGGTCACATCGCGACGTCGAGATGCATCCGAGAAATTGGAATCAGTTTGAGCATCATTCCAGGAATGGAAAGACAAGAAAAATGCCTGTGCATGATGAATCCGAGAAGTACGAGACATGGGTGTGATTGTGCTACGGCATAGCTGGAGAAAGTTGAGACGACGTCATGCATTCTTCAAGCGAACTCTCGGTCGAATATGAAAAGTCTATATTTGTCTCTGTCAGAGGAAATAACAATCAATCTAGACGTTACTATGAAATTTACCTTTACTTATTATCTACACCTATTTATCCTTATTGAATTGTGACTCAAAACCTGACGACTCCGAACTTTCCCCTTGAATTATTCACTGAAACACGTACTTGTCGAGGAATTGCAAGCGCCATCACCACTCGATCAAAATGCGTCGCCTTGCCAAAAAAAGCTTGTTTTGGCAATTTATACATGATGTGACATGCGCATGTGGTATAAGTATACGTGTATAATGAACTAATTCAGTCGTATAATAAATCTCAAATGGGGGTTCATTCGTTGTAGGTCTATCCCAGATTAATTCGTAAGATATAGGACGGATTCGGGATATGGTGAAACACTGTCATCGTGATAGCTGTCAAAGGGACCATATGTAAGTAAGAGTCGAACTGAGCATAGATTCGATTTTGACATAAGACATGTTATGAGACATTTTCTGTAGATCGAGGCTTACGATCTTGCCATTCTTTTAGAGGCTGTCTAGACCACGGAAGAACAAAAAAGACGTTATATGCATGGTTTCGTTCAAAGTCGTTACCAGAAACATGGAAAGCAAGATGCCTATAAAATGATGGTATTGGTGGGACATGTCTTATTAACTACACTCAAACGACTGAGATCACTGACTAATCTTTCTTTTCATTTTTTGAAGGGCTACATTATCATGCTGTTACTATCACTCAATTGTCATCATATAAATTTACTTAAATTTGCAAAAGGAAAAGCTTTATTTTTTCTGTCCTCATCCGAGGAATACCACCACCATATCGAAAAACACTCTCTTAAGGAAAAAGCGGATCAAGGAAGGCTCATGTCATAATCATGGATATCAAACTCCTCTTCCGAACTAGAATCATCAACGACTCCAGGAGGCGCAATGACTCGGCCATTGTTAGCCGCACGATTCGCAGCGCGCTCGTGTAACTCATGAAGAAAGCCGCGATACTGAGCAATCTGAAATTCTCTCCCCATCATGATCTCATGACGCGAAACGACCCAGTCCCGTCTAGCTTCTGGTAACTCGTCATCCGGAGTATCTCTTGCCCGGGGAAGTCTCTCAGCAAGTAGTGCTCGGAGAGCCCCAAAAAGCTCACCCGGGTGGATTGGAAGTCCGTTGAAGACAAGAAATATGGGCAGGAGGACTATGGAGATGAAGCATGCATAGATGAGAGCGACTAATAGGCAGATGGCCTGAGTTAGTATTCTCGACATGATGTTTTCGGACTTGATTTGTGGAGTTTGTGGGTTTTGTGTTAGTAGATCTGTTTGTAATATTTCACTTGGTTCTTTGAGGAATCTAGGAATGTTACAGGCAGAAGTGGTTTGAGGAAGGAATATTAATCTGGAACGGAGGATGGGATGATTTATATACATGTTTAGGAGTTGATAACAGACTTATATGTTCGGGAGTACTTCAGGAACAAATTCGAGTGTCAAACATGCAGCTTGGGCAATACCTGCATGCATATTAGGGGAGAACAGCAAAGAAACAATGATCAATTGACCTCACCGTAATTATCGCTAACACAGATTACACTTCTACCAGTTGTGTGCACGTAACCACTCATTGTATTGTATGATTGGATAAGAGCATGGTTTCTCTCTAGATATATATCTGAAGCAACAGTTCTACTAGTAATCATAGATTTAGGTTATCATCTTCATCACCATCACCAGCTTCACAAAGCAAGAGTCATGCACTTGATTATCCTTTACGCTGAAGCTATATAACCATGAAATGCGTTCGCTCTTTGTGTTACCCACTTTCCATACAATTTTGAAATGAGGATTCGAGACAGAATACATCTAGAACGGAATTCTCAGCTAACTATTTCATTCCTAGATCTCGATTCTTCTTTTTGCACAAGACCTCGCATTTTGTTTCAATCCAATCATCTTATCGTTTTCGAAAATATATATTATTCCTTTCTGTTTTTCCTCGTCAACACAAGTATCACTAGGCACTTCGTAACTTTACTACAACAGCAAATCAGCAATATCCTGGGGAGCAACATCGTTCAAATTACTGGTCTCGAGCCTTGTTAAACCCGAGAACTTCATAGTAATATTTTTGAATCTACCAAAAAATCACATTCATGATCTATCGCGCGGTCCTACGAGTGAGTCTGGAGAACTTATTTTGAATTCATTCGGAAAGTCTTATTTGCTTCCTCACAGTAATCTACATTCCAATCCTCAATCACTATAGTCAACTTTCAAGTGAAAAAAGTGTGGGTCCTGGGGTGATCTGATGGCACGTATGTTCTTCACTTTTTTATTCAGAAATTTGTGTACCATTTCAACGCTTAATATTATCATGTCTCGAATCTGAAAAGGTGTATTAGGGTGGTATCGCGATAGTGACTTTTTCAACCTCCAATAATCCAGCACAAAGTTTCCCTTCTCCCTTACTCCAACCAATACAAGGCTTCTCAAATCACATCATCTTTCCCTCAACGTTCAAACCTCACCATCCCATCCGACCCAAAATTTACTCACTTCACAAATCCCGTGGCTGTCTTGTAGTCTTCTCATCGAATCTTGCAACAATTGGTAACCCACGATTACAGAGACATATAATGAGAATCGTGATACTGTTAATATCGAGACTACAATAACCTAGGAGTCAAAAATGTGTGATTGTAGAGAAGCATCTACTCACCGAACTCCATTTCCACGAGATGAGGGTCTTTTGGTATAATTTAATATGAATCGTCATAATCTCTTCAGAGGTCGTGGAGAGGGGAAGGAAAGATGGGAAGACAATCGCTTGTGTGTAGGACTTGAATTATATTATATCTGTTCAAGGGTTGTTTCAAAGCGTTTTGATTGATGGATAAGAGGGTTGAGTCGCTAGGGCTCGCTTAGTGTTTCTTTGTACTTTCATTGAGGTGTTGTATGCATTGTCACATTGTCTTGATTAATCGAATACTTCTCGACCACCACAACATTCATTCTTCAAAAAGGCAGGTAATGAGCATCAATTCAAGCCTGATTTATATCAAGGCCATTTGGTATGATACTAACTTACTATCACTGCGATACGCCCTAGAAAATAACAGGTATTCTCATGCTACCCTCTGTGCTAAATTTCACATTTCATCTCAAGGACACAATAAAAATGGCTCTGCAAGATCCTACGGGTGAATCTATGAGCTTGAAACACGCATAGCTGCTTCGCTTACAATTACGAAGAAAGACAAAAAATGTCACCATGGTCAGAATCTTCATACAGATTGACGTTGTTCCAGATCTATGTATCAAAGACTCAAGTCAAGTGACTCACTGGATCAACTGCTACAACTCACATCTAAATTTCCGTCCTTTAAATTCTGTTCACAATATCACAACAATGCACGCTCAGTTTTATTTATAAATTTTCAAATAGTTTAAATTATTCCAGTACGACTACCAACGCGCCAAGACCGAATCGATATCAAAAAAGTAAGAAACCCCTACAACCTCTGGAATCTCAACGCCTCAATCCGTCTCTCCAACCGTCCCGCCAGCATATCCAACACGCCTCCCCAAATTCCCGCATAGAAAACGATCCGAGTATAAACGAGTGTGATTCTAGCATAGAGACCCCAAAAGACCGCAAGAGCGAGCATGACGCCAAAACTAAGCACGAAGCCGTCGGCGAAACCGCCGATCAACGATTCCATGAGGACGGCCGGATCGAAAGGATGGAGGAGAAGATAGTAAAAGAAATACAAAATCGCAAGGATGGAGCCGATGTTGATGCTGATGAGGAACACCCGTAGGTAGTACTTCAGGAGACAACGGACGGGATGATGAACGTGATGATGTTGATCGTGCTCTTGATCCATGATGGAAGTGAGTGATTTGTGTCTTTGGGGTTTGTCTTGTGAAGTTCTTTGAGTTTTTTGAGTGGATCTCAGAGAGTGTTCAGGTACTGGAGAAAAGAAGAAGAAAAAAGAAAAAAAGAGGTATCGGGGAGTCATTATATATAGGCAATATCTGGGATTATTTTGATGCTGTCGCAAGATTGTTCTCATATTGTTCCAATATTGTTATATCACCAATGTACTCTCATAGTCTGTTTGACTTCTGTTCTGATGGCGATTCATCGAACATTTGAAGAGCATATCGATTAGGCATGAACGTTCTTAAAGAAACAGCATAGCAAGCGCTCAAAACCAAACGAAACAAGGTGATTCTAGAGAAAATGCCACCATCCAAGGTTCGTTGTATAATCAAGATGAACCCTTTCTCAACTTTAGGATTACGTCGCACACTGGGTTGCTGACCCAAAACAAGCAGGCATTTGAATGTATTAATGGAAGCAAGGCATTAGGTTAGATAATGATATCGTTATGAATCCAAACAGCAGACTCGATTCAATATTGAGCGAATCACAAAAGCGAAATCAGTTCTTAGTGCTGATAATATTCTTCTTCTACTCATACATCGTTAGGTACCTATGGGATATATCCACATTTCTAACTGAAAACCAGCGCTTAGCACTCACAACAATCGTACTTCTCTGTATCTACACTAGCTATAAGCCTACTAAGGTGGTTGAGGTAGTAAATGATAAGGCTACTTTATGCAAAAAGCTATCGAAAAATGATTCTATTTGGCTGAGTAACAATGGGGATTTAGATAATAAGGATTTAAAAGAACGGACTAAGCTTCAAGAGATCTTATGTGATTTTTTTGGAGAACCACAATGCAGCTGCCATCGTTACCCGTCGGATCAGTACCATCAACTCAATAGTAGCACTTTCCCATCCTCGAGAAGTACAAAATCGAAAGCTTCATTGATGAAAATTCTCGACTTCTATTCTATATACCTTTCCAAACCTCAAATTACTTTTTCTTATTTATAAAAAAGCCTTAATGTGATTTATCATCGAGTGGATCATATTATCGAGTGGGCCACTTCAAAATACATCAAAATTAAGGCTTTTTGAATATTTGTATTTTAATAACTAATTATTATTTTAGAAAAAGAAAAAAAGATTAAATAACAATAAAAGATTAGTTTTCTAAAAATCTAGTTTTTATATAAATATTTTCATTTTATATTAAAAAAAGTGAAAATTGTTATGATTTTTGTTACAAAAAAATATTCCTAATAATAATTTTTATATTAATTTGAATTTCTAATAAATGATGAGATTTTTGTAATATTTATATAGTTAAATTTCATAATTTTAATTTTTAAAAAATTCTATTAATAAATAAAGAAAGTGCATAATTATATATAAACGAATTTTGTATATAAAAATGATGGCCCACTCAATGATATAGTCCACTCGATGATAAATCACGTTATATATAATTTATATTAGAATAACCGAATTTCTTATAAAAATCGTATTAGAAAATATTAATATTTATTAAAAATAAAAAAGATTTCGAAAAATATATAAAAGGAGTATCAAAAAATAATAAGATAAATTGTAATTATTTAGATTATAAATCAGATAATCTGATTCTGGAAATTTGATATATTTCAAAAATCATATGCAAAAGATTTATAGAATTTGTTTTCGGTTTTATTATCTTATAAATTATCTTATTTTATACTTTAAAAAGTAGGTATATATTTATAAAATATTCAATATAAATAAATAAAAAGCTTTTAATTAGTATCTCCATTTTTATATATATTATTTCGAGTATGAGAATTGTAATCACTTAATTAAAAATTAATAGGCTCTTAATCAGCATTTTATGTTCTCCACAAAAATTCTTGATTTTGTAAAAAATCACATATCCATTTCTTCCTAGGCCCTCATACATAATACAATATTAATACTTGACAAGAACTCGCTAATACAATTTATAAGACTGCGACGAGATCTTATATAGAGATGCATTGGCAATCGCTAAGATCAGTTTGATTGCAATAATTGACTGATTTTATATCGAGCATACATATACTCCAAATGATGTAGAATCCTACACTGATTCACATGAGCTTTTGGTTTCCGTTACAGATGTAGTGAGACGAGTTTCTAGCTTGTAGAACGCTGGGCATTAGTAATTGAATAATAATCATATAATGGTTTCATATCGAAAACAAAGAGATCACTATAGATTTTGAAAAGCTCATCAATCAGCCCCTATCACAGATATCCAAACTCATTGCTTCTACTAAACCAAAACCTTTACCAAAAAAAGTATTACAAGCTATCTCATGATTATAGTATTTACCTTTTATAATTTGTTTTCAAGATTTG